TCAGTGACAGTGTACCGGACCTCGAATTTAGTTAACACACGACTAATCAACGCAACGATTCGCATTTCACCCTCATCATCTAACTGGTATAAGACACCGCTTATCCCCGCATCGCTTGCGTCTGTCTGTAATCTAAACATTCTATCGGGTATTACGTGATGCAAAACGACCGAGTTCATAAAATTTTTTTTTATTTCACAAAAGGCTTGTTCGTGTCCTTTGGACCAACTCCATTTTGTATTAGGTCTAAGAAGATCCCGAAACGGCGCAATAAAATTTGCATGACTTCGGACAAATCGTCGCGAGAAACCGCACACTCCAAGAAAACCTTGTAACTGCTTCCTATCCCTAGGAGGTGGAAAATCATTAATAGCTTGCAATTTTTCGGGGTCAGCACGCACCCCAGTCTGATCAATAATCACCCCTAAGAACTTTACTGATTCACAGAAAAATCGAGACTTTTTTAAACTTAATGTAAATCCTAATTCAATTAATTTCTTGAACAGTTCATTTAATAAATCAATATGTTCTTCAAAAGATTCTGACGCAATCAGAAAATCGTCAATATATACTTTTATACGCGACAACAATCGATCCCCCAATCCCAGACTTACGGCTCGAATGAAACCTGCACCCGCAGTTTTAAGACCAAATGGTATTCGACAGAACTGATAACATTTGCCATTATGCATGAACGCCGTATACTTTCGCGATTCTTTCGCTAATGGCACCTGCCAATATCCATTTACAAAATCAGTGGTTGAAATATATCTTATTCCTTCGTCATCTTTTAATAAATCATCGATTTTTTCCGGGGATTCGTTATCCGACTCAATTATTGCATTCACGAATCTCGCGTCAAGACACACTCGAACACTACCGTCTTTTTTAGCAACGACCCTCAACGGACTACAAAATTCAACTTCCGCTCTTTCTATTATTTTTAACCGTTCCATTTCGGCAATTCGTTCGTCAACCGGCTTTTGCAATTTAAACGGAATCGGGTATGATTTTTTTACAATTATTTTATCATTAATCGGTCGAATTTTGTGTTCATAAATATGGGTACATCCGGGTTTGTCTGAAAAAACCGCACGATTTTCCATTAATAATTCGCGAACAATCCATTTCTGTTCATCATTCAACGTCTTTATCTCATCTATATAATGCTCGACTTCTTCCTCAAAATTTTTACCTATTTCAATCTCTATATTCTGTACAAAATGATTTTCTATTCCCTGATTTGACACGGACTGTTCGTAACATTGATCCCCCCTTTCGGAATCTAATTCTTGTGAATCTATATACACATTTCCCAAATTACAAACATTTTCTTTATCTAATTGACCCTTGGAATTTTCGTTCGTTTGGTACCATAAATCGTGCTTAATCACCATTAAATTACATAATCGTATCGATTTTTCTACCGGTTTCGAGTGGAAAGATATTTCTTCGCTATTCAAATTAATACCATTAAATTTTATAATTTTACTTTCAAAATCAATAATCATTCTAAAATGGGACTGCCAATCAGCACCAGCAATAATTTGTGACGATAAACTTGGTACAACCAAAAATGGAAAAACTACTTCCTCATTTCCTACACCGATCGTAAGCTGAATTTGTTTTCTTATAGTCGTAGCCTTACTTCCCAGTGCACCATGAATCGATACGTTACTCACTGGTAGTTCGGACAATTTACACTCTCTTTTTAATTCATTGTATAAATTCTCCGAAATACAGGTAACTTCACTTCCCGAATCAATAAGCATTGGATATTTCCCGTTGACAATACGAATCATCATTCGCGGACTGACTACACGAGGCTCTATTTTCAACTCCATATCGTTATTATTTGGTTGCACATCCCAGCAAAGTTCCTCGACAAAATCTGTCTCCTTTGCCTTTTGCAGCGATCGTACATTTTCTCTCGAAACTTCCGAACTATCCTTACTAGAATTATTTTCTTTATTTTCAACATTGTTATCTCGATTATAATTATCTCTTTTTCCCCATTCACGATTTCTAGCACCGCGATTATCCTGAAATCTGCCCCGCGAAGTTTCATACGAATCATTTCTTTTAAATTGCCTATCACCTCGATCACGCCAATTTTCACTTTTTTGTCCCTCTTGATTACACTCATTTTGGGTTTCATTCGGTAAATTATTCGGCTTACTAGAATTCGAGTGATAATTATTTTTTGTTGGATTATAAGAACTATTGTTTTGATTACTATTTTGATTTTGATAATGACCCGAACCCTTATCTTGACTTCCCGCATGTGATAAATCTAAACGCGCGAGTGCCTGAGAGATTTTCATACTATCATCGTAATCGATAGTCGCTAAAATATCTCGAACTCTTTGAGGAAATTGATTCATTATAATAAAATTTATTTCATGTTGCTCCATACGCGGTACAGAGATTCTTGCCATTCTAATTTGTTCGTTATAGTATGTTAAAAGCGATTTGTCCTGTGTCCGAAATCTTTTATTCTCCCACTCTGACTTCGCTTTCATACGCGCCTCGAGTGAAAAAAATTTTTCCATAAACTGGTTTTTAAAATCCTGGAAACTATAAAAAGGAATCGCGACCGTTTCGAACCATATCTTGGCGGAACCCTGCAGTGCATCTTCGACAATCAACAATTTATGACTCTTATCAATATTTTTTCTAATACAATATTTTTCAAATTGTTTAATAAAATCGATTGGATTATTTCGCTCCGGTTCAAAAGTAGGTAAAACTAAATTAATTTGTAGAGCTTGAAATTGTTTTAATATTCCGTTAATTAAATCACTATTCATTTGAGATGATTCACCTTGCGAACGAAAACTTGTACTAGGCATTTCATTGTTTACTTTATTATTATGAATACTCGTATTAAAATCAATCATTTTATTTTGACTGTCAACATTTTGTCCATTATGTGTCGGAACATTGTCCTTATTTACCTCAATAATAAAATCTTTTTGCGTACCCATATCCTTACGTTCACTCACGAATGTGCGAGTTGCGTTCTGAGACGATTTTTTGCTGACCTCCTCAAGGCGTATTATCTCTTTTCGCAGCAATTCATTTTCCTGATGAGTAGATTTTCGCTCTCTCTTCATTCTATCTATCTCGTCTTTAAGATCCGCAATTAGTTGGTGTTGCTGATTCATCATTGCCTGTATTTGACCTTCAGGGTCATCGTCACCTTTCTTAGGTTTCGTCATTGTTGATATCTACAAACACACAAATATAATCAAATACTGCTTTCACGATTTCAATATTTCGAACAAATAAAATATTTCGAATACTATCAAACCAAATTGCCCCACGTTGGGCGCCAAAAATGTAACCTATTAATTTTTTAAACAGATATTATAACAAAAAAATCAAATTTAAATGTGAGTTCGAATTTATTTGGATTTGACAATATTAAAAAAAATTCTATACAATATTCAGATTCGTACTTATATTAGTCACTCCACAATCATACGTGAACAAAAGCTTGAAATTTAATTTAACAATATATATTTTTAGTAAAATCTATCAATTTGGTATTTGTGTGTAAAAGCATAAATTTAAAATATACAATTTGAATCGCAAGAATAAGTTATTTTTGTTTTTACTTATCTCATATATATTTCTCGGAATTTGATGAACAAGAAGCGCAGACACGTGGAGATAGAGTTCTCTTTTGGATGAGCGTCAGTCACAATTTTTGGATTATTTCAGTATAATCTTGGTCAAACATACAATTAATAAGACGAATCTCGGCCGAATCGAACTCAGAGAATCTCGTGTCGTTATTTCCTTCGAATATTGTTTTGAGACAAATTCTCACAAGGCTAGATTTGATATGTAGAAATAAACAGGTGGTCACCAACTTGCGACGCTTCAAACAGAGGTTTAATCCCCGCTTCCAAAGCAACGATAAAAAAACAGGAATATCCACCTTGTTTCCGCCCACACCTGGACTGTACAAATTATACAATAAAATCAATTAGATCCCGCTACACTTTTTCGTTTAATACAATTACAATTTACTTACCCCGCTAACGGGTATACTATGCTCGTCGCAGCGCGACTCTTGCGATTCTAATATTCGCGACACACACAATACCGCTCATATCGCTTTCTTTCATTCGGTAGTAATCGGATTACTACCGATTACGCACGAGATTTACATACACGTAACAATCTATTCGGCGATCCCCGACTAATATCAAAATTCGTTACATTGTACTCTTTTTTTTGAATGTAAAAAAATTGCTTCGTAACATTCTTGAAGCAAATCAACTGCGAGTAGTTTCGCACGTTCTGTAGCTGTTTATATTTAAATTACAATCTTTCGTAATTATATATATATATATATTTTACTGCAGCTGACAGCAAAAAATAACATTGAGCAGATTTTTTTCAAAAAAATAATTATAATTTTACATGAACTATTTTTCATAATACAAACAATTAAAATATATTACTTCTTTAAAGAAAAATTAAAAAAAAAGGTCAAAAATATACATTATAGTAATTATAGTTTAAGAACAATTATTATAATTGTATATTATATATCTCAATTTTTTAAAAGTTCAACATCTTTTTCATTTCCACTGATGATAATTTATAATTAACAATATTTTTGAAATAGTTATATATATATATATATATATATATATATATATATTAAATTCTAACAAAACTTAAAGATTAGACCGTGAAAAAATATTTATTCGTTAAAGAGAAATGCAAAAAAAAATGTACACAATACAAATACTCCCATTAAGCATTAAGGAACAACATTTCTTACTTGGCTTTATTTTTTTAAAGTCTATGTACACTGAAATAGCAAAATGACGTAATATTCCAAAGTCTGATTAAAATATTAGAGTAAAAGAAAACATCAGAAAGGATAATTTTTTTCCATAAAAAAATTAGAAATTAATTTAGGCCGGGGCCCCACGAAAAAATCGTTGCGTTCCTGGTTTGAGGTTATACACGTTCACATCACGAGGTCCATTTGGCCCCCAATGGACCCACATGGTATCGTGTACCAAGTACCACCTGTTGCACCGTCAAACCACATAAAAAGAATCTCGGTGCTGCGGCACTGCCTACGTTCCTCCCTCGCTCTTTTCTTCTCTTAACCCACGTCCTCAGATTTCAAACCGTCGTTTTTGGTTTCGAATGTTCGAAGCGTCCGTTAAAATCATCTCATCTCGCCACTGCGGAGCCGGTCGGTCGCGTTCATTGCTGAAATTCTTGACCATTTAGTTGTGCGTCGTCACATTGCTCAGAGAGCGAGACAGGAAGTAGGGATTAAATGTCCATGTGAATACAGTGTTATAGATACAAAGTGATTCTATTGTGTTATGGCAAAGACTGTGAATACGTAAAATACCTATTTATAAATATAGGAGAAGAAGAACAAAAAAATGAGTGATTCTGGAGATAATCTTAAATATAAATGGACCCCGGATAGTACGACGCTATTGGTATCTGTTTGGACTGATAAACAGGTACAGAAACAGTTGGAATACACAACCAAGCCACAATTAATATGGGAAAGTGTCGCGCGATACATGAAAAAAAAAGGTTATAATGTAACAGCAAAACAATGTCGATCACGAATGAAACAAGTCCTTGTTTGTTATCGTGAAGCAAAAAGAGTTGGAACTCGTGCTGGTGTTGAACAATATTATGATTGCATTGACAAGGTCCTAAAAAATCGAAGATCAGATCAAATTAATCTTAATGGAATTGATACTGTGGGTAAGTTACTTATTTCACTCTCATTTACCTTGATCATAATTAGCAAGCAATATTAAGTGAAATTTAACTCCGTATTCGTATTCGTTTAATTTTTATTTATTATTTGAAATTAAGAAAACTTTTACTCAGTTTAAATTAGTTTGCTTTGTTTCTTTATTGTTTACAAATTTGCATTGTTAGTTTTTTCGTTGTTTTTTTGTTTAATTTCCTTGAATTTAATGTTTTATTATTTTTAAATTGAAAGAAACATTTTTTATTATATTTGTATAATTTTAAGTTGAAAAAAAATATTCTTATTGATTTTTATATTTTTAAATAACAATAAAACTTAATTTTTTGAAAAATATTTTCAATTATACTAAATTACGCTAAAAAAAATTTATTTATTTAAAGATGAAATATGTTTTTCCTTAATTTTGTGCGTGTTATATATTATTTATAAAATCATTTTTTTTTACGTTTTTTAACATTAATTAATAATTCCTGACAAACAGATTCGACAAATAACGTAAAATCACCTCCAAAGGACGTGAAAACAAATAAAAATCTCCAGATGCGCTATAAATATCATACGCCAATTGAATCGCTTTATCGGACTGAAGCTCTTTCGCCAACCTGGACAGCAGCAAGTAATACTGAAATTAATTAAATATTTACATACTCTCACGCGAAGGATAAGTGGAATTCTTTCTTACTTACATTTATTTTTATTTTTAGAAGATGAAGACTATCCAGACTCACCAGAATCTAATGAAACAGTACTTGCACAACCATTTCGAGTACTTTCTCCTGTTCGCGATGCTGCAACAAATACTCGACATCAACTAGATCATTTTACGAGAAAAACTTTGCATTCAAATGCTCCTACTGCCACCAACATCATTATGAAACCAACAGCAGTTAGAGAAACTTTTCATACAAATTCATTGTCCAACAATCGTTTTAGCGAAATACCCTTTCAGAATACCGTGCAAAATGTACAAAATCAAATAATTCAAGAGAATATGCAACAAAATCAAGCTTATCTACAACAAAACTTATTGCAAAATCAATTAACTGGCAATAATTTATTGCAAATGAATCCAACTTATCGGCAAAATTTATTGAATACCAATGAAGCATTATACGCTGGACAAGGAGTTCAATGGCGAACTGTCGAAAATGATAATTTGCCAAATCAAATTCTACTGAATCAAATTCAATCGGAGAATTTTAATCCAACACAAAATCAATTTCAAAATATTCCCATCAATAATCAAGTGATACCACAGGAGCCAAGAAAATTATCATTTAGACAGAATTTGGCATCTTATCGGCAATTTCAAAATTTCCGTGGACCATCACAAAATCAAGTTCCCAATGGATTTTTATCACCGCGTTATTCACCGGAATATGTTGCTAATTTAGATGAAGCTTTTTGTGAATCAGCAAAAGAAGAGAAAGCACAAAATTTAAATGAAACGTACGATCAACCAACGAGAAATGGAATTGATCTACCAAATATTGATACCACAACATTGACAAATAATGCCACATTTAATGATGATACATTGTCAATTGAATTCCTGCAAGATTCACCATCACCATCCGATGATGGCACTTCAAAAGGAAAAGACTTGGCTGTTAATACTGACATTGTACCAAATGCACCATTTCGAAAGAAAAAAGCACAAAAATTGGAGCAGTTAATGTTAAATGCAATAAATTCGCAAAATGATGTTGTCAATAAGGTGATTATAATTTATATTTTAATTTTAATTCAATACCTAATTTAGTAAAAAAAAAAATAATAATAATTTCTTCTTACTTTAGATTCTCACTGCACAAAATGATATGGTCACAAAATTCCTCGACTTGGATCGCAATCGTCAGAATAGATTAGAAAATCGTCTCGATCATTTATTGGACGTTGTGCAAGCGACCGTGCTGAATAAATCATCAGATCGTGAATCCGATCAACAAGAGCCGATAATAACTAATTTACTTCCACCACCAAAATTAGGAATTGTTCCACCAAAATTGGATTTGGTACCACCAAAACCTTGTCGATTTCCATCCACATTGACAAGTACTAACACACAAAACACAGAAATGACGAGACCTGGTGTAATTTCACCACCACCACAACCAAATCGAAGAATTGGTTCAATATGGACAAAATTAGGTCCCGTTTCACAATCACCATTCGTTAAGGCACAACAACAACTTGGCTTTCAAACAATTCCAAGTCTCGAATCACGAACACAATCATCGGCCGAGAGACGTATTTTACAGGAGATACGAATGAACATGGATCCAAGAACTGTAATTGAGGAGACATTGACATTTATTGAAAATGAACGACATATTCAAGAGAAAATTGAAAATGCCAAAATTCAATCAAACATGAATCAAGCGTTAACAGCGAAAAAACGTCTATTCACCAATCGTGAACCAACAGCGGCTATGATTTTATCGGCAGCATTTTTAGATAATGAAGCACAATACATTGAACTTGTTGAAAATGCACGTATAAATTCCGGTAATAATGATATTACTCGAATGTGTTTACGATATTTACATCAACAACCAACGAAAGAAAATGATAATCTTTTAGCTGGACAAGGCGATAGCTATGAACGTTTACGACGATTAAATATTGATGAGAAATTTATTGATGAGCCCTCCGATTCATCGACACCGGCAAAACCATCAGCACCACAACTCGAATCACGACCAACAATTCAACAATTAGCACAGCTTGTAATGCAAAGTTCTCGTTGGCGTGATTTAGCGCAAAATAAAGTAAAACCACTTGATGCGCCACCACCACCACCACCACCACCGCCAGCACCACGAAAAGATGTCAATTTAATAAGACGAGAATTTTTAAATGACGATCTTCGTCGTGAAGAACAAAAACGAATTGACTCAAGATTAAATGCTTTGAAACGCGAGGAACTTTTGGAAGAGGAGAGGAGAAAAATACAATTTTTAGAAGATGAAGAAAGAAAAAAACGTGAAATAATCAAAGCAGATGATAGAAGAATTAATGAAGGACTTTTGAGGGATAATAAAGGAATAGCAATTTTGAAGGATAATAATGAAATTGCAGTTGGAGAATTAGAGGAACGTTGGAGAAATAAATATAAATATAGCAAAGAACAAGATGGTAAAGCAAAAGCATTAAATTGGCTTCAGGATCGTTATTCATATGGGGATCAGATATCAAAAAAAATAAATCAAGGAGTAACGCGTCCAATTGGTTTTAGTGTTGACGATTTAAATATCATTGAATCGAGACGGGATAATTATAAAAAACCAACATTCGATGAGAGACTAAAAAATAATAGACAGAGTGTTCATTTTTGCGATGACATGGGACCATTTGGTCAATTGAAGCAAAATTATGCTCAACGCTATTATACATTGCAACATCAAAAATATTATATTGAAAATGAAGGCGCATTGATACCGCAAAATCGTGATATGATCGATCAATATATGCGTGAAATTGAATTGCGAAGAGTAAAAGATGATTCGGATGATGAAGAATTTTTGGATACTACTACGACAATGCCTCCTCCATTTCCACACACGAGAAGTTCATTGACCTCTGATGGAACATTGAAAGCTGGTAAAGGAACTTGTGTTATTAGTTAAACACTAAAATTTTATTTTTGCTTTTTTTTATCGCTTTACAAATAATTGAAAATTAATTTTTAAAATTCGAATTTTTCGAATTTTTTTGAAAGTAAAAAAAAAAGCTTATTTCTTTATCGCAGGAACGATTTTTTTTTCGTTTTACTTGAGTATTTTCATTTCGAATATGCTCAATGGCAATTGATAAATTATTGCAATAATAATTATGACTGAAATATATAGATTTAAACTTTAATGTACGATTAAAGTTATAAAAATTATTAAATGAAAGATTTTTCTATAATTTTTTTTTTTTTTTTAATCGTTATAAGATTTATAAGATATCATTTATTTGAAAAAAAATATGTATAACTAAATCTAGTTGCGACATTATTAATTGGAAAACAAAAAAAAAATTAAGTATTATAATTTGAGTTTATATTTTTAGTTTTATATTCCAAAATAAAACAAAAGCTTGATTTATTATTTTTTTGTTTTATTAAATAAAGTCGTGACTAGAAAATAGTGATTAATTTCAATATCTTTGGAAAAAGAAAATATTATCTCTTATGTAAACAGTGCTTCCATTTCAATATTAATTTGTAATGTTGATAATTTGTTAATTACAAAAATTCCTATATTTGAAAGAATTTTCAATTTTTCTCTTTAATGACTAAATTTTTTTTTTGGTTTTTTTATTATTCGCAAAATGATTGCAAATAAAGATATATTATTTTGTTTTGCTATTGTTTCTATTAAAATATTTAAAAATAACAAAAATCGAAATACTTTTGTTCATTTAAAAAAAAAAAAAAATGTGAAATTTAATTTTAAATTAAACTATTTTCATTGGGAAAAAAATTGGAAATTCTTTAACAGAAATAATAAAATGTGCCAGTGATAATGTTTTTGTTAATAATTAGTATATGTTATAGTTATTATATGTTCACTTTTATAAATAAAAACTTTTCTGAAAAGTAATCTATAATTTTTAATTTAATTTTTAACCAATTTGTTTAATATATGATAGTGAAATATTTTTCATTTTCCTTTGCGTGCGTGTATAGTAACTGTTTTAAACGAAAATGGATAATAGGAAAATTAGTCTTTACTTTTTTTTTTTTTTTTATTAAACTATATAGTTTATTTTTTTTTGCAAAATTACAAAGTCATTATTCTCATGTCTTTTTCTTTAGACAGTGATTGGATATTTTAAATCACCAATAAATAATTGTATATTTTGAAGATTAATTATGAAGAGTGATGGTTTATTTACTTCAAAAGTAACAGATTTCTCAGGAAATAATCGAGCAGATCGTCCCATTGTAATAGCTGTATGAAAGAAACGTTAATAAATAATATTAATTAATAATTAATGCACAGATTATTATAATATAAAAATGCGATACTTAAATAAGAAAATTAAACACATGCTCTGATTCGTGCTAAAAAGCTGATTAATTACAATTTTAACATTTAGTAATATAGCGGCTATTTGCAAATCACGTGCAATTAATTTTATCACACTTTCAAGAAAAAAATATATTTTTAATTATTTTTTTTTAATAGAACAAATTTTTAAAATAATTCTTAAAGGCTGTTCACAAAATACATAATTGAAAAAAAAATGTTTTATATTTATTTACATAAATTTAATATAATAAATAAAATTCGAATAATTTTTTCATAAAAAAAATTTTATTTTATTCTTCAAAATTATAATTTATTTGCTTCCCATCTTTCTTTTGCATTTTTGACTCCTGAATCTATTATGATATTTAGTGAATGAGCCTAAAAAGTCAATAAAACAAGTTTCGAAATATATATATTATTTTATTTTTATATAATAATATATAGAGTAATAAAAATAATTTAATTACAATAAAAATGAAAATTTCTTTTATGTACATATATAAAATTATAATTTATAAAATCATTATACAAAAATATTGAAATTTAAAAAAAAGGAAGTACATAATTTAAAATAACATTTGATCAAAAAATCTCCGTGTTTTATGGATTCACCAAATTTCCAACAAACAATGGAATATTTCCACGTGCAAGCATAAAGTAAGCTGGCCTGTCAACAACAAATTTTTCACGTCTTTGTGGCGGTGCTGGCATTCTCAACATCATAATTGTTCCTATAAACATCATTGTAAAATACACAAATTTCTTACATTTTGTTTTTGAAATATTTAAATTTCAATAACAAGAAAATAGAGTTTTTCTGTATTCGCAAAATTTTTTAATTTAAAAATTCTTTGGAGTAAAATTTCATTCCAATGACTCTCCATTTAAATTAGAGTAATATTAAATTTAATTTAAAATAGCTTTGATTTTTTTAATTTACTGGTCATTACTATATTTTTATCTATTTAGATATAATAATTAAAGAAATCATATATTAATTTTAAATTATTTTTTTTATTTTGGTTTATATACAAATACGCTGTATGAAAATTTTGTAAAATAACATAAAAATTATACTCTTATATTTACATTTTTTTTATTACACATTAATATATTTTAATTTTCTAATGGGTCAACGATACGCGCAGCAAATAAAATAGTTTTTTTATTCATGAGAAATATTAAGGCAGGATGATCAACTTCAAATACTTCTTGAAAGAAACCGGAAAACATTCTAACTGAAACTGCGACTCCTGAAACATTGATTATTTTCAGAAACATTTTATTTAAAAAAAAAAAAAAGATTAAAAGATTATGTCACACTGTCAAAAATGATTTAGGGCAAAAGGGAGTAAGAGGGGAGGATAAAAAGGCTTATTTTTTTAAACAATATAAATTTTATAATTTTGTTTTGTAATCCTTAGGGTTGAACAAACTTTTATATATATATATAAGGGATTAATTAGAAAATAAGGAAAAACTGAAAAGAAAGTTTAAATTAGCGTGACATAATTTTTTAATAATTCCTAAATTAATACAAAAATTATAAATAATATAAATATTAGTTATTATTTATTAAAATATTAGAAAACTCAAAATTAAAATTTCCAAACAATTTGCCAAAAATATCACACTCTTTGTGCTTATACTGTTACAAAATCAAGCGTGCCAAAAAAGCAATAATATATAAATAAATATATTTAAAAAAAAAAAAAGAAAACAAATTACACATGCTCCTGAAAAAAATTTATTTATTGACACACACATATAAATATTTTGTTGTTGTTGAAAAATTTGGAAAAAAAATTGATGAATTTGTATTATCACGCAGAAATAAGTAACTTTTTAAACAATATATATTATTCGAAGTAAAATTTGATTTACTTATATAAATATTTTTTGTATGATTATAAAATAATCTTTAATTTACCTTTATTTGAAATTTTTGACGTTTCCTGCGAAGAGTGAAATTCCATTTTCACCAATCGTTTGTTTAACGATTTGATAATGGAATGGATGATCGGCTTTAAATTCAAATGTTATGGGAAGTGATAATGCCACCATTACAACTCCTAAACATAGTCAATACAATACATTTTTCTTTTCTCACTGATTCAATTTAAATTTATGACCAAATATAACTTTTGACAAAGAAATTACTTAAAGAATCGTTTTTAATATAAACTATATATATATATATATATATAGTTTTGTTCGTTTCTTGTAAACGTCATTTAAAAAAAAGTTTACAGGAAAAGGATAAATTTTACAACTTTATTTTTAATAGCAATAATAGAATATATTTTTTAAATTAAAAAAATAAATAAGCGTATATACAGAGTACATTTAATAACTTAATTAATATAGTAGTATATAATTGTGTATTATATATTTACCTATTATAATTAAATCGCGATATTTTAACACACCCTTTTTAAAGTTGATTAATTACTTATAAATATTTTGAATAAAAATTCTATATTTCTGTTAAATACTTTGCCCATATTTTTTTATAATTACATTGTAAATTCGTTTTATTCGTTTTTTCACGTTTTTTATTTTTTTTTTTTTAATTTTTTGTCTCATTTTTTGTGACATTATTTGTGACTTTTATAAGACATATTTTGTGATCTTATTTTAAAAATAACAAATACATAATTTATAATATATAGTGATATTAAATTACTATATATTCTTACTTGAATAAATTAGGAACCAGCTTTGCGGTTATTAAGGTTTCGTTACACGACCTTGAAATAAAGAAATTTCATATCTTCCTTCAACTATACAGTATAAAAACTGTCTGTTTACTATAAACTCAATGGGAATTTGAATTGAATCCGTTTCGACAATAGCTGCTGTCAAAAAAAAAAAGAAAAAATTTTATAACTCGCCTATTTTTATATGGCACGGAAAATAATATTTTTGTGCTCTATATACCTAAGCATCAATTAAGTTAAACGTAACATTTTTTTTTAAATTACACGATATGCAAATTTATTTGTTCATGCAATAGCTAAATAATATATTTCATTCCCCTTATATATTATTATTATTATTATTTCTTCTTAAAAGCATTTTTATTAAACTTATTTCAAGCCCAAAATTAAAAAGCAAGAAAAAAAATTTCAATTAGTTTAATAATTAATACTTTTTTTTTAAATTATTATAAACCGAAATATGTAATAAAATGTTATTGAAAATAATTTTCTTCTTGGTTCAAAATTGAATTTACTCGCGTTGTAAATATTCTTTACTAGATTTTATCTTTTTTTTTTCATTATTTTCGAGGCTAACTAAATTTTAAATTCATGACGATCCCGGTTGCAACACATGGCCTTGAAACAGCATAATTTCACCTTCATCCTTTATTATCATGTATAAAAATGGTTTGTCCACATGAAATTCACCGGCTGTATCATAGGATTCCATCGTAATTTTTAATTCTGTCAAACAAATTGTCATTGTTTTGTAAAATAATAATAGTATAGTTATACTTTTAAATTCTTATGATTTGTATGTTAGTTACAATCGAAAGTAAGCAACAAATTTTTTCCGAATAGAAATAATCATATCTAATTTGTTTTATAATTTAAAAATAATAATTTATTCATGTTTTAACGTTGTAATTTTAACATAACAAAAAATTATTAGGAAAAAAGAATATTTCTTAAATTTTTATTGATTTTATTAATTTTTTTAAGCGATTTTAAGGATTTTATTTTTTAAAAAAAATTAAATTTGTGGTTCTTGAACGCGGCTGATAAATAAAGGACCAGTCTTGCTTTTTAAAATGGTCAAGAAAGGTTTGTCAGTACAAAAAATCTTAGGTTCCCTTCTTCTTGAACTTTTTTTTTTGATTGTTAATCCTACAAAAAAAAAAAAAATAATAAGTCAATTATTATTTTGTTATACTCTTATTTATATTTTCATTAGTAAAAGTTGTTTTATTTAAAAATTCAAATATTTTTTCTTTTTTTTTTTCTTTTAGATTTTACGGTTTTATACTTTTAAAAATGTAAACGGTTTTTGAACATTTACACAAACTTTAAACATTTAGTTAATTACATTTAGACATTTAAAATTTACTATTGCTGAGAAATATATTATTTCTTCAATTTTTTTAATTGTCAGATTCTACATTTGCCTGAAACTTCATTTGTACAAAAATTCATTTGCTTGAAATTTTATATGTTTTGAATTTTAATAATATTTATTTAAAATTTCGGACAAACGAAATTTTAAATAAATGAAGAAACAAAAGACAAATGAATAGTTTGCAGGATAAATAAAATTTCTTAAAAATGAAATTTTGTATAGAATTTCGGTTAAATAAATTATCTATTAATTGAAAATTTGCAAAAATATATGCGACTTTAAGTTGCATATAAAAAAATTTTATTCAACTTTATAAACATAAAAATTATTATATAAAAGCAAAATTATCACACGTAAAATTTGGTAAAATATGAAAATTTGGATTTATAATTTATATAAGCTGTTGCAAGATTTATGATATAAAGTTATTATGAATTGCCACTTTTGGATCCGTAACATGTCCATTAAAAAGAACGAGATTAGAGCCAATATTGTTGTTGTTGCGTGTTTTGTAAATTATAGAATATAAAAAGGGTCTATTGACATCGAAAATCACTCGTGGTTGAGGTGCGATGGGTAATGATGCAGGCACGATTACAATTCCTAAAGATAAATTTAGATACTTGTTTAATTATTATTAATTAATTGAAAACTAATTAAAATTTAAATTACATTTTATATGCATATTAATATTATATTTAAATATAACTTTCCCATCCAAAAGCTCGAAATAATGCACATTTTCTTTTATCTATATAAATAATTAGTGAAGCAATTAATGTGATTATTAAAAAATTTTATTAATGAAAATTATCTTTTGACTCTATGGTAGAGAATAATTTTATTTCGTAAACAAATTCTTAAATTTATTATATCTCCACTGATTTTGTTAGTCATTTGAATAATTTAATGAGCCAAATGTTTTGAACGTTCAAATGAACAAAATTTTTTTTTCAACTTCTTTAAGTACGAATTTTATTACAAAATATTGTTTTAAATATCTACAAAAAAGTTATTAATTTAATAATTGTTTAATTTACTGTTTTATTTTACATTGACATTATATTTTTTAATAATTTATAGATTGAAAAAAATATTTTGTTCATTTAAACGTTCAAAACTTTTGGCTCATATAATTTAGTATTATTTTTATTGTAATACTGAGATTTTTATTTTACTGCTGCTTTAGAGTCACACAAAAAAGGCTTTATTTTTAAAAGTATTATAAAATTTGGAATATAGATAGATATTTTGTTGATTTACATTAAAGATTATTATTCAATTGGATTTTTTACGTATCCATTGAATAAAAATATTGAGTAGTAAGAATAATTATTGTCGTGTAAATGTTGGATTATAGAGTATAAGAAGGGTTTATCAACTGCGAAGATCACTTTTTGTGGTAGCTTTATCATACCAGAACCTCCCATTCCAAAAAATCCTATGAACAAAAGAATTAAATCTTTTCTTTTTGTTTAAAAGACCATGTTCATCAACAAGCAGTGGTATTGAAAATGATAAACATAATTTTGTCTATGCTGATGGAGTTGGAAATAGCCGTAAAATATAAAATTTTCAAAATTTATTTGTATGAAATTTGATTTATTCAATATTTGATTCAATAATATATGAGTGTAGTGATATCAAAAAATATCTAATCTACAGTGATTTAAGTAACAAATATTTTAATTTTTTATTTATTTCTGATGATGTTGTTGATAGAATTTGTAGTTTTGGGTATCAATCAAAAGTTTTCAAAAGTCCACCAAATAGAGTTATTGGGAAGTTGTTTCTGTAGTGTTTGGTATAAATTAAATGATATAAGAAGGGTCTGTTGACATCAAAGATCACCGGTGATGGTTCTATGTTCAGAGACGTCGTTTCAACCATTATAACTGCTAAGAAAAGATTAATTTTATGTATATATAGTGTTGTAAAATTGATAAATTCTTTATATTTTTTTAAATCAAAAATTTTAATGTGTTTGATAAAAGTGTTGAGGATCCAAAAGTTTATTTTTCTCAACTATTTTTATTGACTTAAGCAATTTTTCTCTGCGAAAAAGAAATAATTAAAAGATTTTCAGAATATATAAGCAACAAAAGCTGATTTTTTTGGGAGGTTAATTAAAATCATTGTATTGTTTTATTTAATTATTAATTCTTTTACATTTTGTGTGTACGAAGTAATTGAAAACTTACATATTTATTAATTATAGCCGAAATTTAAAGTATAAGCAAAACTCTTTTGAAAATAATTATTAAATTTAAAATAATGCACTATTGTTCTTGAATTATTGGTTCCTTAATGTGACCACTGAATAGAACTATTGTTGAAAATAAGTTTGTGTTGTGTTTTTTGTAAATTAAATAGTATAAAAAGGGTTTATCAACAGTAAATATCACTGGTGGTGGTTGTGCGAAGCTACCCACAGAATCCACATAGGCAATCATTGCTAAGAATAACAATAAATTATTGTTAATTTTGATGCTAATATCATTTTCATTTTATAAAGAAGACATAGAAGACAAAGTTAAAATGAAAAATTCATTATTATTCTTGAATTATTATTGGTTCCTTAATGTGACCACTAAACAAAACTGTTGTTGCAAAATTGTTTGCGTTGCGTTTGTTGAAAATTAAATAGTATAGGAAGGGTCTATCGACAATAAATCTCACTGGAAGTGGTGTGAATACATTTACACTTGTTGCATATGAAACCATCACTGCTATAATACAAAAAAGAATTATCCTTATCTTCTTTTATAAATTTTTTTAATTTTCTTTATCAAAATATTTATGTTACATATGAAAGAAAATGTTTATGTCCCTTGAGATTGGTTAGGTGTAAGATAAGTTAATTGTCTGAAATTTGCAATACTTTATTTTTTTTTTTTTTCTTCACATTTCGCCTTTGTTTTTATACTAAAAGATTATACCAACATTATCTACAATCGAATATTTTTAAAGAAATAATAATTTAATTATTTTGAAATTGGTTCCTTAACGTAACCATTGAATAAAATAATTACATTTGAGTCAAAATAATTGTTTTGTTTGTTGTAAATTAAAAAATATGAGAAGGGTCTATCAACAGCAAAAGTTTTCTTTGTTGGGTTTATACTAGCAGACATCAGCATGATTTGTAGTCCTAAAGACAAAAGAGTTTTTTTTTTAATTTTAATAGTGATCCAATTTTTTTTGTAAGTAATTCCTTTTTATTACTTATATATTAACAATATTAATAATATAAGAAAAATATGGCAATTATTATTTATATTATAATCTACATAATTTTAAATTATAATGAAAATTTGATTTATCTTTTTAAAGAGGTTCCTTAAGGTGACCATTAAATAGAGTTGTTGAAGGAGAATTTCTTTTGTGTTTTTTGTAAATTAAAAAGTACAAGAATGGTCTGTCAACAGCAAACATAACTGGTTCTCGTTGTCTGACTGCCGTTTTAAATAAAACCAATGCTGAGAACAAATTTTAAATTGAGTATTTCTATTCGTTAAAAATTGGATTTTAATTTAAGATTATGTTTTTGATTAACATTGCTTAATGTATTGAGAAATAACGTAAAGCAAATTATAACTATCTAAAAAAAATCGACAGTTTAAATAAAATAATTAAGATCAAATATGATTCAAAAATATTCCACATCAATAAATTATTGAGATAGACAATCAATATGAAAGTAAGCTTTATACAACAAACAATTTCAATTTAATAATCTAATTAATAATTATTGAATTAAACCGAAAAAATAAACATTTTTATTAAATGGGATCCTTAAGGTGGCCAATAAAAAGAATAAGTAAAATTTTGAATTGTAAGTTTATAAAATTTACAAAAAATATGTCTGTGTCATAAATTTGAATCGGCTCTGTATACAGATCCGACAACAATATATCACTGCCGAAAGAATGACAAATTTTTCAACTGTATTAAAAATTAATTTATAGTAAAAACTCATTATCATGAAAACTATTTTGCGACTGGATCCTTAAGATGTCCGCCGAATAAAACTGTCGTTGTGTCAGAGTTCGTGTTGTTTTTGTTGTAAATTAAAAAGTATAAAAATGGTTTATCAGCAGCAAAAATTGGAGTTGGTTTTGAATACAGAGATGATCCCACCATTATTAATACTGCTAAAACAATATTACAGCATTGTAGATTTTAACAATTAACTTATTGTGAAAACAATTTTTTTTTAAATTTATTTAATCGGTTTTCAAACTAAAAAGGCATAACAGTAAAAGCAAACAATAATGCAAATTTCAGCAATATTTTTATTTTTTAAATATATTTTCGTGGATTTTAATAATATAAATTGCGTGGAAAGCAGTGAGATATATTAAAAAAGATCCGTGTACTAACTTTTTTTTGTGTATACACAAAAATAATTAAATTTTTAAATGAGGGAATGCCTTTTTAACTGGTGTATAGATGAAATATTTTTCCTCTTAGTATATAACGCTTGAGTTCTTTAACGAATTTCATGTAAGATAATGGAAAAAAAATGTTCAGTTAAATAACGAATATGCCAATGATTAATGAAAACTAATAGTTAAAAAATAATAATATGATAATAAATCTCTCTCCTCTCTTTCTTTCTATTCTATAATTATCAAAAATAATCAGTAGTCTGACTAAAAACACCTACACGAAAGCTTTTTATTGGCTACTCTTCAAAATCATAAACCAACAACCAATAGTTTCTTCATGATCTTAAAAAAAAGCTAATAAAATAAGCAGGAGTTTAGTGTAGACGTTTTTATACAGGATATATAACATAAAAATCAATTTTATGAGTAATTTGTTTATTTAACTATAAAACTTAAAAATATAATAACTGATTGGAATTTAAAAAAAAAAACATATTTACAAAGATTTGTATCCTAAATTAATATTAATTAATTATCTTTCAGGGTCTGTAACGCGTCCATTGAACAAAGACACATCGGAAAAATCAAATGTATCATTTTGGTCATCCAGATAAATAACGTTGGCAAATAACGTGTAGAAAAATGGCTTGTCGACTATAAATTGTTTCGTGGGCTCTGGAAGACTATCAATCCGCAAGGTAATTGAGTACCCTATAAAAAAAGATAAAAATTCCATTTCGACTCAAAAATGATTTTACACTTTGTAAAATTTTAATTTTTTATGCATATACCGTTATTCTTTACAATTGTTATTTAACTTGGAATTTTTGTCGTTATTTAATTTTTTTTTATATTGTTATACTTGTTATTGAAGATGAAATTTCATGAAAATTACATAATATTAGAAATTCTAAACTAATTAACATTTATCGAAATGTGTTTATTTACAATGATTTTATAAAATGAGATATATAACAGATATATATATATATATATTCTTATTACAATTAAAAATGAAATTATAATTCGGGTTTAGTAACATGACCATTAAATAATGTTGTTTCGGAAATATAAATTGGAAGTGAATCTTCGTCTCTATGGATAACATTATAAGCTAATATATAGAAAAATGGTCTGTTGACTGAAAACGTTATCTTGGGCCTTGGGATAATTGCCGAGTATGCAATAGCTCTGAACTCTATAAAAAAAACATGAAAAAAATTGTTTCAAGTTTTGTCTATAAATAATATTCTTTTTTAAATGAATTTTTCCATCACCTTTCACGACCGAAACCTTTAGAAATTACTGATATTGTTAATTTATACTGACACCAGTTATAATATAGTTTCATTCAATTAAATATGTTGATTAATTTTATCATATGAAAATTATTTAAATTAAAGTAATAATTAATTTAATTATACTTTAATTATTTACAAGTAAAGATTAAAAAGGGATCCTTATTTATACAATTTCCATAAAAGAGGAGAGAAGAAACATTTATGAATTTTTAACATGTTGATAATGTAATGTTTTTGTCAAAAGATATATGTCAATGTTTTGATAAATTATTAACTAGATTATGACTCGTTATGGTAGATTTTTTAAATTCGAGTCCCCCTAAATTAATATAATAATAAAAAGATGACATAAAGAATGCAATGGAAATGATTTCCCATCAATATTATAAACATGGCATGCATTCTAAGATTGTTTAATTAAACATTTTAATAATGTTTTAATTTATTTTTTTATCAAATATAAAATTTAATTGTTGATATACTATTTTAGGTTTCATATATCAACCGCATATATTAGATCAATATTTTATCCATAAATTGTAACAATATTGTCATGTCGCACTTTGACTTTTTCGTGATAAAAAAATATTACGATTAGATTCTCGCTTATTGAGCGAAAAAATGCGTATACATAAATAATACCACTTTTACCCTCTGACTTTTTTTTTTTTTTTTTTTTTTGAACGCGATAGTCAATACAGCATTCAGCTGGATCGAAATTGCTTAATTAAATAGACTTAAAAAAAAATATTCAATACCAAATAGCTAAATAAAATTAAAACAAAATTATGCTTTATATTAATGATTTTTCTTTTCTTTTTAAAAAAAAAGAATACCTTTATGATTTTTTTAAAAGGATATTTTCATGCAGCTTTAGTTGCAAAATTAAAATTTTTTAAATACATGCATAGTTGCATTTTCGAGTATAGTAACATTCCGTTTTTTTTCCTTTTAGTCATGCATTGTAATTAGCAATCGATGACTTAAAAATTATAAGACCAGAGTATTTTTAATTTCAAAGCTATTTTAAACTGAGAAATTTGAGATGAAGCAATTTTGTTTTGCGATAAACCATATATATATATAAATAAGCCAAACTCTTGTGCTGTGTGACAATGTTGTGATATAAGTGATTAGAATATTGAGTTCATTGCGTTGTTTCATTTTGCTGGATTTTTTTTTTTATAATATATTGTAAATGTTTTTGTGTTGCATTATGTTTGCTTTTACGTTTTTCTTTGTGCTTTATATTAAAAAACTGCAAAGCCAGCCACCGTAGAAAAAATAAAAAATTTGAAAGATACTCCAAATAATATTCTTCTTTTATATAATAATTTCAAATTTTGTCAGATATGGACGTTTTAACTCAGATTACAAATTCCACATTCGTTATATTTTAATATAGTTTTGCGTGAAAATATATATATTTGGAGTTTCTGCCAAAATTTATTTCAAAAAAAGCGATAGAAAAAAAATTGTAATATTTAAACAAACATTTTGAAACTTACCAGTTGCTGCAGCAGCCTCTGATCCTTCTTCATTTACTTCAATGAAGGCTTTTTGTATAACCTTACTCACTTTAAGATCAGCATCAGCAATATTACGGAAGTTAGCTTGATCGGTGAACATTTCTCCCATTCCCATCTGAAATCAATTCAAAATGATTTTTTTTTTTATTTAAATATCTAAAATTAAAATACCCAAATATAATAAGAATTTTTTATAATTGTCTAAAGAGATTGGCAAATTAAAACAAAAGTTTATAATAGTGGAAAATGTTTCATATTAAATTGAAAAAAATTTACCTCAGTCAAAGTATCTTGAAGATCGATGGTGCTTTCAATTTTGAATTTTGGAAGGTATAATTCTACTTCAACTTGTTGTCCTTGGCGTCTAATATCATCAAGATTCATTTCTGACATTTTTTGTTCCACTTCTTGAAGACCATTGATTTCATCGGGCAATACAATAAGCATGCTAACTTCATCACCCTATTGTAGGAAAAAAAAATCATCATATTTTAATTTGCATTCTTTTTATATATATTATTCTCGAATTCTTTTATGATTCTATCGTGTTAATAATTTTGCTATATTCAAAATGGGGTTTTTTTTCCCTTTGATCTGAATTTAGCTAAAAATCTTTTTACCTTATAAGGGATTTCGACGAATTTGGCCTTGAGATTAGGAAGTTCACCATAGATGAGTTTGCCATTTTTGAACATTGTTGGCACTTCTTTGACAGTTTTTTCATCAACATGGAAAGGTTTGTTGTGAGTATTGTTAGCATCGAATTTCAATTTCCATTGACCTTTGAAATAGACCGCATTAACGAGAACCATAGCAGTGGAAGCATCAACATCGTCTGAAAGTAAAATTATTATTATTATTATACAGATATTTAAAAATTGTATTTTTTAATAGACCGTGATTTATTTTAAAAAAGTTGTTATAAATCCTCACCAGGTTTAATAAGATCTTTAATTTTGTTGTTGGTCTTTTCCTCGCACCAAGCATTAATGGTTTTTGCCGCTTCACTAGATTTTGAGAAATCAAGTTGTTGTTCTTCGGATCGGAAATTATTTTTTGTCAATGCTTTGAATTCTGGTTTCACTTCAAGGTTGACACTGGGAAAGATTTTGTTGGCGAGTTTTAGATCCACTTCCTTTACACTCTGTAATATTTATGATGAATTTATTAATATAAAAACAGTAGAAAATTTTAAATTTGGTTTTTATTATTTTTGTAAAAAAAAAAAGTATAATTACATTTAGACTGTCAATTAGGTTTTGGTATCCGGATTTGGATACATTATCATCACTTGGCATTCGAAGAACCTCTTGCATTTGTTTTTTAGTGTTATCCCGAGCACCAAAAGATGCCATTGATAAGACGACATTTGCACTTAGTGGAGAAGTAATTAGATTTCCTGGTTGTTTTTTCGCTACAGTCTGAAAATTTAGAATTTTTTTTTTTAATGTTTTCTCTTTGTATTTGTCATTTAATTATAATCCCTAGTCAATTTCTTATCACATCATCAATTGTTGATAAGATTTTCTTTTTTAAAAATGATGAGAAATAAAGATTTTATAACGTTAGCCAAGTCACGAATAACGATATAAATTAAATTTTTCTATATAAAAAGCATTGTTGTGCATTTTTTTTTTTTTTTTATTATAAAATATTAAAGCATATTTTTTTCTAAAATTAAACGAAATTCATTTAAAAAAAAAGTTGCATAACTCTCAATTGAAGAGACATAAAAATATGATAACGAGCTGTATAATTAAAAATGCACATTTATAAAGATTTACCTTGAAAAAGTTTGTGGAAAATTGTTCGGCACCTCTAGAGACAGCTTCAAGAGGAGCAATTTGCTTGTCAACAGCTGCAGCCATCGTGTAGGCCGTTAATGCACACAAAAATATAACTGAAAAAATAATTGAAGATAGACAATTAATATATACTGTTCGTGCAGTATATCGCGTCTAACATATATATATGTATATATAAAAAAATATATCTTTTAATCTGTGATTCACGTCGAACATATATATGTATAGACAGTATTGAAAAAGTGAACGTGACAACCACAATGAAACAATGATAAATTACAACTGATGACTCGAATGATATACCTGTACCTCTCTAACCAGTTAAAATGAATCGATATTATTTTATCAAATTATTCCTGCAATTTTGTAACACGTAACACACCACATAATGAGTCATAATTTATTTTTACTCTTGCGTGAACATTCTTATCAAAACTTGAAGTTAATGAAAATGTTTTTCCAAAGAGTAGAAAAAAATAGTGCAGGTAATTAGCATTTAGAATGTGGAAATAAATTCTAAAGTCAAAAATTTGCACTTTAATAATATTATTTCATGAAATTTTTATTATATAAATAATTATAATTTTTTTCAGATTTTTCATTTATTGATTTTCATTATTAAATTTTCATTTCGTTCTTATGATACATTTTTTTATACACTTATAATCTCTTTTTTAATTATATTTAAAATTTTATTTTAATTTCATGAGCCGAATGTTTTGAACGTTCATATGAACGAAATATTTTTTTCAATCTATAAATTATTAAAAATTATAACGGCAATGTAAAATAAAACAGTAAATTAAACAATTATTAAATTAATAACATATTTTTAGATATTTTAAACAATATTTTATAATAAAATTCGTACTTAAAGAAGTTGCAAAAAAAAATTTCGTTCATATGAACGTTCAAAACTTTTTGCTCATTTAATTTCTGTCGTTGAACTAAATATATATATATATATATAATGTGATATTTTAGTTTGTATTTTATTTTTAAAATTTGCACATTTATATGAGTTCACTGAACAATATTCTTATACAAGGTTGTATAATTATTGATGCAAGAAGTTTATACTAAAAAAATGGAATAAAAAAAAAAAAAAAAAAAAAAAAAAAAATTGAAATAAAAATAGAGGTCACGGTAAAGATTTCACTATATGATTCATATTATTTCTTCTATATACTGGTTTCAATGCTTTTAAAAATGATAAATTCAATATTTTAGCAAATATTTAAATTTTGAATAATCCTCGAAAAATACCCATATTTATTTTTCACGATCACTATCTAAATATTCAATCAATACTGTCCTGTTAAAGTAAAAGACATTCGTCACTTTTAATCTATCAATTAAAAAGATTTCACTTCTATTTTTTTTTTTTTTTTTAATGTTTTTCAAGAATTTTTTCAGCATTTTATCGCGTACGATCAAAATAAATAATGTAGCTTGGGAAAAATCAATTAAAAATCAATATAATGTTATTCAATGATTGGAATTAATTGTCATTTTTTGAATACACAAACAATAGAGTCTTTTTATCTTCTTACTGGAATCACTAAGTTTTTTTTTAATTTCAATTACAATATTAGTCTCTTATTTTACAAGATCTTGGAAAAAAATTGAGTGTGTTATTAAAATTATGAATTGTTTATTGCTATAATTATTCTTATTATTATTTAAATAAATAAATAATTTTTGTAACTTTTTATGTTTCAGTCATTTTGGGAAAAGGATTTTTCATGTGATTTTCGAGAATTTGTGGTAAGTCTTTTTGTCAATAAATTTTAATAATAACTGAAAAATAAATAAAATAAAAATATAAGAAAGACTAAAGACAAATCTAGTAAATTAATTTTTTTTAATTAAATTAAATTAATTAAAGCAATAACAGCTGTTATATTGTAAACAAAAGTGAAAGAGTTGTATAAAAAACTATATTAGTTATACAATATTTATTTATATTACATAATTTTTTGTTTTATTTGGTCAATGACACAAATTTTTTTAATTTTCAAATGATCTAGATAAATTTTTATTAATTAATTTAACATAAATTAATTGACGTTGTTTGAATAATTTTTTTCAAAGAAAACTAATATTGTAATTATAATGTAGTTCTATTTGTCTTGAGCATGGCCTTAAAGTTCAATGTAAAAGTTTTATGTTTCAACTGGGACTTTTGTATGAATTTTTTTTAAATATAATATGTCCTTCGAGCGATTTAATTTTATTAAAAAAAAAGAGACAAGATAAATAGAATTAATAAAATAGATGATAATTATAATATAATATATACATTTTCATTCTATTTGATATTATTTTTGACACTTGTGAACTAGATTAGTTCAAGGTCTATGCTACTTACGAGATAAATACATAATTACACATATATTATAATAATTCTTGTTTATCATGGTAACAAAATATTTGGTACTTTTTTTTAAAATTCACTCTGTAGAATAATTTATTAGCGCAATCAAATTTAACAATTAAAATTAAATTCTATTTTAAAAAATTAATATAATATATTAAAAATTAATTGATATGAAATAAAAAATGGAATATTAAAAGAAATTAATTCCAAAATTTATATGTGCAAATTTGAATTTATTTAAGTATTTAACATTTTATATCAATGTAAATGAAAGTTAATGCTTCTTTTTTTCGTTTTCAATAACATAAAGAAATCCGATAAAAAGTTTATATATTTCAAGAAACATCTGATTAAATAAATTGTTGTTAACATCTGTTATTTACTTATAGAAATGGAATTTGTTTAAGGAAAATATATAAAAAAAAAAAAAAAATGCAGGAAATCTCATTTTTTATATGTATTTCTTATTTTTATGATCTTTATAAATTTTCCGAACAATCATTTCATAAATGAAAATTATAAATTCAAAAATTACAAATAGAATTATTATTTAAATATGCACGTGACTTTTAACTTTAGCATTAAAGCAATAAGGCCAGGGTCATATTTTTGATCAGATTTAATATGGGAGGTGCCAAAATATAGAGCGGAAATAACAAATATCATTTTTACATATATATAAAACAAATATATTTTATCTAAATTTATATTAGAAGTAATTTTTTAATTATCATTCAATTGATCAAAAAATACGCTATTAAAGTAATATTAAATATTTTTTTTTGAAAAATAATATTTGTTGAAGAATAATGAACATCATAAAGATCATCGGTCACAATTCTTTTATCATTATATACAGACATTTTCCTTTTCAATTCTCATTTATTCGCATCTGATTACATATATCAAGGTGTTTAAGTCAAAACAAACAATATTACATTGGAATTGGAAAAATACTCTTTTTTTCATCGTTAATTTTAAATATTCAATATTTTGTTTTATATAATTAATTTCTATTAATGTAAAGATCACATCAGGATATTAATTTTTTATATTAATAACATTTTTAATAAGTCTTTTTTTTTATAAGTACATACAAATTTTTAGAATAAAAAAACTGAATAAAATATTGGGGAAAGTGGTTTAGATTTGAGATAATTATACGGGTAAAACAGGTGAAAAAAAAAATAGTGGTACGTTTAAAATAATGTAAATAGATTTTTTTTTCTTCTGGAAATTATCGTCAGTCATATGAGTCATTAGTGTATAGCTATACTCTAAAAAGCAATTCATAACACAAAATGTGTAACTGCAACCTTGAATGAATTAGACCTGATGATCGCAAAGTTCCTTTAGAGAAATAACTATATCCATTCATAAATATAATTATTATCTATGTGTATTGCTTATGAAAAATTGTATTTTATAAAAAAAAGTTATTGCGTAAAACACTAATTAATTATAATAAATACAAAGAAAATTTTATGTATTTGTTGCGCGGGAAGGACATACGAAAATTCTTAAATGATGAAACTAAAAAAATAATATTGAACACGTTGCACGTTCCATTAGATTGCTTTTATATTTTCCTAATTCACAACAATTTAAAATATTACATTAGAAATATTGTATAACTTTTTTTTTTACAATTTAATTATAACTTATATTTTTCCTATAGAAAATAGTTATACATATAATCATATATAAGAACTGAAATATGAAGTCGAAAGTCGTAAAAAAAATCACTTTGTACTGAATACCCAAGAGTGTAAAATAACTTTGTTGAAATATTACATAATTGAATTATCATTTACATTTTTTTTTTTAATTAAAAATAATAATAATAATATATTAATGACCAATGGAATAAATTGCATTAAATTATAAATAGTGAAAAATGATTAAAATAGTGATAATTGTAAAAAATTAAAAAATGCACGTAAGATAAAATATTTTTAAAAAATGTTTTTGTTGAGATAACAATGATTGTTAATTAGTCATTTGAATTTTAAGTATATTTGCCTAATCATTATTATATTTATACTTCAGAAATTTACGTTTATCATGAACCTATGATGAATACACGAAAAAATCAACTCCTTTTTTCATAATATTTATTATCTATGAAAAATTGTTTTTTTATTTTTTTTTTGGGTGGGGGTTAAAATTTCCAAAAAAAAATGGGCTACGTAGTTTATGAATATTCCCTTAAATTCACTTAATATTTGGACTAACTATAAAAAATATATTTGTTATGTATAAAAATTTTGTTAAGCAAGAACACAAAATAGAATCTTTGTATGTCCTTCCCGATAAATATAAATATTTAACGATTATAGTTAAAAATGAACTTAAAAAGTAATACTTTTTTAAAATATTTTTTCTAAAACATCTTTATTATTATTTACAAAAATAAAAATTCTGTTATATCGCACTATAAATTTAGCAAGTAATACTTTTTTTAAATTATATTTTCATAATTATTGACTATATTAATATTAATTAATTGTAGCTAAGAAATAATTAACCTATAATTAAAATAATTCAATAGCTTCAAAGAAACAATTATTATGGCAACAAAATAATTTTGTACTAATAGTCAATAAAAATTTTTCTATACAATAACCATAAATAAATAAAATTTCGATGAAATAAAAATTTTATAAATTAAGATAAAAAATTAAAGATGATTTAAAGTTTGAATCAATGAAATATTTTAAAAATTATAATATTTTAATTCCAAAATAAGAGTAAATTAAGCACACAGAGAAAAAGTATTATACACTATTTTTTTTTTACCCAACTGTTTTTAGTTAGTTTAAATAATATTTGTTGATAAATATTAAATTAATCAATAAAATAAAAAAATTAATTAAAACAATAGAAGAATGAAATGAAATAAAAATGAATTAATGAAGTGACACAAAATATAATTAATATAACACACACACCATAATTAGAAGTAAATTTAAATAAAAATCATAAAATAGAAATTAATGAGAAAGTAAAGTAATTAATTAAAAATAAATTAGTATAATTTTATAATTAATAAACAAATAAATTTTACTCACATAAACGCATTTTTAAAAAAATAAAACTAATTCACTACTGAAGTTTTTTTTTTTTTTCGTTTTTTTGCTTTTCTTGAACGTTAATTTTAACCGATAAAGAGACGATACGAGCTCAACGTCAATCGCAGACGATATGAGTTTGCAAAGGTTATAACGCCGCTATTTAAATCCAAGTCTCTTAGTTGTCGAATGGATCAACGATTTCTGTTTTAATGGATTCAGAAGTTTGACGCATAGGGATTCTCGCTCGTTAGAGCCATAGGGGGAAGGGGGCCCCTTATTCGAAAATTTCTCTTTTCATTTTAATATATATATATATTTAATCACCATATATATATTTCGGGTGTCAGAGGTCAAGGTGTGTACACAATTTAATTGACTATAAAGTCATTGATGTTAACTACGCGTTATAACTATTTGATATATATATGATAAAAAAAAAAAAATACGTAAATCATATTTTTACAAATAAATAAAATATAATTTTACGAACAAACGACATAAAAGCACAAAAAAATCAAGTTTAACAAAAGTGTTGGGGAAATCCAATTCTCTAAGGTATACGTTTTAAATTTTAGTCATGAAATTCGAATATAATATTTTGTGTGTGTGTGTGTGACTTTTTTTTTTCTCTCATCACATGAAAGAAAAACTCACATCATACAATATATAGTTGGACACATTTCTAATGGCATGTGACCCTGAAAGTTATTTTGTACTTTAATTATTATTAGGAAAAACCCAGTCTTCAACCGGAAGAAAATTTATTTTTTATTCTTACACAATATTTATTATCGCACGAGGAAATATAATTGCATTTAATAATGTTTCCCCCCCCCTCCCCCATTGTTTCTAAATAATAAATTCTGAGATTTAAAAAAAAAATTTCGAAAAGTTTAATATAATAATTTTATTGTCACTATTTTCATATTGAGAGGAAATTGTCTTATTTGAGAGCTCTTAAAACAAGAAGATTTTATTTTGAAAGAAAGAATATGTTAAAATGAGTATAATTTTTGATTTTCAATTTTTTTGATTGAAAATTTTCGTTTTTATAGTATTGAGATGATTTGTGAGAAAGAAAAATTGTTAGTTTTTTAAACAGCAGCATTTCAAATAAACGCGCTTTTTTCATCAGTGAGACCATTTTTGAGTAGATTGTATATATAGTGAATTATAGAGGATATTTCTTAAATTGTTACTGCATCTCTAAAATTCGGGGTTTCTTTTTTATAAATAAAATGAATTTATCTTGTGAAATTCTGTTAATGATAATATATACTTCTTTGTTTTTTCTACTAATTCCTATTATCTTATTTATTGACGATAGGCTTCGTAGAGAAATAGGGAAACTTTTGTTTCGAAAATTAATTTTATCGTGAAATTATAGGAATCCCCATATGTAGAATGAGACAAAGAATTGAACAAATATTTGTTCAAGTTTTCAATTATTATCAAGAATATTGATGAAAGAATGATTCATTATTTCACTTGTTCTTTTCTCTATATAATATACCTGCTTTCTTTCAGTCATATAAGCATAAAAAATATATTTTTTATTTTCGCAAAAAAGCCCCCCCCCAGGAATGTTTATAATTCCTTAAATAATAATTTAAATTCGCTTCTTTTATGTAATTCAAAATATCTATAATTTTAGCTTCATTTAATTCGAGAAATTATAAATAATATAATTTTTATAATATTTTCTAACAAAATTGTGTAATATTATTTTACAGTAGTTCTTACAGTAAATAATATTACAATTGTCATTAATTTGTTAATGAATAATTCTTTTGTAAAACCTTTAAAAAAAAATTGCTTTAATTTTTGAATGCAAAATATGTTTTTTTAATTTTATATATTAAGAAATTATTATTCGCACAAATAGTTTCTAAAGAAAAAATGATAAGACATTTGCTAAACACTTGCTTCATTAACATTTACTAAAAATAAAAAAAAAAGTCATTAAATTTATCAAATATTTTTAAAAAATTTCCTTGTTTGGCAAAATATTTTCAAAATATTTAAAAATTTATTAATTAATCCTTTAAAATTACAATGTGAATAGAAATTATATTACTTTTTATTAAAAAAAAATTGTTGCACAATAAAGTTTTGCAATTTATATTATAAATAGTTTTTATTTTGACTCACCAAGTATCTATATCAAACTTTTGTTATTAATTAAACACGTGAATTTTTATTTTTCAAATAGAATAATCCAAAAGAAATTATGTGTATTTCAAAAAAAAATTTCAAGAATTAAACTTTAAAAAAATTTTTAAATAAATAAATATTGTTATTTCGAAAATTTTCTAGGTTACTATTTTTAGAATTTGACACTTAGATTTTAAATCGTACACACAAGATCAATAATTTAAATATGCAAAGATCAATTTAAACAATTTGTTTTCAAGCCAATTGAAATCAATATATGTATATATATTTTTTTTTATTAATTATCTAAGATGAAATAATAATTAAAAATCATTTTGTAAGAAACTTTGAAGCACATTTAAAAGAATCGAGACATTTCTATATTGTTATTATTATTTCCACAAGTAGGTGTGTCACTATTGTCGGCAATGGTGATTCTTCATTTGTTGGCTTATGGTTACAAGGAAAGTTATATTATGAAACTTTTAAGTACTTACGAAACTTGAAACTTTCTATAAAAAAAAAACAACTTTTTTCAATTTCATAATTAAACTGGCAAAATTCGGAAAAAAAAATCATATTTCAACAATAATTGAAAAATTATTAATGATCATGAGGCTGACTTACTAATTAGTTACATTAATCTTTATATTATGCTTAAGAAAAAAAATTATAAAAAAATTTTGTGTGTTTTTTTTAAAATAAGTACTTATAGGAAAATTGTTTTTTTTTAATCTTATAAGAAACAATTAAGATTGTCTTATTCATATAGAAACTTTAACATTAAATATTTTTTTAATACATTCTTCACGAGATATTCATGTCTTCTCGGCATTTTTGAAAATTATGTATAAATAAATTAAAAAATTATTAATTTATTAATAATTAATTAAATTAATTTTGAAAAAAATCAAAATGTTTAAATGTTATTTTCGGAGTTTTTACTATAAAATAATTTTTTCTCAATTTATAGGTGTCCAATCATGAAGGATGGGTGTTTGTTGCGGAGCTGCTCCTGGAGGAGATCTGGCATTGCTGAGTCGCAGTACAATGTAAGTTTATTATTTATTAATTTTTTCCATAAATTTTTGTATTGAAAAATTATGATATTAATAGTTAAAAAAACAGAATTATAATTAATATGTATAACTGATAATACAATTGGGAACTGAAGCCATATTTTGTTCTGTTTCTTCTTCAATAAAAATTTTGAAGAAAGGGATAAAAAATCAAGATGACTAATACCACGTGGTCATTTTCACGTGATTTTAGATCTCAATGTTAATTTAGTATTTACAATATTATATTTCGTATAGAATATAATGGATTATTTATTTTTATATCTTTTCTTAAAAATTTTCAGCCAGTTGGTCCAGGAGAGGGAAGATTTGTCTTTTTGAAGAAAAAAGAATGCTGTCATCGTATATCTACCACGATGCGGAAAATCGCTGAAGGTAAATTTTTTCTTTCAATAATTAATTTTATACACTTAAAAATTAAATTTAAAAATAACGTAAAATTCACGACAAAAATTTTTTTTTTATAATTAATCAATAAATTAATAGAAACGCGACTTTGCCTTTTGAAACTTGAAGAGACGTAAATCTTTCGCGCGTTTATTATATCTTTCCTTAAAAATTTTCAGCTAGTTGATCCAAGAGAGAGAAGATTCGTCTTTTTTAAAGAAACAAGAATGCTGTCATCGTATATACCTACCACGACGCGGAAAATCGCTTAAGGTAAATCCTTTTTTCTCAATAGTTCATTTTATACAAAATTAAATTTCAAAATAACTTAAAATTTACGACAAAATTGTTTAATAATTGCATAAACTTATTTTTAATAATTAATTATGTAAATAAAGACGCCTTTTGCAGCTGATGATATAAGAGACTTAAATCTTTTTAGTGTTAATTTTTTTTCAGTTTTTTTTTTATATGCGTGAATTTTTTTTTATTTTCAGATCATGCCCAAACAATAATAATCTCTGAAGGACAGGAAGGATGTGGAGGAAGAAAAAGTGGCCCCTGCATGCTACCAATTATTCCAAAAGTAGTCTATTTTTTATATATTTTTGTTTTTGCTTGGTAGCATAACTCCTGGTCTCCCGCAGATGTGCAATATGGGAGGGATCTCCGTGGAGTGGTCCAGAAGCGGTCGAGAAGTGGCGATGTAACCGTTGCCCCGACGTGGGATTCGCCGATCGGTGAGTCGTTTTTTATTTAACCCCTTCCCTGTTTAAAATAGTTTATTAATTCATATATCCTTCAACTAAATTCAATAAAAATAAATTAACTTGTAAATTGAAAGCAAATATTTTAATAATAATTTAAGAACTTTGCAATAATTTTCTTGATTTAAAAAAAAAATTAATAATATTATTGATCTAAGTGAAATTATAAATTTTTTTTTTAAAAACAGGGAAGGAATTTGGCAACATAGTGACACCATTGACAAAATATATTATTTCGTAGTATTTTTTAGAGGTCATCCATAAGAAACATATGATATTTCAGGAAATTTACCCCTTTCCCCCAAAATTGCTGACACCCGTCCCCCCAAATCTTAAAATATCACATGATTTGTGAATGACCCCTTAGTTACTACGTAAATTAATATAATTGTCAATGTTTTTTTTTATTTGTTCAATGTTTATAATGTTCTGTAATTTTTCTTATGAGTTAAATTAATATTCTTTCATTTAAAAAATAAAAATATTAAAATTACATTTATCACATTCTATATTCATTTTAATCTTTTCAAAAATATTGTTCAATTTTGTACATTAAACTTTTTATTTAATTGTAAAAATTAATGCATGTGAAATTTAAAAGTAAAAATTTTTTGATAATTTTAATAAAATACTAATTTAAAAGTTTTCATTTCAGGAAAGACCGTTCAGGTGTCGGTTGCGTCCCGGGACGTTAACTCTAGTTTAGGTCATTTTGCGCCTGGGCGGTAAAATTTTTGTTCGTTTTAGATAAATCAGTAGGTAGGGAAATCGGGAAAAGTAGAAGCATTTTTTTTTCGTTTTAAATATAGCTGTAGGTAGGGTAATCGGGAAAAGTAAAAAAGTAAGTAAAATACAAGTAACTGGAGTACCAGTGAAAATACATTTTTTATGAATCTTTTATCTTTTTTGTCACTATGTTGCTTTATATTTTATTTTATTATTTATAATTTTTTGAATTGTTATGAAATATTGTTTTTTATTTGTTTAATTCACCATTATTTCCAGTTAAGTCATCGTGGTGAGAAACAATTTTATCTTTTTAATTATATTAATCATTTATTTTTTCAGGAATATATAAATTATTATTTATAATTGTTCTTAATTTTATAATATATATAATATTATAATTATTTTATATTTATTCGTTTGTTATATGATAATTTTATTACTTTAACTAATGAATATTAATCTGTTTTTAAAATAAATGTAATGCCAAATTTTATTATACATTAAGTTATTAAAATTTGGCTATAATTATTAATTTCTCCATGAATTATATGGTTCGGGATCCATAATACGACCGCTAATTATGGGAATGAGAGTATCTTTTTGTAGGACCATAAATAAAAATGGTCGATCAAGATAAAATGAATAAAGAGTTGAGTGTATTTCACCTGGTGCACTTTGTGCCTGGGAATAAACTGAAAAATGAAATTTATCAATTAATTATTTTAATTAATTAAAATGATTAATTAAATTAAAAAATTAATTAGCAAAAAATATTTATTTTTTATATGCTTACAAGTTGCTCCACTAAACAATGTTCTTTCTTCATCCATATTGAAAACAACTTTTTGAGTAATTTTATCCAATTTCATTCTTCTCTCCTCATCGAAGAATTCTGTGAAACTTGCATAATCTTCAAATATGCTATAAATACCCATCTGTAAAATATATTTTTATATTAATTCTAGCATTTTTCTTAAGAAATATAATTATAAAGAATTTAAGTAATTTGAAATTTACTTTCTGTAAAATATCTTTGAAGCTCAAATAACTTTCGACGTTGATCAGAGGAATGCTCACTGAAACGTCACGTAAATTTCCGTAACTTAATAATCGTGATATAGTAAATTTTTCAAGTTTTCGCTGCAGTTCCTTTACTCCAGTGATTTCGTTTGGTCGAATTAGGAGTAAAGACAATTCTCGTCCCTAAAAGAATAAATAAAAAAAAAAAATTCAATAAATTATTTTTCATTATACAAAAAATGAAAATATTTAAAAAATTTTGTTTTAAATTGCTTTTAATTTTGTTGAACGCACCTCATACGGTATTTCAATGAATGAAGCTTTTAATTCTGAAATTTCCCCATAATATAATTGATTCATCATTCCACACATTGATTTCACTCTTCTCGTATTTTTTTCATCAGTAAAGAATGGCTGATTAAGTAAAGATCTATTGAAGCTTTGCAAAAATTTTCCGCGAAAATATATCACATTCATTGATATTATCGATTCATCAGGATATATTTCTTCTGCATAACAAGAAAATGAATGAAATAAAATTATTATTTTTTGGTTTAAACAATAACAACAGTTAGTTTAATATCAATTAAATTTGCATCCAAAAAAACAGTTTCATTCAAACTTACCAGATTTTATTAAATCATATATTATTATGAAATATTTTTTATTTTAATATAATAATAATAATAATAATAATAATAATAATAATAATAATACCAGGTGTAATGAAAGAATGAATCCGCTTTTGAGTGCGTCCATACAGATATAAATTGATATCATCTGCTGCACTAATTGGATCCTCAAAATTTACGTGTCCAATTTCTGAATGAAAGTACTGTGCAATCAAACTTGAGTAAGATTCATTTATTACAGCATCTTTGTGTATGAATATTTTGGGACTGATAATTAAACTGTTTTCTCGATTTTCCTGAAATTAGTTATTAATTATTATTAATTATGCTTAATAACAATAATATTTTTATTAATTATTATTATTATTATTATTAATATAATTATTAAAATTAAATATAATTCATTATCAAAAATATATACTTACCTTTAATAAATTGAGCAAATTTTGATATCCATTAAGACTAACTGTTGGATCTGATGATAGATGAAGCGATCTATGCAACTCTTCCGATGTTGATCCTTCAGAACCAAAAGCAAGCATTGCCAGTGATAAATCAAGTCCCAAGGGAGAGGAAACATAATTAAATCTTTCTTTTTCTCCTAAATACTGACAAAATATTCTATTATTATTAAATCTTATATTTAATAATTAAAAATTATATAATAATAAAATGCTTGTTAATTTATAAAATACAATAAAAGAATATTAAAAAATGTAATACGAAATACAATAAAAAAAACAAATAAACAATCTCTATAAAATAAAAATATTTTTTAAATAAATATTTGTAAATTAACATTTTTTTAAATGTTAAAAATATAAAAATAAATTATAAATACAAATATAAAAGTAATGACATATTTAAATAACAATTAACAAAAACTAAAAGAAAAAAAAAGTTTACCTTAGAAAATCGCGAAGAGAAGTCATGAATACTATCTGAAATTATTCTTAGAGATGATTTATCGAAAACATCAGCTTTGGTGTAGATCACAAAAATTCCAATAATTATTATTACTGTACGAAAAAAAGACGAAAAAATGAATATATTTTTGCATTTGTATATTAAAATTTATTAATATATATTGTACTTACGTAATTGCATTTTGTTAGTCACACTAAATTTGTTTAAAAACAAATATTTTTTTGTTTAAAAAATAATTTTGTTTTTAAAAATAAAGAACAATCATACTTAAAAACTAAAAAAAAAAAAAAAAATGATATGAACTCAACTTCAACTGTAATCAATGTGATGCCGTTAGGGTTTTGTTGCACTATTTAAATACTTGGTTTTCTTTCTTCACTTCTAATACTATATAAGAGGAGTGGGAAAAGATAGTGAGAAAAATGTTAATTTTTTTATTATTGTTTATCAGTTATTAATTTTAACAGAAAAATTATTAAAATTTAATTTACATTTTATCAAAAATTTACAAAAAAAAAAAAATCCATAAAATTTTAAAAATATCTTTTTTTTTGATAACTATTTCTGTTTTTACAATTTTTTTTTTATTCTGATAAACAAGTTTAAATTTTCATTTTTTGTTACAATTTTTTAATAAAATAAATTAAATAAAAATTAAATTAAATTAAGACTGTGAAATATTGAAAATTTGTAAAATTCCTTCTACTTTTACGAGAAACAATTGAAATTTTCTGCGTGTACAAAGTAATTCTCATTCTTGACTTGTGCGTATGCGGAAAAAAAAATATTTTCTTGTAATAGTAAAGGTATTTAAATTGTCGACAATACGTGATGGAATTGATACATTATAAGTACCAGTGGGAATGAACTTTTATATAAAAAATATTTAACAGAAACGAATGAATTTTTATTGAAACGAAAAAATAATTTATTGATTTAAAAAATAATTATTTTTTTCATTAGTTAATTATTTTTTGTGGAACATAAATGTAAAATTCACATAGTAAGATGGTATTTAGGAAAACCGGTTAGGCACAAAATTCCAAGTACTCAAACCTACAAGGTTAGACTACAATTTACTTTGAGGACCAATTTTAAAAAACCCAATTACAAAATTAATTTCTTCACTAAAAAAAAATAAAACAATTATTCCTAAATTGAAATCAAAGAATACAAAACTACAGAATTATTTTTAGCACTGCATCCTTGTTGAAAAATAACAATAAAAATTAATTTCCCATAAGTAATACATTCATAAGAAAACCAATTCTGAAAAGACAAGGTTAACGATAAAATTATTTTACATACATCTTTTCGTTGAGATCATAAAAATAAGAATATTTCGCAAGAATATGATTTTTGGTGCAAAAAATTATTGGGATAAATACACATTTCTAGGGTCAGGTTACAATATACATATGGACATATATATATATATATATATATATGAAAGTATTTCCTCTCATACAACCACTTTTCTGTAACATATCTTTATGAAAGACCTGTAATTTCTTTAGTCATATTGCGAACGCCTTACTTTATACATCTCGATCACTATATTCTATATATATGTATATGAATTTCATTTAAGTTGATTAAAATTGTCTGTCATGAAACTGTAAGGGACAAAATTTTTCAAACATCCGTAACAAAAAAGAAAACAGTTATACATAATGACAAACACGCAATTAATTTTGGTGCAAATAGTGTTTCTCGTGACAATTACCTTGATTCAGGGTCGTCAAAATTATCACGTCATTTATCAATGGAATGTTATTGAACCCGAATGGCCAAATCTAGAAATACGTGAAAAATCATTAAATAATGGAAGTTACATACCAGAGAATAATATAATTACCGGCATTAAATTTTGGAGGGATCAAATCTATTTAACTGTTCCACGATTGAAACCTGGTGTTCCATTAACATTGACAATAATATCATCAATTCCAGAACAAAAATCCATTAAAACTGAACATGGTCTTCAAAATTTAAATATCGTGAGTCCAAAATTAAAACCATTTCCAAATTGGCATATGCAACGATTAAATGATTGTGAAGCATTTCAGTCAATTCAAAATATGGAAATTGATCCAATGGGTCGTATGTGGCTTATCGATAATGGAAGAAGGGATATTTTCACTGAAAACCCAAACAATACATGTCCACCGAGACTTGTGATACTTGATCTTAATACTGATGGTACAATATTAAAGAAATATATTTTTCCAAAACATACTGTGGATTATAATTCAGTTTTTCTCAATGATATTGTTCTTGATCATGAACACGGTGGATTTGCCTATATTATCGATAGTGGAAGCAAAGATCCGGGTTTAATTGTTTATTCATTGGCGGCCAATACCTCATGGAAAATTCGTCATGAAACAATGAAAATTGAAGATGATGTGAAAACAAAATTACAAATTGGTATTGCCTTATCACCATCTAGTAGATATGACAGAATGGTTTATTATTCATCAGTTTCATCATTTAATATCTTTTCAATACCAACATCAGTGCTAAAAAGCGGACTCACAAATGTTAATGATTTTGTGAAACAAATAAATCGAAAAAAATCATCATCATCGGGAATGATTATGACATCATCCGGTAGATTGATTTATGGTTTATTGGCAAATAATTCCGTTGCATCGTTAAATATCAAATTTTCATCAAATTTAGGACAATTTATTGTATCCGATATTAATTATGAGGAAACAATTTTGGCACACGATGATAATATTTTTCAATGGCCAAATAATTTTGCTATTGATGATGATAATTATTTATGGTGCGTTACAAATAATTGGAAAAAATTTTCAACAAATAAAATTGATTTCAATTCGACGAATTATCGATTGATTAAATTTTTAATTAGGGGCAAAAATTATCAATATTTTGATGATGGTAGTGCTCCTATTTTGCCACTTTCACAATTTTTAACTTCAAGTAGATCTTTGTATGGAATTCCAGTATCAATTTCATTAAGTGACGATACATTTCCAATTGTTGGTAGAAATTTTTAATATGAAAAATTAATTTGTCTTTTTTTTCTATATATATATGTGACGTTCCATGAGGAAAGGGACCTTAGCTGCAAAAAAATGAAAATTGAGTTTTTGATATCAGTCGATAGATCTTGAGTTGCTCTTTCAGATACAAAAGTTAAAAATTGTACTTTTCTATTTAGTTTTTTTGTTATAAAGCATTAATCATGACCATGTTAATCGCGTTCCAGCACGGACTACAGAAACCATCCCCACCACTTCTACACTAGTATACTTGTCGTAAGCGTGAGCTGTAGGAACGATGTAGTAGTAAGGTGGTGGGGCTGATTTTCGATGGAGGGTCTCAACCAATCAGGGACGCTCTACTTTAAATATCTTTTCTGGAAAATGCGTCTATTGCAGCTAAGGTCCCTTTCCTCATGGAACGTCACATATAATTTTTGAATTTTATTTACTCATATATGAGACTAAATATATACCTTTTGCAATTGTCAATATGTTTTATAATGTTTATTATACCTAATGACACAGTTTGGGAAGAATGACGATTGATTAGTTACTTGACATGAGATGTGTTTTTTTTTCTATATAATTATCATTTTGTAATATATTCACAAAAACGAGCAATTTGAGATAAAAAATAATCACTTTCGTTTTCTTATCGATGAAGGTTTTCTTTATTACATTTATATTATGTAGTATAATAATAATAATAATAATAATAATAATAATAATAAATAATTATATAGAAAATTATTTTTTTTTATTATTAATTTTTATTTAAAAATTTTAATAATTATACAAATATACTGAGGAGAATATTATATAATTTAGGGATTATAGACTCTTCCATTAAAAAGGCACAAAAAGTCATCTCTTCTTTTTTTTACAACTGTGAACATAAATGGTCTGTTCACCTCAATCGTGAGTGGTTTTGAGTATGGAAGAGCTGTTACATATTGAGGATGTCCTCCCACGTCTATTTAAAAAAGAGAGAAAAATTTTGTAAAAAAAAAAATATATATATCAAATAATTATTTAGAAAAAAATTTGTTTACTAAGAAACAATTTTAATCATTAAAAATTTGTCTTAGTATAATATTTTTAGAATTAAATATTTTTATACGTTTTAAATTTAATGAATTTTAAATTGATTGTATTGAAAACAAAAATAACTTACTGTTTGAAACTTCAATATTAATTCCATTTTCATTCAATGAAAAATATGTTCTCATATAAATTTCATCAAGTCGTACTGGTTTTTTGGAAATTGCGGTAAAATCAGCTTGCTCATTAAATGCATCTGTTATTCCCATCTATAAAAAAAAAATTATTTTCCAGTACCAAATATTTGAGTCACATTAAGTAATATTAATTTTGTAAAAGAGAATTTTTTTTCGAATAAAAATTGATTAAATTAAATTTTAAAAACTGTATTTTTAAGAGGTTTAATTTAAATATACGTATATATATATATATACCATGTTATATAATTTAAAATTTACCTCAGTCAATGTTAACTTTAGACGATGCTCATTTTGAATTGTAAATTTAGGCAAATAAAGTTCAATATCTTCTTCTCTACTATTAAAAATGGCTCGAAGATCAAGAGTGTCCAAACGCTGCTCTAATTCAACTAATTTATGCGAATTCAATGGATAATAAATTAACATACTATATTCTCTGTTCTGTAAATAGAAATTTAAATATTGAATTTTAAAATTTTTCTTTTCTAATTCTAATTTTAATTTGAGTCCTTTTTTTTTTGATAAAACATAATTAATAAATTTTATTCTCACTTTATAGGGAATTTCAATGATTCTGAAACTATCCAAATAACGATTAGTTGGTGGAATGACAATACCGCGAAATCTTCCGCGAGTAAACATTGTTGGCACTAATTTTTCACTATTTCGACTTCGATAAAAATATCTCTGTTCCGTGTATCGTTCGTTGAAAGGATACAAAAATTGGGCAATAAAATGTATCGAGTTTCGTATAAACATATCCGATTGTTGAGGTAAAAATGTATCAGATTCTGAAAAAGAGTGCAAATTAAAAAAAAATTAATTCTTCAATTAATTAATTATTATTAATTAATTACCAAACGGTAGATCTCGTTTAACGTTACGTTCAGCAAAATATTTATTAATAATCGAAATCGCTTCCTCTGGTTTATCCAAATTTAATGATTCTTGTTGCGTTATAAATGTTGTGTTTGATAATTCTTTAAAAGCAGGAGCTACGTCCATTTTATCAGGAACATAAAGTACTTGAATAAAATTTAAGGATGGATCCTTCGAATTCTAAAATTAAAAAAAAAAAAAATTAAAAATTGAATTTTATATTTTGTTTAATATATTATATTATTTTTGCAACTTTTTTTTCTCGATACTCACTGTAAAAGAATTAGTAAGAGATTGATAATTAGATAAATCATTAGAATTAATATTCAAAACTTGGCGAATTTGTTTTGCAGTATTTCCACCAGCCCCATAATACAATAATGATAAAGAATCAAAAGCACTGTATGGTGTAAGTGCAATGTTTCCTATGAATTTTCTCGCAATTGTCTAAGATAAAAAAAAGTTCATTATTTTATTTTTAAATGCTGAAAAATTGAAGTGAAATAATTTAATTTTAATTAAAATTTTTTATTGCAAATTTAATTTAATTTTTTTTTTTAGAAATTTGTATAATTATACATTAATTGCAAACAATTTAAATTGTTAATTTACTCACTTTATAAAGTCGAAATGCAAAATCACAACATTTTTCAAAAGGAAATGAATTATCTTCTCCTTTTTCATCTGATGTTAACTTGATTGATTCAACCAAACACAGACACACAACAATTAATAATACTAAAATATAAATGATGATTAAAAAATAATTTTTTTAAATTCATTTTCTTGAAAAAGAAAATTATCTTTGAATTATCGCAATATAGAAAGTGATAAATTTAATTATAATTTTTTCTAAATACTCACGTGGAATTCGCATTTTTTTCGCTATTTTTAAGAGATGAAAAAATATTCACAATGATAGAAAATTATATTTCAAATAGTAAGAAGTCTATAAGATGCGTCTCAAATCTCGATTCTAAATAGTTTTCTGAAGCAAGTTTCCATTGCCGTTGAACAGATAATAATTTTCTTCTTTTTTATTTTTTTTAATTTTCAACCGGTTTTACCTTAGCAAGTCCTTCGTGAATTTTTATTTAACGCAAACTTGAAATTTTACATTTTTAACATCAAATTCTTCTTGTCACTTATTTTATATTTTAATAGAGCATGTATTAAAAAAAATTAATTCTTTTTCTTTAATACATTTCAATCAAAAATCGTTTAATTCAAATAAATATTTATTTCTTAGTTATCAAGTAACCAATTATTTGAATCGAATAATTTAATTATAAAAAAATATACATTATAAAACTTATAAAAATATTTAATATTTTACAAATAATTATAATAACATATTTAATTACTTAAAATTAAAATTATGAATTCCATTTTTTGCCCTAATATACATTTGTGGTATAATAATTTCAAATTTTTCAAAAATTCAATTTCCAAATCCAATTTTTGTAAATTATATTCATATTCAAAAATAAAACAATTTATTTTTATTCAATCTTCTTGTCTGAATTGAATGATCTGCAAGTAAAAAATTATTTTCTCATAATTTTAATTGTATTTAAACGCCTTTTAAATATTTTATTTAAAAAAAAAAAAAATTTCTTACGTTTCTTCTTTCTTTCCTCTAAAAAGTAATTTTTCGAGATTTGAGAACGGTTTTTCTATTAGTATGACTAGTACTAATGATAAAAATGAAACGTAAATAATATCCCCAATAAAATTTCTAATCTGTGACGGAAATCAATGAGAATTTTTAAAATTATAAATAAATTAGTTTTTAATATATTTTTAATAATAAATACTTACTGAATTATAAAACGAATAAGTAAATGCAGTTCTAGCGGTTCCCAGTTCATAAGATTGAATTGCAAAATGAGAGAGAAAAATTGCATAAGAAAGTCTAGAAAATGGTTGAATCCATCTGGGTGTCAGTAAATAATAATAAAAATCTAGAAAATTAATTTAAAAATTAGTAAATTCAATTTTTTTCCTATTTAATGAAATTAATTATTTTCACTTCTTCTTTTTAATTCTCATTTTGCAATATATATAAATAATTCAAATTTTACCTAATCCTTGGCCTATTGTAATTAAAAGGAGAATAGAACAAATACTAAATGCAAAAATTGGTCTATGAAGACAGGCGTAAAGAGCTAATGTAAATAAACTTGGATTTGAATTTTCATCAATGAAATATGATCCAAACCATTGGAATAAAAGTGGCAATATCATTACTTGCAAAATAAACAAAAAATGTGACCAAAACTGGAAAAAAAAATTCAATTTAATATAATAAATTAATTACGTTAATTATATATTTTTTAGATTAAGAAATTAGTAGCGATTTTTAATTTTTGCTTTACCTTCGAAAGACGCCAAACAATAAATTTACAATCATACATAACAATGCCCATAATTAATCCAACAAAATATGCCGATAATCGCATATGAGTTTTTATATAATAATTTGTAAGATATTCAATTGCTTCAACTCTTTTTTTTCTACAGTAAAACAATAACAAATTTTTTCTTATTATTTTTCATCAAAAAAAATTACAATAAAATTATTTTAATAATAATTATTAAATTAATAGAAATTAATTTTTTAATAATAAATAAATATTAATTAAATGATTAAGTTTTATTACTAATAAATTTTTATAAATAAATAATAATTAAATAATATTAACAATAAATAATTAATTTAATCATATATATAAGAAAATATTTTACCTTAAATCAAGTTTTATAAATGGATCAACATTATTATTATAAGTGATATAAAATGGAATTGCAGCGGATATAATTAGAATGCATCCTAGAAAATAATAACCAATTTTACGTGGCATTTTGTGAAATACTCCAATTAATAATAATCCAATAATATAACATTGAAAGTCGACAGCCAAATACCAAGATTGAGGAATACACTATGTATATAGAATAAAAGCAAAAAAAAAAAATTATTTACGACATTAAAAAGATAATTTCTCTTTTTTTTTTTAATCAAAATAATTGTACCATTTTATTACAATTAACGTAATTATGAATAAAAAATAAATTCGTCCACCAATTAGAGGAACAACTATCCCTATCATAACCAAATCTACTTTCCCAAAATGGTCCAGATCCTAAATGATAAATGAAAAATGCATATGCAAATGCCATAAACATATATAATGGCGTTAATCTGAAATTAAATATTGAATATATTATTATTTATTATTAATAATAATAATATAATAATTTAAAGAAGAAAAACTATTTTGCGAAATAATTTCAAAAGAATGTAAATTATTATTCGCGAACCTTATAAAACGTTTGAAAATAAGTGGAAAAATTTTCAGTCCATTTGAATTTTCCAAAAATTCCAATAAATAATAGGATAAAACAATTCCTGATAATCCAAAAAATCCATCTACTGTAATATCAGTATTATAAATTAAACCTAAAAATGGTGTACTTAAAATCTGAAACAATTTTTTATTTTTTATTTGTTTTTTTTTTTTAAAATTAAAAATATTAAATTACGCACTTTTTCATAATGCGATCCAGTTATATTTCCTCCGTGCATTAATTCTATATTTCTATGTTGAAAAACTGTGGAACTTGCAAAAATGCATCGAATTAAATGCAAACAATCAAAGGCATTTTGATTATATTTCACTTTAAAAATTGCATTTAAACTTCGTCGTGCAGAAAAGCATGCCAATAATTTTCTTGAGAAACAATAATTGTTCTCTTGTTGAACAGATTTTATATCCAAAATTGTACTAATTACAACCAGGCCAATTATTGTACAGAGAAAGAAACTGTAATTAAAAGAAAAATTATAAAAAATAGTTTAGTAAAATTAAAAAAATTTTTTTTTTTATAAATATCACTAAAATATTTCAAATAGTTGCATACCAATAAGCCCTGTTCGAATTAGAAAATTTTGAAGTCTCATTATTTGTATGGCAATATTCTGGATGAATCGTTGCATGAACTTGAAGATTATATTGCGAATTAAATTTTTCTAAAGGCTCCTTTAAAGCTGCAATAATATCTTTTGTATGACATTTTGCAGGAAAACACAATGCCATTTGTAAAACGTTCCTTTGATAACGAGTTCGAAAATTTGTTGTTTTCTAAATTTTAAAAAAACAATTATCGAGAAAATTTAATTTTTCAATTTCACAAATATTTCTTTCTGTCTAATTATTTATTATAAATAATTTTTTTTTAGAATTAATTTTATATAAAAGAATTCTATATATATATATAATTAATATTTACCCATATTAATTCCCAGGCAGATTTTTGTGATTCAAATTCAAGATCATATTTCCCAATATTATTTATTGTTTCATGATTTTTCTGATAATTTATCTCCACCAAACAATATTTGCTGCGAATTTCTTCAAATTTGTCATTCTCCTTGCTATTCGACACAATTGTTTGAATTCGATTGCATTGATCGAAGCTCCCCAAGTATCGATTAAGGCCATCAAATATCCCATAAGGATACTTTGCTGATGAATCAAACACTTTAAAAAAAGAAAAACATTTTCTTTTTAACTCCTTATAAAAAAACGCAGTTAATAAATTGTTTTTTTTCTTACTTCTTTCAATAAATAAAATGTTTATTTTTATTAATATTTAGATATTTTTAAAAATATTTAAAAAAAATTATTATTTGTTAATAATTAATACTTTTTTTTTTTTTAATTCTTACTTTCCACTGCCCATAGTGTGCCATTTTTTAAATGATTTAGATATAAACGTAATTGTGTTTTGCATGGACCATCAGGAATTGATTTTGAAGTTGCAATTGCTATTGGCAAAAGTGGAATATTCGAGAACCAATTAGATTTATTAAATTGTTCATTTTCAATAAAATTTCCTTTTATCAAATTCTTCAATTCATTTATTGGCTGACTTTTATTTTGATAATTTTTAAAATAATTATTATTCTCTTTGAGAATTTTAGTTTTTTGAAAAGTAATTATTTCACATGCCGCGGGGAAAATAAAATAATTCAATATTATCAATAAAGAAAATTGAACGACTAAATAAATTTGAAAAATTCTTAAAACCATTATTTTTCTTATAATTTTGCAAAATTGACAATTAAAAATTTTTTTTTTTTTAATATTAATGTATAAACTATAAACACTATAAGTATATCACACTTGATTGTTGAACTTGATATGAAGAATTCTCAGGATTCGCGTTGGGACTTTTAAATAACTCCGGAAAATGACATCAATGATCTCTAGCTAATTATTATTGTAATTTTATTATTACATTGTATATAATTTGTAATCTAATGAAAATTCAAATTTAATGTCAATTTAAAAAAAAAAGGAACAAAATTATATTTTATTTGCTTATCTTTTTATATGAAAAACAGAAAATTATAAATTTTATATGAATTTTACTTTTAAAATGTTAAACAATTTATCAGTAATTTATTCATAACCTTGGGGGAAAAAATATTAATATTTTATTTACATAGCTCATTAAAATCTGTGCTTATTTTTATTTTACAAAACATCATAAATTCTAAAATTAAAATAAAATATTCCCTTTTTTTTCTCTATTAAATATGTAAAATTATAAAATATAGAAGAAAACAGTTCGAAAATTTATTCCTTTGACATTTATTTTAGATTTAATGTATAACGAATTAATAAGCATTTCTAATTAGATTTAATATATACTCTATTCACTTTAATTTATATTTATTTAAAATTATTTCCATCGTGGTATACATTGTATTGTCTGTTAAAAGTTAACATAATTATTTTTATCTAATTTTTTAATTTATAATATAAAAATTTAAATTTTTCCGCGCTTTATTCGAATATGTTCGAGAAGCCCGAAAGAACTTTCGACTATGTTCGTTATGTTTCGGCTAATAGTCGAAGCTTTACGAAGTGGAAACGAACAGAGTGCACGTGTTTTCTCGAAAAGTGACAGTGTTTCGTTAATTTTACCTAATAAAAGGTGTTTTAACAATTTAAAAAAATTATGAAAGTCAAAAAAATTCGACCTGAATCCAAATCGAGTCTTAAGACTGCGGTGAAAAATGTGCAAAGCATTTTAAAGGCAAGTATACTGTTATATATTTTCAAAACATAACCTCAAAATTTTCATATATACCTTGCATTATTGTTTATTAATGCAGAATTATTAAATACTAGTAGATTATTTATTGTTTATTATAAATATAAATAATATAGGAATAATTAAAATTAACAAAAAGTACCAAAAAAAATTAATGCTGTGAATCACAACTTCCACTTTTTTTTTTTTTACAGAAAAAGAAGAAAAGTAAAAAATTAACGGAAAATGAGGATACCCTTGAAACACCTAAAAGAAAAATAATTGACTCCACAGAAAATTTGCCAGAAGTAGAACTACAATACAATTCTAAAGCAGGTGTTATTTATATAGGACAAATTCCCCATGGATTTTACGAGGATGAAATGAAAGATTTCTTTTCACAATTTGGAAAAGTTCATCGAGTACGACTAGTTCGATCAAAGAAGGTAACTAATTAATTAATAATTTTAATAGGGATTATAATATATTTAAAAGAAAATTACATAATAATTACATAAAAAATATTTCTTTTTTTTCAGACAGGAAAAAGTCGAGGATATGGCTATGTTGAATTTCAAACTCCAGAAGTCGCAAAAATAGCAGCAGAAACAATGAATAATTATGTAATGTGCGGTAGATTATTGAGAGGTGAAAAATTTTAGATTTATTTATATTTTTTCGTAAATTGAAAAAATTAAATTTCTCTTTTTTTTACGTAATTTTAAAAATCGAACATATTTCATAATGATTATAAATAATTTTTATAAATATTTTTCAGTGACTTATATTCCTCCTGAGAAACAACATTTTGGCTTCTTTTTCGGAAAAAAAATTACACCAAATTCATATCCTCGATTGGAGAATAGGAACAAAATAATAAAATCGAATCACGCGCCAATTACAGAAACGAAACATAAAAAATGTGTAAAAACGTCACTTAAAAGACTATCTACATTAGAAAAGAAACTCAAAATGAAAGGTATTAATTTCTCATTCAAAGCGATTGATCTTCAAAAAAATAAATAGGTATTATTTAATTTTCCTGTAAATATAATTTCAAGTTAACAATTTTTTCTAACACAAATCAATGATTATTTCTTTAAAAAAAAGAAAAAAAAATCAAGAAAATATGCGAATATTTTATAAATGTAAACTTTTTGTTCTAAAATTAATGTGCATAAGGATAAATGACATTAAACATGTAAATCATATTTTTACATCTTAAATTTTTTTTACTTAAACTATAAATTACATATATAATATTCACAATCTTATTTATAAATGAAAAAAAATTTTTTATAATGATGTTGACATTTCTGATGAAATCTTGGTTCTTTTCCACTTCATACGACGATTTTGGAACCAAACTTTTACCTGTAATTATTAAAAAAAAAAAAAAAATGAAATTTAGCTTTATAATCTAAAAAGTGTGGGATATACAAATTTTAGGCATGAAAAAATTACAAAACTGACCTGTCTTTCAGAAAGATCTAAAGCCACGGCAATTTCATAGCGTCGAAGACGTGTCAAATAATTGCTGTGAGCAAATTCAGATTCCAAGTGTCGGACTTGTTGCTTTGTGAAAGCTGTTCTTTCTTTTCGTAGTTTTTCATTGCCAGAATGTCTTGGTTTTTCTGAAACTTGAAATTTAATTTTTACATTAAAATTGCGTTTATTAAAAACTATTTTCTTTTAATACTACCAACGTTAATAATCACAAATTCTTATTTAATATAAATTTAGCCGAGTTTTTATTTAACAGAATTTCTATTAAGTTGAATTTTTCTTTCCATCTCTATTTATCTGAATATTTATTCTAACAAATTGTCATTTGTTCTAATAAAGAAACTAATTAGCGGGAATATTAAAATTCATCAATTTAATTTAAATTAGACTAAGTATAGAAATTCTGTTGATTAAAAATTCTAATAAATATTTGTATAAATAAGAATTTGGTTATAAAGACAATTAATTAGTTAATTCTTTCAATTGATGAATAAAAAAATGTTATTATATGAAAATTTGTGAACACTCTTGTCTTGAGTTTGATAGAGAGATGCGAATTTGATGAATATTCATCTTATTAGACAAGGTCAAGAAATATGTTGAGAGCCTTGATGAAAGGAAAACAGATTGTGGAAGAGTTGGGAAAAGTTTTTGTTGCAAGTGCGGTCAGATGAAAATAGCTGTATATTTAATGCGTCAGCGACCTTATGCCGCAGAATTCAGCAGCAGTGCGTTGTTGATACGCAACGTTTGAAATGTGGGTTGCTTGGGAAGTTTGCATCTTTTGAAGATAGTATTACTATCATGGCAATAAAATAATGTTACCCTTGTGTGACGTCACGGACAAAAATTCATCTGCTTGTCTTCATGATATTTCGATAAAATAATTTTTCAAGTTCCTCGAATTCATTTCAGTTTTAATTTATATTCATTTTTATAACTCATTAATCTTTTAAGAGGTTAATATCACAATCTTGAGTCGAATATACTTTTTTCCATCGCGATTCATGAAATCTTTTATATTATCGACATTAATTTTTGTATCAGATTTTTTAAAAATAATAATTCCTCAAATATAGGACAAAATAGCCCGTCATAAAAGGATATGATTATTTATTTGATTTTTGTTTGTTTTTATTCCAGTAATGTCAATTAATTATTTCGTACTATTGAAACTCATTGGTTTTTTTTTTTTTTTTTTTTTAAGCAAAATTCGGGTTAATCGAAAATACGTAAATGCTAAAGACTATTTTCAGTTTGAGGCTTGCCAAAAGAAATAGAAAGGAATTGTTTCGAGTCGAAAAGTCTACGAACATTATGTAATGTCTGATGCATTTGAATATAGACAGTACAATGTGAGATAAATGATTGTTAGATAAATATTTAGACTGCGAGGGGTTCGTTATGGTCACATTGGCGACAGTAAAGCAATAAAAGAGACAATTGCTAATGAATTGTCAACAATTTTTTTATTGGTTTACTGTATAAAGAATAATAGTTTTCTCAACTTTTTATAAAAAAAAATTGTTATAGTTCTTAATGTAACAAAATTTTTTTTTTTTATAATTACAATTATTATTTTTTCTCGAATGAATTTCTCTTGAAAAAAAATTCTGTGATTATATTTTCATTTAGTTTTCTCGAAAATTATAAATTAATTATTAATAAATTATTTAAATCTTACCATAATCCGGTTTTAAAACTTCAGTTTGATATTTGTCTTCTCTATACTGGAATTTTGAGTATTCAGCAATTGTTTCTTCAAGTGATCGGTATTTTAATTCACTGTCAGTCTCAAGCTGTGGATTTTCTTGTGAATATGAGGTTTCCCAGGTGCGAAATATCATTGGTGGAGAATGAATTTTTTCTTGAAATTGATTTTGTATTTCTGATGGATAAATTGTGTTTAATATTTCTCGATTTCCTTTAAAACTTTCCAAATGTGGTACATTTTCCAATTCTGGTTGTAAATGTTGAACCCATCTTTAGATGAGAAAAGAATTTTTTTTTTTATTAAATAATTAAGGAATATTTCCTCAACACTCATTAATTGAAATTTTATCAGGCAACATTTTTTTATTTAAATAAATTTTTGCAAATTTTCAGTGTATAAAAATTTTTTGGCGCGAATTAAAAATTTTCAAGAAAATTCATTTTTTTTTTGGTATTTAAAAAAATTAATGGAAAATCTTGAGAATTAATTAATGATTAATTTTTGTAATACCTGTGTAGATGATGATGATGATGATGATGATGATTCTCATTGAAATTATTTGCAAACTGATTATTTTCTGTCCATCTGGCTGTGTAAATTTCGCGAACCACTTCATGCTGGAATGTTTCGATACTAGAACTGGAATTTAGATTTGTATCACAAGTTGATTTGTAATTACATGAAAATTCATTGTTTGAATGAAATCGAACATTTTCATTATTCATGTGACAAGGTGGCGGTGTAGGTGGAAATCCAAAATAATTATCCATCCTCGAAGTTGAAATATTTGATCCTTGATATAAATCCATTACAACCGATGAGATGATAAAATCTTGAAATCTAATTATTTTTCTTTTTATCTAATCCCAGAGATGAATTCTAATTAATCGGTTTTTAATTTGAATTGAAGTACTAAATTTAATTATATTTTGTAATTAAAAAAAAAATGTAATATTTTTTTAATTTTATTTATTAAATTAGAGAAGATTTATTTATATTAAATAATTATTTTTGATAAACGCGATTAATTAAAAGTTGTTTCTTTTTGGTCTTCTATATATATATATATAAAAGTAATATATACGCAACTCGTGAAAATTGTCTTGATACTAACGTCTAAATGTCAAACACGCACATGTGAGATTGCTGTTAAAGATCTGATCTGACTGTAGATTGCAGAAAAGAAACAGAGGTTCAGGGGTTGATGATACAAAGAACTGTGAAAAGTGGAGGAGTAGGGTACGGAAGTTCTCCTAATCTCAAACTACCAATCAGATTTTTTTTTTTTCTTCAAAGAAATACACATATGATTTTAAAACTAGTAAAAGAAATTTTTGTTATGTATTGTAAATTAAATTTAAATTTTTTGAACAATAATTATAAACAAAATATTTTTGCATACGTAACTTATATAATTGATTACATTTTCTTATGTAATTATTTTTTATATGTCAAATTAGTAAATGTATAAAAATTATACTATACCTATTATTAAAAATAATAATAAAAACAATTAATTAGTTATATTAATTAATTAAGTAATAATAATAATAATAATAATTTTCAATTCGCAGCGAAAATTTGAATCGCGATAGTAGACGAAAATTAACAAGAGAAAAATTATTATAATAAATTAATATCTATTTGAATATTTATTTTTCATTAAAAAAAAACACTTATTTTTATTCGTTAAAAAAATCTTTCAATTTGACAGAAACGTGAAAAAATGCGGATCGAATTTTCGTCCTGTGTGGTATATTTCCGATTTGAAACGAAAACTATCGTCACACTTTATTAAAACACGGTCAAGTCAGGAAGTGTTTTAATTTATTTTTTTCCTGTTAGATTTTAACGAATAACTTTAAATAAAAAATGTATTATAATATTAGATATATATATATATTTTTTTTTTTAAATACAAATGAAAAAATTATTTTAAAAATAATTATTAATTAATATTATAATCATAAATACAGTCAGTTCAGTAAACTTCAATATTGACAAATTTGACTGATATGTAAACTAATAAATAACCATTCATAATATATAGTACGGCTTATAATAACTCAAAGCTTCCTTTAACCAACAAAAGTAAATCATCAACCGAAATAACAAAAATGAAAGCTCAAGCAATTTACCACAATAGAAAATTCATTTAAAAAATAACGTATATATAGAATTCTTAATTTTTTTTTATTATAATTTTTTATTTATAAATAGTGTCAAGAAAATCAAATTTAATTCTAATTTGATTAAATTGATCAATTTTGTGTTAATTGGCTCCAAATGAATGTGTTCGAATTTTGTTATTTATTTTTTTATATAATAAAACAAATGAAAAAATCAAAAAAAGCTATGTATCGTAGCAATAGATATGTTTACTTTCCTTAAGGTCGATTTTTCACGCCTTCCTTTTTTTTTTCTTTTACATAAAACCGGATATCAATTACGTTTGGGGTCAACTACTGGGGGATCCCACACTTGTCCCAAAAGAACAGGAAACCCATGATTTCTTGCGAAATTTGATACATTTTGGTGCCACTCTGTCTGATAGGGACAAGTTTTCTTTGAATGTTTTTTTCTATACCTACTTTTTTTGACATCACTCTCAAAATAAAAAAATATAATTTTTTGTAATTTAAATCATATATTGGAAATATTTCTAAAAAAAAATTTTTTTTTTATAAATATTTCATTAAAATTTTCCTTTTGAATTCCAATGGAATTTTTTTTTTTTTTAAATTCCAATGGATTTTTCTTTCAATATTCCTGCGGTATTTCTGAAATATTGGAAATTATAATGAATTTTTATAATTTCCCATAAAAAACATTTCGAAATATTGTTATTCTTTTTTTAAATCTTACAAATATTATTGTCACATTTTTTATTTTTAAAAATAGAAAATTTATTTTCAACAGTAATTAGCTACTGACTGTATAGTTTTGTTTTTTTATTATTTTGAAGTTTTTTTCAAGCCAATAGGCATAAATATACATTAGCGTGTTACTGGTCCAAGAATATTCTACGGGGTTCTTTTTTTTTTTTGCCTCTGGTTCACCTACATTTTTTGTCCACGCATGTTATTCTTTCATTTGGCATGAAAATAATATACGCTGTGTGGAAAATCTCTCTCACTCTCTCTTTCTATATTGAAAAAAGGAGCCCGGGTGATGACTTCTAAAAATAATATTTAAATTTAGAGAAAATAGATCTTAAATCATAAATTCATTTTCAAATTATGAATAACTAATAATGGGATTCTTGTTATATGTACAAAAAAATATGTATTCAATTCCAACCAAATATTTGTCTGTTATACGATTGAATTTTGTAATAGTGATAAATCAAGAAAAAATTTTTTTTTTTGATTTAAATAAATAATTTGCTCTTAAATCAACATAATTTTGTCTAATTTATAATCTTATTTTAGAATTATCAACCAAATATTTGGTTAATATTTTTTTTCACAAATTTTCAAATAATTTAATTTTTTTTTGACATATTTTTTTTAAAAAACTTTTTTTTGACATAAATGAGGGAGGGGGGGGGGGGTAAAAAAAATTTGATTTCTTTGATGTGAAAATTTTATTTCACGATACTGATGTTGTTTATCAAATATATATCTGACAAAATGAAACATATGGCCCATTATTCGCGAGAGAATGTATATAAAGATTAAAAAGTACATGGTGTGCTTTCTTTTTGATTCGCGCTTTGCTCGTATATATATATATATATATTGAATCTGAAGAAAAAGGGAAAGTAAAAATAAAAATTTTTTACGATAGATATGAAGGACTGCAATATTATATAGAACATACTTCAGAAGCACCGGCTTAGGATGAGAGGATGGATATTTTTGGTTATCGCCTGGTACTGAATCCTGCTTCAGTAAATCAAAGAGCTACGTTAGTCGCTTTTCGACCGCTACGAAGGGTGTATATTTTTCTTTATAATACTGAATGTGTCATATGATGTTATTATATTGTGCTTTTCATTAATCACAAAAAAAAGAAAGAGAGAGAGATAAAAAAGACAAAATGCGCCCGGGTAGGTATTCAGTGAAATTTAGTGAAAAAATTTCTATTCCAAAAATGGGAGAATCGAGAATTTTTTGAAAAAAAAAAAATAATTATATACAAGCGATAAACATTATAATGATTTTTGAAAATTAAAAGTATATTTAAATTTTAAAATATGTGCTATTTTTTTTTTTTTTATTTGAAAATCGAAAAATATTCATTGACGAAATAATAGAGGTGAAAATTATTATTGTTAATAGAGTAAAAAAATCAAAATTTCGAAAAAAGAACAGTTTTAATAAATAAATAAAAAAAAAAATTTAATAAAAAATGAAAAAGTTCCAAAATATTTATTAAAAATAGTAAAAAAAAAAAAAAAAAGTAGAAATCGTGTTAAAAGAAAGAAATTTTTGAAAAAATTTATAATAATTATTGAAGAAATGAAAAAATAATTTTGCAGGAATTATTGAGATAACTGAGCAAGCTTATGCACGTCGTCATGGAATTGAAGATGATCAAGTGACATGTTGGCGACCAAGAACAAAAACAATAGTTATGACATTAGTAGGAATAATTATTTGCTCCTTTATTATTTATTGGTTTGTGAGTTCAATTATTCACAGTTATAAAGAAAATTCCAAAGGAACTCGATCAAGAATTTCCCGATCGATTATCACAGGTAATTATAATATATTTATTTTGAGAATAATAATTAATTATCAATTAATAATAATTACCTTATTATTAATTTAAACGAATTATTTTGAAATTATTCACCGTAATTGTTTGAAAGATATAATTTACTATAATTATATCTTTGATGAATATATTATAATAATTAATTTTAATAAAAATTATTTTTTATATATTTTGTTAATTATTAAAAGATTATTTTAAAAATTTTAGGAATGAATTTATAATAAATGCGTTAAAAAAGGAAGTGCATCAGTGATTAATTAAAAAAAAAAAAGAAAGAAAATGAAAATCCAAACAAATTACGTCAACGTCAATATTTCGTCAATTGTGGTTTGTTCAAATAATTAACTCAATTATAAATATTATAAAACATTTATTAATCAATTTATATTTTTGTAATATCAACTTTTTTATTTATTATTATTATATTTGTATAATTTCTTCAAAAGATTTATTATTATAAACATTCTTTTCAGATGGTGCGTCTTAAATGGTTTATTATGCTTGAAGTTTAGTGCTTCAAGTTCCTGTAAGTTCAGCTTCCTTTAGATTTTAAATGCATATAAACATGCAGTTTTTTTTTAAATATATATAAACTCTAATTTAATTATTGTTAAAAAAATGATTTTTAATATTTACTTATTATTTTCTTCTTTATTTTTATTAATGTTTGAAATGCAGTATTAAAAGTTAACAAATTCGTTTTTGTCTATGCTTCATATTTTATACGTGACATATTATAATATTTATATTTTCATTAACACTGTACTTGTTTAAAAATTATTTTTCGACATTAAAATTTTTTTTTATTGTAAATTATTAAAGAATAAAAAACAAAAAAAAATATACACATATTTATGTAGAATTTAATTTATTTTAAAAAATACAAAACGAATGGAATATTTTTAAAACAAAAAAATTTATTAAAAAATTTTTAAAAATTGTTATACATATTACCATGTCTGGTTGCCTACAACTAGGGGGGAAGAAAAAGTACATTTTTATGTTTAAATAATCCTGGAATGTATGCAATGAAATAATTATAAATAATATTTTTATATTAATTAGTTTTAGAAAATTAATTTAATTAGCAAAAAAAAAAAAAAAAAAAAAAATTAATGGACCATATGAAGAGAAGAAAATAACTACAATGGAAAGCAAATATATACCTAAGTACTCTTGGAGTCTTCTAATTCATAAATCACCTTTTGTAAACTTCAAACAAGAGTATAGAGTCGCGTGGTGTTTTAGTGCTTGATAAATGTAAGCAACATGTGTTTCAACTTGCAAGAATCACGTTTCATGACAAATCCTTTCTCTCTTTGTGAGCAATAAACTCGAAATATCCAAACCGCGTTAAATGACGAATAGTGAGTACTATCCAATAATATGAAATTTTATGTTTTTTCGTAAATATACAATCTTACCCGAATAATATATATATATATATATATTAATGTAATAATGAGTCCATTTCTGATAGTAAAATTAAAATTAAAATTAGTAAAACTTATTTTAAAAATCGAATTTTTAACATTAATTAAAGTTATAATATCATTTGTAATTAATATAAGTATATAGTACGTTTTGTAGTATAGAATTGTTTACGATTACGATTAGGAATTAATTTTCAGTAGGAATAAACAAGCTGAATACGACTGCTTTAATATCTAGGAAAAAAAAATTATTAATAAATAGATTTTTTCTTACTTTTAAATTAAAAAATTATTTTTAAAGATTTGTAAATTATAGCCAAAAAAAAATATTTTCTATTTTTTTATAGAACAAAACTTTTTTGCTTACCGTTGTAAAGGTATTAATACTCATATCTATTGTTCCAAAAGCTGACAATCTACATTCGAGATTATTTGAAATCATCATATTAGAATAAATTTTTCGAGAATTTAAATCACATTTGTGCCATTCCTTATAAAATGCATTTTTCGTGATACTTGTGCTCTATAAAAAAAAATCAAAATATCAAGAAAAATTATTTTGTTTTAGTGTCTTACTTGAATTTAAAATTTTTTTAATTTTTCTTACCGCTTCCAATAATTCTTGAGCGCATAAACATAACATGAAAACTTGAATCATTGAACCGGAGGTGTACATTACAATTAGGCATTTATCAAAAATTGATATTGGCAACTTTAAAAACATATTTCTTTAATTAATAAAAAAAAATTACAATTTAAAAATATATAATAAAATTAATACTAACGATTAAATAAAATAAAATGCAAATTATTTAGAAAAATAAAAATAAAATGTTTTTTTAAGAAATAAAAAAATAAACTTACCGTTATTATCATGAATGACAAAAAACAAAATCGAAATATGCAATTACCGTATGTTAATGCAACATTTAATGATAAAAGATTTTTCAACAATTTACCGATTCTGAAATTGATAATTTTTCTTTAAACTTGGATAAATAAATAATATTTAAGGAAATTAAACATTTTTGGTTGTCCAAATAAATTTTTTTTTTGGAATTCTTACTTTGTCACAGAACTATGATGTTCAATAAGTTGTTTCAATTTCTTCAGTCTCAACTTATCATCAATTATTTTTTCATCATAAACGTATTTTTTGTCATTAATTTTCAAATTGACTGTAATTTCTAAATTATTCTTCTCTTCAAATAGATTTTCTAATTCGTCGCTAATATAATGATATTCAGATGTAACCAATGTAATCATGTGAATTACATAAAAGTCAATACACGATTTTTTAGCTATTACATTGGGTGCACATATCACTTGAAATAAAATAGCGTAAACAAAAAAATTTCTTGTAAATGGTTCTTTAATGAAATACATTGGCACACGAAAATCGAGAATATAAAATTTATCCTGTTCAATTATTTTAATAATTGGCAAACCAGTCCAAAATAATACTGTTAATACAACAGCCATTATATAAATTCTTAGAGGTTTATTTATAGGATTTGTTGTCCGATGAATGCAATTTAAAATCTGAAAAAGTTTAATTAATCTTTTTGTCAATTAAAAAATTCTTTTGATATATAAAATTTGATTATTGTACCTTATATTCATCTGAATTGTCCAAAATATCATTTATCATTTTAATCAATTTTTTAAAATCATTTCTTCTTAAATTCACATAAATTGAAAGCACTAAAACTTCAATTAACACAACTATATTGACAGTTCCATATTGTATTGCTTGTACTTTTGGTACTAAAAATAATCCAATGAAACTTAATAAAAAATAGATAATTTGCAATATCCATGAAATTATCGCATATATTTTCCATCCCCATGAGAATTCTGAATTTTTATTGCTCAATGGAAGAAGATTTCCCGATAGAAGATTAATTAGAACTGTAAATTTATTAACACTCTTGAAATTCATTATTTTTATATACAAATATTATATTTTCAGTTGGAATTGAAATAATTTTTTAATGTTTGTAACCATAACAAACTTAAGTTTCCGTTGTTAAGGTGAATATTAATTATTCAATAAATAATTAATTCGAAGAGATAAATTGTGCGCGGATATATATATATACAATATATATATAAAGTATATGTAAAATTCAAAGAGAATATTTTCACAAACAATTGTCGTCCATAAATAGTTTCTATATAATGCATCCGTATGGAGAACTTCCGCGAAATTAAATTATTAAATGAAGAGAAATGCACAACTGTCGCTATTGAAATCAAACAATATTTGATCCTTCGTTCAGACGGATATTAATTATTAATTTGTGTACTTTCAGTTAAAATTGACCTTTCTCTTTAGAGACTAATAATTATAATCATTTTATCGTATATTTTATTAATGAACTTGTAAAATGACGAATCTACTTAATATACATTATTTATTAGTCTCTATCTTGAATATTGAAATATATTATTTGCTATTTTTCAAGTTTCAATATACTTTTTGTTAAAGAAAATTTTATGTAGTTTGAAATTTTTCTTTATTAGTAATTACTATTCACTTTTTTTTATAAAAAATTCAAAATTATTAAACAATTATATTAATACAATATCTAATTTTGAAAAGTAAATTATGAAATTTATTTAATTAAATTTTTTTTTATAATAAAACATTTATTAAATTAATGTTATAGAAAAAATATTCTTTACTCCCAAGAAATGTTTCTCGACATTTTCACTTATGTTAAGTCTAAATTGTACATTTTTTTAATTCGTTATCTATGTTCTAAATCTCATTAAGAACTATTTAACTATATAACGATTAAATTAAAAAATATATTTAATAATGAAAATGGCAACTTGAAAAAAAAAAAAAATAGAAATATATTACAACAGTAATGGCACATTGTGGAATTGATTTATATCACGAGAACTTAAATAAATTCCTATAAATAATATATTTAAATAGCTATTAATGTAACGATAAAAAAGCTCAGGACTTTGACCAGTAAACTGGATGCAGTTGAACTTGAAGACGAATATCCTTCAATGTGATGATAAACATCTCGCGAGCCAATTTCTTGAATTGGTCTATAGTTGAATTTTATATTTCCATCACTTGACTTGACATTTTTCAAAATATTTATCTATTAACATACAAAAATCAATTATTTTTAATTTTTGTTTTTAAAGTTTTAAAAAATTATTTTTCTCAATTTTTGAACAAAAAATTAAGAAAAATTATTTTTTAATTAAAAAAAATAAAATATTACCTGTGATTCTGAAACTGTCAATTTCTCAGCGAGTACAGTCCAAATAACAGATTGTTGACAACCTGGAGTTGTCAATGAACCCTCGTATCGATAAAAATTTGAACGATCTTTCGGTAAAAGAAATGATGGTATCACTTTTGAATCAATTTGAGCCATACTTGGTCCTACCCAATCTGACACCAAATTTGCAGCCTTCATGATATGATGTAAATCTTCATTGTCCTTATCACTCAACTAAAAAATTTGAAACAATATACATTAAAATTTGTTTATTTTATCATGTGTTTTCAATTAATTAAATTTCTTAATTATTTAATTAATTAATTTTCCAAAAAATGAAAAAAAAAACAATTTTTTTCAACTTACCTCGAAAAGAACAGCTAAAACGGCAATACCTTTTGGATATTTGCTGGCGGATGTGACATTATCAAAATTTTTATCATAGTGAACAAAATGAAATTCCATTGGATCACGAACACCATCAATTGTATGCTCCGCCGACCAATGAATATGAATTTGATCCAAAATATATGTGGTTGGTAAACCTCCTCCCATTAAATTAATTGGAACACCATCCAAAGTGATTTGCACTGTAACGTCATTGAACAGTCCTTTTAGGTTGCAACAAATCTGTAAGGCCAAATACCCAATAATGGCAGAAAAGCGATATTTTTATAAAAGTTTACACTATGTATAATTATCTCATTTAAATACTTGTGACATTTAAGTTTTAACTTTTATAATAATTTTCATTGAAGCGAAATAAAAAAAAAAAAAAAAAAAAATAATATTTTTTCTAGATGCTTAATTGAAAATGAAAAATTAAATATACAGATGTGAAAGATTAACAAAATATTTTATAGTTTCAGCTAAAAGCGTATCTCCCTTTTTTTTGAATAATTTTTCGATTTTTACCTGTGTGTCCTGTGTTTTTAATTATACTGGAAAAAGCGAAATCGTAGCGAATAAATTTTAATGCTCCCAAATCAGTATTTATTGCAGCATCCGGTATTATGTTAATTGGAGATTGTTTTTTTCCATATCTACATATTCCAGGCCAATTTTGTGGACCTAAAATTAAATTCGAACTATATATATATAAAATTTCAATTGAAAAATATATAGAAATATTTTTTTAATTCATGTCAGCTTAAAGTATTAATTCAATTAATTAAAAAAAAAATTGTAACAATGGTATAGGTATACATTCTAATGAAATGTAATGAACTACATATTTAATCACTGCTTGTCTTGGTTGGAGAATCGCATGTTACAAATTGCGAAAAGTAATTAACTTGAAGGTTTTTCTAATTTGATTTGGAGGTCCCAGATAATAGATCTCGTGACAGGATGAATTTTTTTTGTCTTTGAATTGAAAATTACACGATAGATATATATAAAAAAAATTTTTTTTTTTGTAAAAATTTTGATTTTTTAAAGTTTAATGTTAAAATAGGTGCACTTCATATATGTATGTAAGTGAATCCATTATTCAATTTACACCAGGGCTCATCATTTCCTCAATCAACACATAGGTGCATCAACTTAACCAGATCTGTTTGAAGTACTTGATAATTTTTTTCATTTTGTTTCTTTAATTTAATAATTCTTGATCAATATCATATTTTTATTAATTATTGTTATAATAATTATTTTTTATTGTCTTATTTCCTTGATTCTTGATCAATTATTATTGATTATCTTTATTGTTAATCAATAATTTATTTTTCGTCTTCTTTATTCTTGATTAATGATTTCTTATATACCAATTTTCTTTCATTCCTGCGATCAATATATATGATTCTTGACTTTCTTTATTTTGCATATTAATGACTGTTGTATTTCTCTATTTTTGATCAATGTTTATATTGATTTTCTCATTTCTTGATCAGTAAAATGAAATTATAATGAACTTGCAATGACTCTTGATGATAGGGGCCCGTTAATTATTATAATTTTTTTTTTTGTCAAATGTTGACTCTATTTTATCATTCGAAGAAACATTACTTTTTATCATATATAGAAACGATAATAAATAATTAACCATTCCGTATAAAATCAAGTGTAAAAAAAATTATTCTTTTTTATAAAACATATGATTAATTAATAATTTAATTATTTTACGCGAAGTTTTGAATTATTGTTTAAATAATTTAATAATCAAATAAAGTTTTAATGTTATTACCGTGATTACCCTCATAGGACCAATCAGCAGCCTCCGTCCAACATAGACCTGAAATATTAATAAATTTATTAAATTGATAAAAATTAATATTCTTTCTTTAACTAATTAATTTATTTTAAAAAATTAAATTATTAATTAAAAAATTCATACACCTAGATTTTTTGATATGAAAGTGGTTTTTTTCGTGAGTTAATTTTTTTTTTTTTTTTTTTTTTATTTAAAAAGAAAAAAGGAAATTTAAACTTCTTTGAAAACTACTATATATAATGGTGGATTGGCAAATTGGGCGCCAGCTAAATTGAACTTGTGAATGACTTGGATGAACTATATATCACGCCAAGGATGCGAAGAAAGTAGGGTAATAGTACAAGGGAAGATCGAATCATCCCGCCAGATATATATATTTTCATGAAAAATAAGATATTTTACAATCTTCTTCTTCTTCTCCTTTTCCTTCTTTTTATTTTTATTCAAAAATAATACTTAAATTATTAAAAATTATTATTTTTTAAAAATAAAAGTTCTTATTCTCATTTGAAATAAATATCTAATTGCATATGTAATTTGGTTAATAAATAATTAATTTAAAAAATGAAATCAAAATTTTTAAGCCTTTTTACATTGTTAAATAAATAAATTAATTGTGATTTTTAAAGAAATAAATAAAAATATATCATTTGGAAAAAGAAGAAGAAAAAATGAGAAATAAAAAACAAAAATAAAATAATATAACGTTTCGTTAAAAAACATTTCATGAAATTAACGAATTTAATTAATTAATTAAGGATTAAAATTTAAGTAAAATCGATAATTATTATTGTAAATGGTATACGGATGCAATGTTGATTCATTACAAATGTAATCCGATGCATTGAATTGCCTTGCCTACATCGACCCAACCTAGACATTAATGGTACTTTCAAGGTACAAGTGCAAAATACGGATTTTTGTTTCTAGAAATAAATCCTTAATTTCCATAATAAAATTAGTTTAAATTATATACTTCCATTTAAACATGTGTATGTGAAATTAATTTTTGGAATTTGTCGACTCACTGATTTCAATCAGTGCGATTTCTTTGAAATTAATCGATTTTAATTAATTAATACATAAATTAGTTAATTTTTAGTCAATCAAATTTTATATTTTGTTCAAAAAATCGACTACTTGACTTTAATCAAAAAAATATTTATTAAATTAATTAAAATTTTTATTTTTTTTTTAAAATTTTAAAACAGCCCCAAATGATTATAAATTTTGTATTATTGATTTACATTATACTTTATACAGGAGTATAAACATTTAGCCAATTATTACTTCCATGAATATGCAGAGAAAATTTAATTTGAACGAATTGACTCTTTGATCAAAGATTTATGATCTATTTGACTCGAATGTGTATTATAATATGATGAAAACACCATACAAAAATGTTTCGAATGAAATTAATAAAAAAAATTTTATTTTGTTAAATTAATTAATTAAAAAAAAAATTGGAAAATTTATAAAAAAAATAATTCGCAATATGAAAAATGACTTAAAATTTTCTAAAAATTTTCAATTATAAGATATTTTATGATAATTAATTTAACAAAAAATGAAATATATATATATATATTTTTTTTTTTTGAAAAAGACATATTTTTTTTAATGAAGGATTAGACTTGTGATTATTATGTAGATGATCTAATGAGTCTCAATTTGACTTTCCGCTTTTCAAGGGTCATATACAGAATTGCGAGTATATAAAACAAAAGAAAACACATTATTAATTGCAAATGAGCTCATTTGCAACTTACAATGTTTCTCATTTATTAAGATTAATTTACCCAGCTATAAAACTTTCTTTGTAAAAATGAAAAAAAAAAAAAAATTTATTCTGATAAAAAAAAGATATAAATCTAGAAATTTACAAAAATAGTTAAAAATTATTTATTTAAATATGAAGAATATTTATCAGTCATCAGTAATTGACTTTTTTAAATTATTTATTTGTATAATAATCTTAATTTATAGCCTTATTAAAAATTCGATATGAAATAAAAATGAAATAAAATGAAATAAAAATATGTGAAAAATAAGTTAAAATTAGTTAATAAACAAAGAAATAAAATAATATTTTTTTTTAATTTCTAACTAGTACATAATTGAAACTGATTATGTGTTTTTCATCTTATAGTATTATATTCTCTTCTTCGACTTTATCTGACATTTAAAATAACATTCTCTGTAAAAGATGAATCGAAATGTAATTTATCAGTCACGGGATTAAATTTCGCGATAATTTCAATGTATAGTTCAGTAAATAATAATAATTTATCGCACTCAAAAAAACTTAAATTATATTTTATAACAGAAAAATATTATGTTGTAAATTATTATTGTTATCAATTTATCAATCACGAAATATCAGTTTCATTAAAATTTGGTCCAAACGCGAACTTAAAATGTATACATATATATAAGTATAATATTATTGCAATAACACCTCTCAGTAAATATAAGATAAATTTTTTTAAATTTTCTGGATATAACACAATAAAAATTTATTTTTTTATATATATTTAAAAAATTTGCCTCTTATTAAATTATTTAATATGGAAAAATGATAAAAATATATTTTAAAAAAAGAAAATTTTTAATCATTATTGTGAAAATTTAATTTAGAAAATTAGATAAAAAAATTACGTTAAACAGCAAAAATTCTTCATAATTTTTATTTGAAATTCAAATTAGTTTAAATAAATTACTAAAGTCTTATAAGAAAAATAAATTTTATTCTTTTAAGCAATTTATAAATTCACATTTGAAAATATGAAAAAACTAAAGATTTTTATATCTTATTTCTTCGTTGCCTCTATTTCTCATAAAATTTCAATTTTTTCCTCATATAATTAATTATTTATTTTAGTGAGAAAAAAATAATTAATTTGTTAAATTTTCAATTTTTCTTTCTCATAATAAATTGATTGAACTCTTGAAATTTGAATTAGTTTATTAATTTCAAATTTTGTTCGAGTAAATAAATATTTATTTGATATTAGTCAAGTAACCGATTATATTTGAAGCAAATTTTTTTTTTTTTTTTTTTTTGATTTAGTAATTTAAAAAAAAACAAAAAATATTTTTTTTTTATTATTTTAAAAAGAATGGGAAAAAATATTTCAAAAATAGTAAGGAATAGAATAAGAATTACCTGTTAAAATAAAAAAGATGATTGATCTCATGTTATTTGAGAGAGTCAATAAAAGGGTTATAATATTTTAACCGATTAAGTTCGAGATGTTAGCGAAACAGCGACAAGTGTTGAACTGATCACAAATTCACTAGTAAAACGGTTGAAGCCAACCCCCGAGATTAGCCAAGATATCATTATATATATGAACTGAATTTAACTTGTATATCATCCTAATTCATTCGTAGCTGCACGACACGTTAGTTATATAGGTGCATTATAATGTATACATATGTGCATTGAAGTCTCAAATGATAAAAAGCTTGACACCTGCTTGTACCATATGCAAAATTTGCAATATCTGCATGTTATTCTTGATCTATTTTTTTCTTTTATTAATTTCCATTCCCACAAAATAAATAATCTATGATCACTAATCATAGATTAAATATCTAAAATTTAATTAAACAATAAAATTTATTAATCAACAATTTGATATATTGAGATAAATAATTCTTTTTGTGGAATGTTTAAAACAAAAATGTTAAAAAAAAAATTTGATTTATATTTGTTAAAAAAATTTTCAATTAGAATTTTATTATTTAAATTATTTAACTATAATTATTCTGTTTCAATAATTTTTTTTATTACATAAATTATCTGATACATTTTATTTTTCGAAAATTTCACCCCCTAAAGTATCACAGACTTTGTGAATGAATCCTTGAATTGTTTTTTTAATTTATTTTCAAAAATTAAAATTTTTTTTAAATAAAATTTTAATTTTACATATAATTTTTTAATTTTTTCTTCTAATTAATTAATTTTTTTAGAGACGATTTTTTAATTATTATATATAGCATTTAAATTGAAAACATTTTTTTTGGTTAAAATTGAAAATAAAATAAAATGTAACTATTTTCGCGCGTTACTCTCGTTATTATTATTATTATTATTTTTTTTGTCACGAATGTGCAAAAAAATATATATAGGTAACTAACCAGATCGACGATGAGAGCTGAACTGATGATCTCCTCGGGCTTGTTACGTGCTCTAGTGTCCAACACCCCCCCAAACGTTTCACAATGAATCCAAAGTGCCATTGTCCCAATTTTCAACAAAAACTAATTATCACCAAACAAAGCTTGCAGCTTGATCCCTTTTATATATATATATATATATATATATAGGTTGTTATATAAATCACAAATTAATTCCTTTGACATGGAAACCGGAATTCCGACATAAATTGATCATCTTCAGAGCTACGATAATTTTCACAATAGACTTCGATTCCTTAAAAAGTTGATCTAGAAAAAAAAAATATTATAATGTAATATTAATTTTATTATTATATTATATTCAATCAAAATTTAATTTGGATCGAAATTTTGCAAAATTTTGTCAAACACTTTTATGTATATCATAAAATAGGAGTAACAAACTTCATTGAGAATTTCATAATGAGATTTAAGTAATTATACGGGTTTATTTTTAAAATAAATTGTATTCTTTTCATGTCATTATTATAGTCGATTCTTGTATTATAAATTAATAAAATAAATTATATGTAGACAGGAAGTTGCATATGGAAGTCTTCAGTAATGCGAACTTGTTTGATTTTTTATGCTCAAGTGGATCTTCAATCGAATCACTCTTTTTAAAGCCCCTTTAGAAATATATTACAGTTGAATTTCAAGATATAATTTAATTAGAATTAATCAGTTCTTTATGCAGTTCTTCGAATTAATTTCTTTATATTCATTTTTTTCCCTCAAGGTTAGCATTATTGTAATTAAATGAAAATTTTTTTTTTTTGAAAATTTATTCCACTAACATTTCTTTCATCTTACTCATTTAATTAAAAAAAAATTATAATTATTAATTTATTAATAATATTAATAAATTAATTTTAAATAATTTCAATTTAATAAAGATTTATATCTTAATATTTTCTGTAAAAAAAAACGAATATAATAAATAACTACAATACATAATAAAAAATAGAAATAATTGTAATGATATATTTTTTTTAAAATTGTTCTGAGTGAGATTAGAAGGCATATTTATGACTGTATCTATAACAGCGATTAAAGTTAAATAATATTGAACTAAGCAAATTATATCCCATCTCAGTGATCCCCCTTGATTTTTATATTATTATAATTAATTATTAATAGCGTGACCCTCCTGGGGTTCAGAATATTTCCGTACAATTTATAGTTACACCTCATTTTTATTGCACGTTTAATTTCAAACATTTTATTTTCTTAATTTTTTTCCCTCATCAGAGATATAGAAAATTTTTTATTGATATTTAAAAATATAATAGTTATCATTTTTTCATAAACCATTTTTTAAATTTATATACCGATAAAAAAAATAATTCGTTAAATTTTACTGTTATTGTAATGTAAATTTGAAGTGACAAAGAATTCTGTGTAAATTGTGCAAAAGTTGACGTGAATAGAAGAAAATCAAAAAAAAACGATTGAATGAAAATTTTTGACAAGGTATGTTTATGGCCAATAATTTAAGTTTGTTCTCCAATAGAAAAATCCATAAAAGAAGAAAAAAAAAAAGAAGATACAACAAAAAAATGAATAAAATTATTCCAATTATGAAAAATCAATTTAATTTTGAAGCTCATATAATATATGCAACAATATAAACATATGAAAAAGAGGTCGCATGCTTTTGGCACACATCCACCTTATCCACATTGACTCTGTTTTCTCTAGAGAAAAGCGACATCATTGCCTCTCTCTGCCATGATGGTGGTAAGCTGACCGAAATAGAAAACGAATTTTATGATTAAATTTGAAGCCGGCAGTGAGCTCCACGTGTTTTTTCAAACTAGTATTCAATCTCCCCTTGAACTAGAGAGAGAGAGAGAGAGAGAGAAACAAAGGAGATTTAAAAAATTTGTCCCCTCAATTAATTTTTCATTTACTATAAAATTTTTTTAGCAAAAGTTATTGCTAATAAAAAAATTTTGTGTATTTAGAAAGTAAAAAAAAAAAAAAAAATCACAAAATATGGCACGAGTTCCAATGAGATCGTCGTTAAGAAGTCGAGATTCATCGAGTACATCAACTGGTGTTGACCCTCGTGAAAAGATAAGAAATTATTGTCGGAAATTAATTGCATTTATGTTCACTCAGGTGGGTGTAGGTGGTCTTATTGTTTGTTATGCATTGTTAGGTGCAATGGGCTTTCAAATGATTGAGACCCAAGAAGAATATCCACACATTATTATTGTCGACAATCTACGAAATACGTGTGCCACAGATCTTTGGGAGGTGGCCAAAAAATTTAATGTTTTTAATGAGAGCGCCTACGTTCAGGGTACTGATAAAATTTTACAAAATTTCCAAAATAATCTCACTCATTTTATTAAAGAAGGATATAGTGGACGATCCGTGCACGAGGTTTGTATATTATCAAAAAACTGCAAGGCTGAAAAAATAATGTTTTTTATTCTATTATTATTAATTTTTTTTTCTTAATTAATTAAATGTTCGATAATTGAAAATTTCTTTAAATAAAAATATAGAAATGAATAATTTTGTTAAATGAAAATACTTTGTTTTTTTTAGGTCTGGACCTATCCGGCGGCCCTGATGTTTTCCCTCTCGATAATGACGATGATCGGCTATGGAAATATGGTCCCAAAAACTCCTTGGGGTAAAGGAACAACAGTGATGTATGCAGTCGTTGGAATTCCTCTTTATATTTTGTATTTTTTGAATATGGGAAAAGTCCTTGCCGAAAGTTTCAAGTGGCTCTACAGGAGAATTCATCAATGCAGTGGTCATCGAAAATCTGGTGGTGCACGAATAATTGTACCATCGACAGCATGTCTTTGGGTGATATTTGGCTATATTCTCATTGGTACGGTGATGTTTGCTGAATGGGAACAATGGGATTATTTGGATAGTGCATATTTTTGTGTGACATCACTTTCAAAAATTGGAATCGGTGATTTTGTGCCAGGTGCAAATTTAATAGAATCGAGCAGTGAGAAACCAACAAAATTAGTTATCAATTTTGTTTATTTACTATTAGGTATGGGATTAATTGCAATGTGTTATAATTTAATGAAAGAAGACGTTAAAGTTAAAGCACATGAGCTTAAGGAAGATTTAACTCAAGGTTTAGATGATTTTCGACGACGATTACTTACATGTTGCCGAGAAAATCCTGATGGTTTTGAATAAGAATTTTTTTTTTTTCAAAGTTCATTAAATTTTTGATAATTACATACATTCCTTGTGTTTGTTGTTGTTGTTGTTGTTGTTAATTTTCAAAATTTTGGTATCGAAATGATTTTCCATATTGAATTTCTTTTGCAATTTATAAAATTGATTTCTACAAAAAAAAAAAACTGTTTAGTTTCAATAAGAGCAAAAAATGATAAATTTAAAATGATTTTTAAATAATTTTTGCAAATATGTATAAAATAATTATATTTAAGTTATGAAGTAATTATTATTAATTTCATAGAATATTAAGTAACTTATTTTAATGCATTTAAATATTATATTATATGATTGTTTATAACATTTTAATTCGTTTGCTGTTTGAATTTTTATGTTTAATAAATGTTGTAAATAGTATCTGATTTTATTTATATAATTAATTATTTATATAATAAAATAAGTAAATAAATAAAAAAAAATTTCAAATCTATTTGAAAATAAATGAAAATTTAAATTTAGTTATTTTTATTATATATTTGTTTCTCCATAGGGACATTTTGAATTATAACAGAAAAGTGACATCTAGAGAAAAGTTACCGTTGAATTTATAGGGTGTGCAAAATGTATTGCAAAACGAAATAAATTTTGCTTTCAAGACACGTGTGTTTTCTCAAAGCTCCCAAACATCAACAATGTTTTTGTTTATTTTAAAAAGATTGTAAATAATATGACTTAAACGATGGCTTTTAAAATTAAACAATTTGCAAATGTTTCTGGATTTCTTCAAAAGCAAAATGATATTTTATACAAATTTCCATTAATTAGTTCAGCAAGTTCTCGAATTCTTGTATTTTTTGGAGGTGACACTCAGGTAATGTTATTGTCATTAATAATTTATTAATTAACAAACAATTATTTAAAAATAATAAAAAAATAAAACTAAAATAAGAAATTTAATTGTTTTTCAAATTGGAATTCATCCAATAGTTTATTTCATTTTTGTTATTTTCATTTCTAAATTGAAGAACTAAATATTTATGAAGTATAAATAAGTTTTAAAAAATTATTATAAAATATTTAATTTTTATATCTTGCAAATAAATAATAATAAATAATTTACATTAATACAGGACTTTTCTGAAAATATGGCAAAGCACCGGGACAGTCGTCATTTTCAAGAATGGAGTTTGGAGAACACAGCTAAATTAATAGCAGAACGTTTTCCCAAAAATCATATTTTTATTATTCGACCAGTAAGGTAAAAATTAATTAGCCAATATAATAAATTTACTTTAATTTTTTTTTTTAATTATTTCAATTTTATTTTTAGGAGAAAAATACTTTCTAATGCAGTTTTAAATTGCTTTGATAATTTTGTATCTGGTGACGAATATGGTGCACCTAATTTTTGCCATAATTTCAATAGTTTATTGCATTTAAAATTGCTTCTTCAATCGTTATCAGTACAAATTCCAAAGGTATAAAATATTTTTTGATAATGGTTTATAAAAATTAAGCGAACTAATAATAATTTTCGTTTAACAATGACTTTTCAGGCTTCAAATGAAATAATAAATAATGATTTATTATTAATTGGATTCAGTAAAGGTTGTGTCGTGTTAAATCAATTTCTCCATGAATTTCATTTTTATCAAAACCAAAAGGAACTAAATAATGATATGGGAAAATTTATATCTCGAATTAAAGAAATATGGTGGCTAGACGGAGGACATCCAGGCAAAAAGGATACTTGGATTACAGATGAAAAGATATTAGAGTCGTTTATAAAAATGGGTATTTATTCAAACTTAGTAACTTCAGTTTTTATTATAAACTCACTAAAAATAAATCAAGGGAATTAATTATTTTTTTAATTATTTACAATCTAAAGTATATTTTTGTCTTTGCTCAAATTTTTACAAGCAAGATTTTAACGTCTTTAAAATTTTTAATTATTAACTAATGTTATCATAAACATTATCATTAAATATTTAAGTAGATATAAATAATTTTATTATTTATAATTTTTAAATTACTATTTTTAAATTATGTTTATAAAAAATGGAATAATTTTTCTTTTGAAAAAATATTTTAGAAATTGATATTCATGTACATGTCACTCCATACGAAGTAAGAGATGAGAATCGGCCATGGATTCGTATTGAGGAAGAAATCTTTACTGATATTTTGCAAAAAAAAGGAGCCAATATACAACGAGTTTTTCATTTCGAAGATCAACCTTGTAAATTGGAAAATCATTTTCGAGTGTTAACAGAATTTACCTCCTCCTCACAATAATTAGGTATTTTTTTCAAAAATAAAATTTTCTACTTCTTTAACTTTTTATATAATAATTATATAATTTTAATTATATTCTATTTAATTATTATATAAAATTAATTTAATTAAAAGTTTTTTTTCTAATTTTTTTTTGATGTCAAAAGAAATTAGTTAAAATATTGTTTATGCAATCTTTTTGATTTTAAGACTAAAAAAAAAAACAAAAATTTACATAAATTACCCGTTGTCGTTGATCATCTTCGATTATTAAAAAAAAGAATTGCTTGAAGTAAACTCTCGATAAGTGTCGTTGAAAATCAGTCGTTTCGTGCACATTCTAACAATATTCTCAACACCTATTTGGACAAGCACTTTGAAGACTGTGTTTATCTGACAAAATAAAAATTTTTTTTTTAATTTTCGAATATAAAAAAAAAACAATTAAAATGTAAAAAATAAGACATACTTGCAGATGTATCAAATAAAGTAATTTCTGACCATTCGTCGCTACCGTCACAACAATCACAAACTCCATCATTGACTTTGTAGGATGATATTTTAGCTAAAAAGTTGTTTTTTTTAAACAATAGTTTTTATTGCCTTTTATTTAATAATAGACATTAAATTTCAATTAATTACCTGGAAATCTTTTTGAAGACATTTCGCAATAAAATACACCATTATTGCAAGCATTTGTTCCCGATTCATCACTTCCATCAAGTGGACAATCACAATAATTGTCATTAATTTTAAAATAGTCTATCTCCTCCTTAGAAGTAATACAAACAAAATTACCTCGTACATTTGGAAGATATTTAACAATATCTCGACTATGTGTTCCTCTTAAAGAAACGCTATTTCCATCTTTATCTTTAACCAATTTTGAATGTTTAGATTCATTCCATTTTGACATTATTTTATTGATAGCAACGTTTTGCTTGTGATGATTTGACGAGTGATTAATTTGACTTGTGTCTTTATTTAGACGTGATAAATAAAGAAATTGTGATAACAAAAAACAAGTACATCCAATCACAGTTAGAAGAAAAATATAATTGACTTTTTTTTTATACAATTGTTTCATCCATATCATTTTAAAATTTCAATTATATTAAAGCATCTGAAAATAATAGTAAATTATTTAGAAAATTGTCTAGTTATTAGTCGTAACTGTAGAATTACTTGTTTTTATAATGAAAAATATCGAATAAAAATTAATTAGGAATTTTGATAAATAATAATAATAGAATTTTAATATATTAATCAGATACAAAACAATATTTTGTTAAAATATAATTTTCATTTTAAATTTAATTTTGCAAACACGTATTACAATTTATAATTTTAAAAAATTCTTGTAAATTGCATAAACAAAATTAACTTTTAGGTTAGAAAACATTTTATTGTGTTTATATACTTAAAAAGATTATTAAATTTTGAAATTCCTTTATTTGTAATCCTACCTGATTGAATGAGATTTATTTTTCTTAAATTTAACCACTTTTTAACAAACTAACATATTTTTTTATAACAACATCTGATAAATAATGGGCATTTCCATTTCGTTTAATTTCATTGTCCAGAATTTTAAGGGCGCACTCACACCTTTTGGCTACCTGCCTGCCTGCAGGAGTTGTCATGGCAACGTGAAGGAGTAACAGAGATAGTAAATTCAAATTTGAATTTTCTCTCTCTGTTACTCCTACACGTTGCCATGACAACTCCTGCAGGCAGGCAGGCAGCCAAAAGGTGTGAGTGCGCCCTAACTTAACTTCCCATCCATGGAAAATAGACTTCGAACGACCCATCCATGGCTCCACGCGTCTTTTGCTAATCCCCTTCTCCACCATTTTTTACACCCTGAACGACCTTGAAACTATATAAGTAAAAATTGTACATAATATTTTAATTTTTCAAATTTTTTTTTATACATATAATCAATAAGAGCACAAGCAAAATGTCAAAACTATCAGCTGTTAAAGAAATGATTGAGAAATTATTAAAAGATGAATCTAAACCTTGGACAAAATACATTGCACTTGCTGAACAGAAATTGAAAGTGGATCGATTGTATATTTTCTTAGGTAAGTTTGAGGTTATAATATTAATATTGCATGAATAGTTTAACAGAGAAATTAATTTTTTTTCTAAAAAAACTTTTATTTTTTAAATAATTTGAATATGTACTACTTGTATCTATATTTATTCAAAAGACAATTATTTAATTTTATAAATCTATTCTTTTTCTAGGCTTTTGTTTTAATGACATTTTTTTTTTCTTATAAACTTCTTTGATGCAAGTCACTGCTTTATGTAATATAATTGTAATTAATTGCAAATCATGTGTCAATTTTTTTAAAATGTTTCAAAATATGTACAATATTTTAAGTAATTGAAAAAAAATTTATAATTATTGAAAAATAGGAATTGAAAGCTTTAGACGTGTATTTTTTGAAATAATTAAACTGATTATAATTTCGATTTAATTACAGGTGCGCTGGTAGTATTGGCACTGTATTTAGTTTTAGGTGTAGGTCAACAATTGGTATGCAACATAATTGGATTTGTTTATCCTGCTTATTGCTCAATGAAAGCGCTTGAAAGCCCAAGTAAAGATGATGATACAAAATGGCTGACGTACTGGGTCACCTTTGCTACTTTTACTATCATCGAATTCTTTTCTGAGTATATTGTTTGTTGGGTCCCAGTATATTGGTTAATGAAGGTAATTATTATCAAGTAAATTTTTTTCATTCAACTTAATTAACATACAAACGTATTTTTAGTGCCTATTCTATATTTGGTTGATGGCTCCAACTGAATACAATGGTTCCTTAATACTTTATCGTAAAGTAATACGTCCAAGATTTGTTCAATATGAACCTCAAGTTGATAAATTATTATCTAATGCTTCTGATATAGGTAACTAATTTTTATATTATTTTTTTGAAAATAGTATCACTGACATTAAGAGAATAAAATTAATAAAACTTTTTTTCTTATTTACAGCAAAAAAAGCTGCGGCAAGTACGTTATATGCTGAGAAAAAGGATTGAATATTTCAGAAAAAAATAATTAGCAAAAGACTTTCAAATCTTCATACCCATTCCTTCAATTCATAAAAAAATTAAGACTTTAAAATTACAATTTTTAAACATATATAAATGCAAATATAGTTAAAATTTCAAATTTGTAACATTTGACTATCGCACAAAATCGAATTTCCACAATGTTATAAAAAATGCTGAAAAAAAACAATTACGTGCCTAAAAATTATTTCTATAAGTCTCATTTGACAAATCTAAAAATATTAAATAGAATAATGTATTTATTTCTTGTGATATTTGCAGTGTTTTGAAAATGATGTCTACACTGTGCCATTTTAATTAATCTGCTTAATATATAATTATATGCTATTTTTAATTCTAGCTACTTTAGCTATTTTGAGATACGTCAAAAAAAATCAATGTGCAAAATTATTTATGAATTGTTTTCTTCTTTTTATTTTGAATTGTGGCTTCTTGTTTAATTCTGTAATTACATATATATAAAATTAAAAGATTTTAAACAAAAATGGTACAATTCAGTTAGTTTTAAGTTATTATTATTAACTCCAATCTGTATTGTACAAAGAATTTTCAATCTTCACAAAATAAAGTTAATTTTATTGAATTTGATTTTTTTTTCATTGAATGAATTATATAGAAAAGAATTAAGAAAATTTTAAGATTGAAGATAATGAAAATTTTCAGCAGTAATTGCCAATTTTCGAATATGCCTTATTGTAGTTGCTGCTGCTATTTGTACTTCCGAATCTTCTGAGCCAACTAGTCGCAAGACATGCTAGAAAAAAAATTTAATATTAAACATTTAGAATAATAGTTTTAGGATTGAAAAATAAAATTTAATTTAAACCTTGACAACACCACAAGTGTGCATTGTAATGCAATTCAAAGGCTCCTTGCTTAAATGATAGAATGCAATACAAACTCCTTTCAATACATTTTTATTCTGACTCGATAAATAATTAACTAATGGTGCAACAGCATTTAATTTTCCAAATTCATAATTATTTTGTCCCCATTCACAACAAAAGGCAATTGCCAATGTTAAATTTGCTCGAAGATCTTCATCTTCCTGTGTAAAAAAAAACAAAGATAAGAATTAATTCTAATTCAAGCAATGAATACATTGTTAAAAGTAATTTTTTAATTACAGTATTGACCAAATCGGCTAATTTTTTAACAACACCATGATCAGTTAGAATGCCTAAATTTTCTGGATCAGTAGCAATTGCAGCAATTGTCGCACAAACTGCACTTAAAACTTGATTATCTTTACTTTCAAGAAGACTAACTGTAAGTTCTAATCCACCAACAAAAGCTCTAACCATTTGCGGTGAATCCTTAGCATGTTTAATACAAGGCACCAATGCAAAACATGCATTTCTTTTAATAATATTACTGGGATGCTTCAATAAGGACCATATCAAACGAACTCCATCTAATATATGTTCAGGATCATTTATAATATCCATGCACTCTTCACTTTCAGCACATTCTTTAATTACCATTGGTAAATTTTCCAAAAGTGGTTCATACGTTGCACTTAGTAGACGAATCTATATTTTTTATTTATTTTATTATTATTGATTTTATTTTTCTATTTTAAAAAAATTACTTACCAATTTTTGTATCCCATCATTTATTCTAAGAACATCTCGATTTTTAGGATCTTTACAACATTCAGCAAGTGCTCCAACTACATTAGTAAGTACATCCTCATCTTCATTTTCTTCTAATAGAGGAATTATAGAAACCACTAATTCATTTTGATTAAATCTTATAATATTTTCTGGACTCATAGCACATTTCCAAATTCCACCAGTAACGGAAGCTAATAATTCTTTATTACTTCGAACTTGATCGCTTTGTATTAATTTACAAAGTGGATCAAGACCACCTGCTTCTCTCACTAGATCTCTTGTTACTTTATTTTCAGCGCATTTAAAAATTACGAGTGCACAATTTTCCTTTAATTTTACATTTTCATTTTTCAAATGATGAATTACATCTCCAATTATACCCATTTGTTCAAAGGCCAATCTAAAAGATTTCTGAAAAAATAAATAAATTTTATTATAATTATAACAAAAAAAAAAATTATTTTGGAAAATTAATCTCACTAGATCTGCACATTGTTGAACTGATCCCATCATTGGAATAATTAAATCAACATTTTGACTTTTAAGAAAACGTGACATTAAAAATACAACTCCAAATTTTCTCAATTCTTCTTTAATTTTTGGACTACTGCTCAATGAATTAAGAACTTTAGCACATCCGATAGCGACTGACATTAATTCTCTATCAATTTCATTGATATTTTCCAAAGGACACTGTAGAACTGTATCAGGAACATCCATTACGTCCAACTAAAATTCAAAAAGGTAATAAAAAAAAATAGTTTCATTATTTAAATCACTTTTTCAAATAAGTTTCGTGAAAAAAAAAATTATTTTTACAATTAAAGGAATTCCTCCACGAACGCGAATTTGTTTTCTCGCTTTTCTCATCCTGGCAATATTTGCCATTGTCTCAGCTGCTAAAACTTGAATATCTCTCGCTGGATGTTTCAATAATTCAACAAGTGATATTACAATTCCCAAATCAATTAAATAACGTCTTATCTCAGCTGACGATGTTATTTTCAATAAAACTGCCAATGATCCACTTTGACATTTAATGTCTTTCGTTTCTAAAAGATTCACCAATACTTCCAATCCACCCATTTCATGAATTGCTTTTTGAATAATCTGCAATATTTAAAAAAAAATTTATTTTTAATTTTTAATAATTTTTTTTAAAACACACAAAACATACTCTACTATTTAGTTCGTAGTCCTTTAAAAGACAAAGTGAAACAATTGTAGCAGTTTGATTGCCAGCTTTCATATATTTAATCAATTTTTGCATATGCCAAAATTCTGCTGGTACTTCCGAATTTGCACTATCCTTGAGATATCTACTTTCATCATCACTTTCAGATTCAGGTTCATCATCTGAACTTTCTTCTTCTGCTGTTTCATCAATATAACGAATTCGAGGTCCAAATTGTTCTCCATTTGTTAAATTTTTAACTCCTTTCTCATCAACTAATTCCAAATTAGATCTTTAAAAAGAAAAATCATAATTTTATTTAAATATCACAATAAATTAAAAATTGAAAAATAAATTACTTACTGAGGTGGAGTTGCACTCATTACTTTTTTTTCAGTAGCAATTTAACAATTTCTTTTTTTTTTTTTTGGTATTTAACAATTTTATAAAGTTTATTTTAAAAATAAATTATATTATTTTTTAATTTTTATTACTCCTTTAAAAATTTATAATATAAATATCATTTAACTAAGTCAATGGAACCGAGACAAAATGACGGTATTGATCAAACAAAAGAATAACCTTGAAAACTGGAAAATAAATAAATATAAATTACATTTTTTTTTTTGTCATTATGTTTATTTTAACATTATTACAATGATTTTCGAGAATGTTTCGCAATATACAGAAAGGTATATTTATGCACTATAATAATAATAATAATAATAATACTAGAAATAATATAAGTTTAAATTAATTTTGTTTGTTTTTTTTTTTTGTGTTTTAAATATATATTAAATTGTTGGCATTCTATTGGAATAAAAATTAAGTGTTAACTCACTTTATGCCAATAAAACATTGAACAATTAAATAAAATTAAAAATAAAATGTTTAAATTAATACATAATTCGTCAAAATAGCTTATAGATAATGTCTAAGTAACAGCATAATATTATACTGTTACTATCCAGTAAAATGGTCAAAAAGACATAATTAGAGTGAAAATTTTTTTATAAGCTTAATTTATAACCATAAAATATATTTTATAGAAATAAACAAATTTGCTAAATCTCACTCAATTATTCGGAAAAATATTGTAAAAAGAATGTTTCCTGTCCTTTTTTTTTCATGTTAATCAATCTTCTGACTCTCTCCAACAAACGTTTTATTTCAAACGTTTGTCCAATTATATACGGATATAATAATGTTGCTTGTTAAATATTTAAATCACGGAAAATATAATATTGTAAATTACTATTATTATCAATAAACTTTCTCTTACTGTCCCATGCGAAACAAAGAAGCGACGCAAAACAAAACGGCGACAGTCCTCTTTAAGGCCCCGCATTGTTTAACAATACCTTTTCATCATCATTTTTTTTTCTTTTTTACCATAGAATTTATAGAATAGATTCTGTTACATTTTTATTAAAATTTTTTACACTCTAAATATTCAGCGATTTACTAACTGATTATTATAGAGATGAATGGACAAATAATTAATTTAATTTATACCGAATAAGATGATAAATATAATGGTAATAAAATCCATTCATCTTTAATACAATAATTGCACGATCACTCTTTTTTTTTGTTGAGTATTTAGCATTTACATAATATATAGATGAAAGAGTTTTTTAAAACTTTTAAACTTACAGTAAGTTAAAAAAAAAAAAAAATTAAAGAATAATCGTGCAATTATTTTCTAGGGTTTGTACATTAAAATTGTTTGACAACTTGATTAATTAAATATTAAACTACACGCTTACAATTTTATAGAATAAATGACGCTTTTTTTGGCGAAGGATAATAATAATTTTCTTTTTTTTTCTAAGGTACATTTTGATTTAGATTAATTTTTAAATCAATCTTTTCAATTTCAAAAATTACCAGTTTTTTTTTATATATATAAATAAAAAAAGCGAAATTATAGATATGGCTGGAATATTACTGAGATCTATGGAACGTGGAATATATACAATTAAATGTCCCATATATACTTATATAAGTATAAGAGAGAAATAACAAAAAAAAAAATTAAGAGTTTGCATTTTTAATTGAAAAACTTATAACCATAAATCTTAATAATTAAATTTTTTCAATTTTAAAACTTAATGCGCATTAATAATGAATTTTCGTACTCATAATCTTTGTAACAATTTTTATAATATTCCCTTCGTCTCCCAAATAATAATTGCACGATTAAACTCTGAATTTTTGATTAAGAATGTGGATAATTAAAAATGATTCAACATTCTTCATTGCGATACAGAAAAAAATATTTAAAGAGCAATCGTGCAATTATTTTTTCTACATTTTGTACATCTAAATCGTTCGACAACTTTGATTAATTAAATATTAAACTACACGCTTTTCATTTTAAAGAATGATTGACGCACCTGGCGGAAAATATATATTTTTTTTTTTTTTTTGTTCTAAAAAGGTACATTTTGATTTCTCTCTATCTCCGAGTTTGTTTAAATTTTTCTTCCTTCATTTGAGAAATAAAAAACGAAGATACGTTTTTCGTTGCACAGCATTTTTTTTTTAGGCTCAATGGAAGCAATTTTAAATAAAAAAAATACAAAAAACAAAAAAAATGGCCTTTTTTTCTCTCGTCAAGTATTAACTTCAAAAACGAGAGGTTTGTCTTATTTTATAATAAAAAAAAATCTCTGTTAAAGACATAATTTTTTCTACTCAATTTTATACAATTAATGATATATAATGGACTGTATGAATGAATATTAGATTCCAAGAGATGGAATTTCACATAATTCTTTCAGGCGTTTTTTGATGCAAAAATATTTTGTATTTTGATTTTAAGAATATACGAACTATTATTATTATTATTTATACATATATATATATATATATATATATATAAGATTGTTTATTTTACACTTAAATAGCAGTTTTTAAGATGTTCTTTGAGCAGAAGTAAAAACGGCTCATTTGGAAAGTGTGACTAGTTGATGAAAGAGATCACACGGAACAATATTCTTTTTTCTTTTTGTTTTTTCAGTAATCTCGAATTTTTAAGCCCGTTTATTAATCAGGGGACATAACGAAAATTTTCGTCAAGTTCAATATTCAGAAGAAGAAAAAAAATCAAATATTTAATTTTCCAAGAAAATCTTTTAGATTTGTTTTTCTCTTATATAATTTCATGAGAAGGAGGAGAAGGGTTAAACCCCCAAAGACACCCCCTGCGTACAACCCCTGATAACTATTATTATTATTATTTTTTTTTAAAGTTCAGGAAAATCTTCATCAAGACAATTTCCTTGATAATAATTAATTGGACAATTACTAACAAATTGATAACTAAATTCACAGCAGTATGAAAAAATCACAAATAATCTTTTACAATTCTTGTTTTATACTTAAAATATAAATATTTAAGTACGTAAATTTATAATACAAAATAAAAAAAAATATATCAACTACTTTTTTTTTTGCATTTGAGCCCTTTCATTTTATAATCTTTTTAAAAACTGTCGGTTTTTTATTTATTAAAAAAATTTACTTTTATTCTTTCCATTTAAAAAGATTTAAACTATGTTTTCCTTCACTTAACTTTTAATAAGTGTCGCATTAAAAAATCTTAAAAATAAAATTTAAACTATCGAATTTGCTAAAAAAAAAATATTAAAATTTGGGAACATAATTTTTAAAAAAATTTTCATTAATGAAAATTTGATTCACAACACTTTTGAGTGACACTTTAAATATTGAAATATTAGAGAAACTTAATTTGGATGTAATTTTCTTTCTTTGTTTAAAAAGAAAAATAAAAAATTAAAATGGCTCTAAAAGATGGACAACGTGAACAGCTAAATCTACGATAAATATGAAATATGCATAAAGTTACATCTAAACACGTTTTATATAATATGGAAGGATTTTAATCTAGGATCATTTTAAAATTCATATGAATTTTTTAAGATTTTTGCTTTTGAAAAACGATCCTAGTTCCTTTTGATGTTATACATGTTTTTTTTTTTTGCGGCCACACATTAACCACTGATCTATGTATAATGTGTTGGACAACATTCAAAGAGTAAACAAAAACTTGGCATTTTTATTCAGTCTTGGTTCAGTCTTACTGTGTAATAGATGCAATCGATATCTTTCATTTTGCTTTGATTTAAAAACAAAGAAAGAAAGCCAATGGTAACTTTTAAGTGTCACATGTATTTTATATATATCGTAATTGGCAAAACCAAAACCAGTTTTACACAAAAAATAAAATGATAGAATAAAATAATATATATATATATCTAATTATCTAAAAATTCAGATAATATATAAATATTGACAAGAATCAGAATGCAGGACACAAGTCTAGGATATTATGCAAGCGTCTCCTGGAAGACATGAGGCTATATATAACTAGAGTTAAATCTTTTCTCTACTAGAGCAGAAAAAAAATAATATCTTAAAAAGTAGAGATTAAACATTTAAAACTGTCATGCAAGCTGAACCCTTAGCAGTTAATAAAATCCGAAAAATTTTGATTCCATCACAAAGTCTAAGGGATCCTTCAAAATTGCCCAACATTATAATTATTATATTATTATCATCTTACGCAATTGTATTTTATTCCAAATTTAAGGAATAAACAGTTATTACTACAGTTTTTACTATCAATTATTATACATACTATATAATAACAAGCAATTTTCAATAAAATGTCATTTGAAATATGGCAAACCGTTTTCTTTTTTTTTTCACTAAACATATATTATGATATGCCCTGTTATTTTAAAATTACTGTAAATTAATAAAAACAATACTGTTGTGTATTTTTTTTTTTTTTTAGTTAACAGCACCAATTCTTGTCCAAGTGAACGAAAACTAAATCTTCTAGAGGTAAGTTAAGTACTTATTTATAATTAAAATAAAATCTTTCTCTTTTTTCTATACCAGAGACAAGTTCACACAAAATAATGTTATTTCAAATATTAATAATATTGCGAACAAAATTGTTTTGTACACTAATATTATTGATATTCAAAATTTTATTAATACTGTAAATCGAAGGTTTTCTTTTACCTTGAATGAAGAAAAAGAAAAATGCTGTTTTAAAACATTTTAAAATGTCTTGAATGCATTTTCTATAATTTATATTATATATGTAAAATATTGCATCGTTCATTTTAATGAACGTCAAACGTGAGCATTTTTTTTTTTTTTTTGTTTACAATTTATCATACTTATCTTTGTTTTGTCCTTTTTCTTTTTTTCTCCCTTTTCATTGTGTGCCATGGTATTAAATTATGAGAATACGATTATTGCCAAAATCAACAACGACAATTTTTCCACTAGGCGTCAATGTAATACCAGAGGGACGATCCATTTCATCAATTCCAGTTCCATGTGAACCATATTTACGTCTTAGTACTCCATCTTTTCCAAATACTTGAATCCGATGATTTCGTGAATCGGCTACAACCATATTGCCCTGATCATCAACAACAATTCCCTGTGGTCGGCAAAATTGTTTATTTCCACCTCCTTCACCGCCCAATATTTTTGCATTACTAAAATCAGCTTCAATTGTCACAACACGATGATTATTAAAATCAGTGACAACAACATCGCCCTCAGGTGTAAATGCAACACCACGTGGTGAATCTAATGTTTTCCATAATGACGATGTATTATCATTGCCAAATTTCCTCAAGAATACACCTTCAGAACTGAATAATTGTATTCTATGATTTCTTGTATCAGATACAACAATTTGACATTCAACATTAACAGCCACATCCCAAGGATAATTGAATTGTCCATCTTTTGTACCTTTCTCACCAAATGATCGTAAAAATACACCCTCCATTGTTAATATCTAGAAATAAATTTCAATAATACTTTCTAATTCAATTTTTTTTTAATTTAATCAATTCTAAAAATTTATTTTTACCTGAATTCGATGATTATCCTTGTCAGCGACAATAATACGCCTCCGTCCATCAACAGCAACACCAGCTGGTCGATCAAATTGTCCATGTCCCGAACCTTGAGAACCAAATCTTCTTACAAATGTTCCATCCTCGCGATATATTTGAATTCTGTTATTTGAACGATCAGCAACGACAATATGACCCTCCTTATCACACGCAATACCCCATGGTCTACACAAATTATCAGATGGATGACCATCGTTGCCAAAACTTCGCATATGTACTATACGTGTTGAGATATTATGTTGTTCAGTCCAGACAATTACTGGAAAATTATTTGCTGGAATTGGTCTTCCACATGGAATCGAAGCCAATGATCGTGATGACATAGAAGATGATGATGAAGAAGAAGAATTAGATGACGATCCACCACGTCCTTTTAATGCTCGACGATCTCCAATTGGTCCTGGATTATTTAAAGCAACTGAGCCTAAATTTGCAATTGCATCAAGAACAATACTGTCCGGTCCACTAAATGAAATCCAATTCTCCTCGGGTGGCGTAAACGATTTACGAGCTTGTCGAATCCGATAAATCTGTAATATAAACATTGTTTTCATATTCAATTATTTATTTTTCCCCCTATTAAAAATTCTATTCTTACCTCCGCAGAAGCCATATCTTTTATTATAGTCAATTCCGTTGGATTTGCTGTCAATTTTGATATGCTCATTCCTCTCTTTAGTTTATCAGCCGTTTCTGTTAGGAGAACCATACTATTTCTCAACGCTTCATCTCTTGTTTTCAACGATGCCAATTTAAGCATTCTTGCCTTTTCAATATCTAACAAAAGTTTCTTTTCCCTCTCCTCCAATGCGGAAATTATTCTTTTTATACAAATTGATACATCGTCCGTTGCTTGTTTTGATCTTACATCCAATGTACCAACAGCCAACTAAATTAAATAGATTAGTATTTTTATTTTTACAACACTTTTTTCAATTTAAAAAAAAAAAAGAAAAACTTACCGAAATTGCTTCAAGATCATCTGTAATTGTTTTTATTCCATGCATAGCTTCGCTTAAAACTTGATTTGCCTGCATCCCAGCGTGTTCCATAGCCTCAATAAGATAAACCGTAACATGACCATTGTGATTACGTAGATCACATTCTCCGCAAATGGATACACTGCATGTTTGACAGTAATAATTTGAACTGTCCGAATGACGTTCACAGTAATTAGTTAACGATGTTGATGATTGAGAAACTTGAAGAGGTGGACTTGGCGTGCCAGTTGATGTCGATTGTGACACGAGATAATCCGGCGAATGCGAAGGATTCATTGATTGCTGAAACTATTATTAAAAAAAAAAAAATTAATTTTATTTTCAAATTCAAAATAAAATTGTAAACTTACTCTCATTTTACTGCAACATACGTCGCACATCCCGTCTAAACATGTACATTCTCTAAATCCAAATCCTTTAAAACTGTCAATAGCCGGTAATTGAAAAGAATCATTAAGTGCAAATTGATCACCATTGACAACTTGCAAAACACCGCTAATTAAAGATGGAAATGAATTTATCGAATCAGGTGATTCAGAATGAAAAGGCGAACGACAATTTCTCATTGAATTTATACCCGAAGGAGCTGGATTTGTGTGTCCAGTGTATAAACTCAATCCATGAAGCCATGGAGCGTTTAATACCTAAAAAAAAACAATTTATTAAATATAAATTATTTATGTAGAAACGTATTAATAACTACAAGTAGTAAAAGATTCTTACCCCAAATTCAAATGCACCGCTGTGAGCCATTATTAAATAATTTTCAACTTTCACGAAGTTACACGACGTTTCTGTTGAACGTCAACTTCGTAAACTTCAATCTGAAAAAAAAATTACAAATTCAATTTCCGTGGTGAAAAAAAATGTTTTCATTTCAAATTATAAATAATAAAATTCCTGTTCCTTATAATATAAACTGGATTTGACATTCGTTTCATAAAAAAAAAAAAACTGGACTTGATGGAGAAGATATTAAAAAGTTGACATACACTAACAGGAAGAGCCACTTCCTCATACCTGACAAAAAAAAAAAAATTGTCGCCCGCAACAAGTTTAGAGAGCCGGATTTCTTTATAGAATAATGAATTAGAATTAGAAGAAGAAGATTCGAGAACTCGTCCGATCCACTTTCGAAAACAGGGTGAACACACCAGGCCATTTGAGGGCGAAATAAACGAAGAACCTTCACAGGTCCTGAGATTCAGAAATGGGGTTCTGTTCATGGGACCCCTATAAATCAATAACCACGGGAAATTTTAACAGTCCCCCTGTCACTTTCTCTTTTTCTCACTCAAAAATGAGACTTAAACTCTTTTTTTAAAAACAAGTCCATTCAAAAAAAAAAAAAAAAAAAAAAGTATAATTACTTATTAAAAAAAAATATATTTATTACAAAAAATGTTTCATCAACAATTCAAAAAGTTTTTATTTTTTTTAAATCATAACATTTGATAAATAAAAATAAATTTTTACCATTTCATTTTCGAAAAAGAAAAAAAAAATCAATTATTTAATGGAATTTAATTTTTATTTAAATATTCATGTATATGGAAAAAAATATATTGCTCCGAAGAGGAAAGAAAAAAAAAATGTTGCTACCTATTCTATTCAATTTTAAGTTTTGAGGGGCTGCGATTGTTGTAAGATGGATTTTCCGGAGGTAAGCATTAGGACTCTTGTGGAACATTTGTCGAACAGATAAATACGGAAGAGACATCGGCTTCTCTCTCTCTCACTCTCTTTTTGAAAGACCGTGTATTTCCAAGAAACGTACCTAACCACGTGATACGGGTCCACCACTTTTGAAGGCATTTTAAGGGCCCGACCACCGGCTACTATACCGAAAATAACACACAGGTTCATGTTTTCGAGCCTTTCAAAATCCCACTCTCTTAAGAATTTTCTTTTACCGGATACACACTAAGGCAATACAAAATAAACATCCCTTCAAAACTATAACGTGCAAAATCCTTTAGATTTTTAATTTTTCAATTTTATTTTCACTTAATTATTTGCCAAATTTTTATTTTTATATAAAAAATATATTTTACCGAAAAAAAAGAATAAAAAAATATATTATCCACAAGAAAAATTTATTTCCGTATACAAAATTAGAATAAAAATTTTAAAATATGCATAAATTAATATTATTCTTATGGCGAATAAAAAAAATGTCAACTTTGCCCTTTTGTGAACCGGGGAAAAAAGAAAAATTCAGAATGATAAAATTGTCGGGAAGGACGCTAATTAAATTTCTCACGGGAGATTGCTGCGCACGAGATCATCTTCCTTCGTATATCGTTTGATCAAAATAACTTTGCCAATCAAAAAAAAATTTTAATGGAAAGTTTTAAGAGTACATTTCATTTTTTTCTTTTCCAAATTTTTCGTAAAATGTGGACTTTCTTCTAGACAATAAAAGCAGTTTCCTTGAAACGAACACAGGTATCAGGTTTCTGGTAATTCCTCATGCTTAACCGATGGGTCCATTGGACGTACAAATATAAAGAGCCTTTTGAAGAAAAAAAAAAAGGAAAATATTCTCTCTTCAGAATTTTCAAGGCTTATGATTTAAACTTATATTGTAGCTCCAATAGAATATCCATCAGAATGTAAAAATTTAAAATAATTTAATCTCACGGGACTCTTTATGGCCCTGCAATTTCTTTTTTTTTTTTTTTTTTTTTTTTTTTATCAATTATGAATGGCTTTATTAAATTTATATGCAAATGAAGATTACCTTTTGTTTGGATATTATTTACGTTTGATAATAAAAAAATTGTAAAATAATTTTTTTTTGTAAATTATAAACAAATTTAAAATAAAATAAATTTGAGAATTTCCAAATGATATATGTATTTAAATAGAACTAGAAAAATATGGGAGGATTCTTATCAGCATCTACATATATAAGAGATAAGATCCCAATTCTTAAACACGAGGAAGAGACTAAAAGCCCAATTTTTGAAATTAAATTATATTAAGAGCAAAATCTATAAAAAAAAAATATTAAAAATTAAAAGCTTAAATATCAAATTAATATTATAGTTTTGGAAAATAAATTAAAATTATATATGTACTGATAAATTTATACATAGAATAATTATGAACTTGAACTTGGCGTGGAAAACGATTAAGACTTTATAATTTTGTTTTCATTCTCCAAGGTTGGGTGCGCAAAGCGTTCCACGACGGTCGGTGATTTCACTTTCGTTTGAAGTTTCAACTATAGAATATTATCATTTTCCAATTCAAAGATGACCTGAACTTTAAGATATCTAACAATTCATTTGCATCGAATATTTAATGACAAATAATAAAAAAATTAATTATTATTATATTTTATATTAGAAAAAACAAATTAATCTAAATAACAATTTGTTTACATATTAAAGGATTTAAAATCATTTGTAAAATAAAATAATAAAATATATATTCAAATATCTACTTTTATAATATTCACTAAATAATTTTTTACTTGTTTTAAAAATTTAAAGATAATTATAATCAGACAATAAATAGATATATTTACTTCAAAATTAAATGTAAAGAATAAATATTGTAATATTATAAAAATAATATCCTATATTCTATAAATAGAAACGAAAAATGAAAGTGAAATTTTCTAGGGAATATCACAATATCGATTGTTCCTTCAGAGATAGAGAAGAAAAACCGAACCATTCATTTTACCAACTTGGGAGACTGCGCCTGAATTAAAAAAAAAACCGTCTGTAAAAGTTGATCGACATCTTTCAACTCTCAACAATATAAATATTTCACCTAAAACAATTATACAAGTTAACAACTTTTTTCTTTACCTATACATTAAATTTTGGTCTGTGTATGTATTTTAAATAAACAAAAAAAAACTAAAATATATAACGATAAACAAACAATAATGATTAAGTAGACATTTAGTCACAATCAGTTGTTATAAATTAGAGTACTCTATTACAGTTAATAAATTGTAAGTATATTAATATAAATTAAAAATAACATTTATACATACCAACTTAGATGCAATTCATAACACGCCGGCCGGTGATCCGCGTGAGCGTGTGTAATTATACTTTCGGAGTTGATGAGATTTTTTTTTTAATAAATCAAAACATTTGGTATCCAATCGAAAATATTTTTACTTAGAAGCAGATATAAATTAATTGAATCACTTGATAAACATATATGTATATGTTTGTATATATATACTTGTCGAAGGGCTTGAAAATACTTCTCAGGACACGTAGTTACAGAAATAAAGATATATTATTGGTAAATTATATGTAAATCAGATTAGTATCAATTATCACTGAAACTCCAAAAAATGCACACGTTGCGAAATTATTTGAAATATAAAATTTGTTTTCTTTTTTTTTTTCTCTTTTAAAGGTTAGATAAACCTTTCAACTTGATGGTCTGCACTGAAACTGACTGGACTACTGGCAAAGGCAGCGTAGTCAGTAGTGACGCACCTCCCTCCATCGCCAACGTTCGAAATTCATCCACCAATGATATTGCTTCTTTTACCCCTGCCATTTTGAATTACACCCCCGCAAATTTCTATAGCAGCACCCTTTGCTACATATTTATAACTTTCTTCTTATACCGGCGGCAACCCGGCCGGCAAAATTTTTGTCAGTGCAATATATATACAATATATATATATGCAAAAAGAAACAATTATTTTAATTATTTTTTCTCAAAAAAAAAAAAAAGAAAATTCTATGAATAATATTTCTCTTCTTCAAATTCAATTCAAGACAAAGTATCTATTTTGTTGTCGTATATAACGTGTATATTGACTTTGACCCTGCTGACGTCACCGTGACGCCAGTAGTGTATCAAGAGGGAAAATAATCTCCCACGCAAAAAAGCAAAAAAACTAAAACATTTCAAATACGTAAGATTATTCTCTTATGCCCCCCCCCCCCCCCCGCTATAAATTCTGACAAATTGTTTTAGGTCCTTTTTACGTTTTAGTGTATAGTACAAGTTTTTCTTTAAATATATTTATTATTTATTTTCCAAGCATGTTATAATAATTTATAAAAAAATTTATTTGTAATTTACAGATATATATGCGAATATGGTATGTATATATATATATTGGGCGTTGTTCCTATAAGTTTATTTCACCCTCTGATTTTTTTTCTGACTTTTATATAATGACTTGAGAAATAACATATCCCCTTTTCTTATAATTGGAAAACAACTTTTAAGGTAAAAAATATAAAATCTATTTGTTTTTCAAAGGGTAATCAAATTGTGAAAAAAAAAACAGTAACATGTAAGTAATTGCAATAGATAACAAAAAAGGGTTATTTTGACATAACCTAAAAATGAATTTAACTATATGACAGTTATTTTTAATTGATTGAGAAATATTACTAATGTCTAGGAATTTTCAGTACGCTTTTAGCATCGAGGATAATTTATATGTGTTTTATCGAGACAGACCAACATTGACGTTCCTGAGTGGATGCTGTGAGTCGAATCTTTCTCTGCCTCTTTTTTTTCTCTCTCTCTCTCTCTCTGACGCTCAACTCTCAACCCCAATACACATATTATATTGAACCCAAGCCAACGCCATAGAGGAGATTGGACGCTTGCGCGAAAATCTATGAATGAAGTAGTCCCGGTCAAATGGTACCTCGACCCAACGACCTTCAGCATCACGGTATGTACATATATGTATATATATATATATATATCTACTCCAGGGCAACCAAGTTCATCTATTTCATATTATTAATCGCAGAGATTATTAATAACCAAAATTATTTTAATTTCGTTTCGCATATTTCTAAATCGTAAATTAGTATTTTAATTTTTCTCAACTGTATTTGCAGGTAATTAAAATCAATATTTAGGTTCAAAATTAATAAATTCGAATTGTTTCTATATTTATACCGATGAAAGAGAACGACTTTGTTTTTTCAATAAAACTGTATGGCTTAAATAAATATTATTAATTATTAATAGTTCACACATGAACCGCCTACACGTTTATTGTATTATATGTAATAATATATAATTTTTTTTTGTAGGGAAAATTTTTTAAATTGACAAATATGTACATTGTCTTATATACAACATTAAAATTTCATCCCTTGTTGATGTTGACAAGAGAGAAGGTGGGATGGAGAGAGAGAGAGGTGGGACGAGACTTTCTCTCCTATCTCTCTTTCACCTTCCGACGTCATACCTTTCTTCCTCGGATCCGCGTGGGAGATTTCAAGGTCAACTCAAGAGCGAATAACGCATGTACATAGTACGACGCCTCCGTCGCGACGCCACGTTTTACCACATTTATATGTATATATATGAACAATAGGTATGTATATATAATAATATATAATACACATAATCTATAAAAGCTAATAACAAATTATATGATAATTATTTCTCAATACGACAGAATTAGTTTTGCTATTGTATAAAATTTAATTAGCATAAACTCATTTTGGGGGAAATTTAAAAAAATTTTATAATCTTTAAAAAGTTTTTTCTTTATTGTCAATTGGTCCTTACATACGACGAATATATAGATCAATGATAAAAAATAAACATTACATGATACTATCGTCAATCGGTGTATATAATTGTGTATAGATAGTAAAATCAAAAAAGAATATATATATATATTTATAAATGAGTAATAAATTCAGCCCATTTTTCATATAAAATATATAAATTTTAAACTATTTCCAATAAATGATTGGAAAATATTTAAATATAAGCTATATACAAATTATATTTTGAGACTTGGACTTTTATAAATTGATAAAAATATGTAAATTTTTCTTTTATACAATTTTTTTTTCACACTTCATTATATTTTAGTAAATTCTTTTTGTCATTACTCTTATTTTTTTTTTTTTTTGCGACTTATTTCCAACATAAATTTTAGTTCCAAAAATTGGATACACAAAACACTAAGTGCATATACTTTTAGTACATTATGATTAAAATTATTGGACAAACTTGATAATAATGCATCTAGGCTTCATTGATTTTTTTACACAATATAATTATTTCTGCTTTGTTTTTATTTATTTTTTTTTTTTTAAAAAGTGCCTATGATTTTGTTTAAATTTGCGTAAATTGAAGCCAGATAACTGTTGCACAATTTTAAGGCTGAAAACGGAATATATTTTTTCACTTTTAGAAAGAAATATTGCTATTACAAATGGATATTGTCAATATAAAGCTTACAAAATTTTTTTTTTTTTGCTGTTTGTTTCAACAGCAATTAAATTGCTGTCACAGCAAAATAAAAATGTTAACAATAATCCACTTTTTGCTTGTCACATTATGCAATTTAATAAAATCTGTGCAAATAAACAAGATTTTTGCCCTCAAATTTTAATCAAAAAAATTTCATAATTTTTCACAATATATATTTATATATAGTTGACTAGTCCAAAAAATTTTTACATTGCAATATTTTTAAACAAATATTATTATTATTTTTTTTTTTTTTGATATTAAAAAAATGTTTTAATAACCCTTTTTAATTTATAAATTTAACTTTATATATCAATATATTTGTTGGAAAACAAAAATAAAAGTAATGAATATCATTTAATATAATTTTTTTTTTATATATAGTCAAAAATAGTTATATCTTTCTGATTATTTTGAAACAGAGTGTCCAAGGCCCTTAAAAAAAATTTTTTTTTTTTTGTTTATAAAATCCTGACTTTTCCAGGAATGATTATCCATAATTGTTAAAAACCCTGATCTTAAAATTAAATAGAATATATATATATACAAAAATTATAAAAAAATATATGATTGAAAATTTTTTCTCATACGTGACTAGAGAAAAAATATAAAATTAATTTTTCTCATATATTTATCTTGGATAATCTTTTTTTCTTGATATGGCACTTAGAAAAATGATTTATAAAAATATAAATATCAATTAAAAAATAAAGCAAAAATTATTTCACGTTAAAAACGTGTTTTTATATAGGCACGTAAATATATATGTGAACTTTGGTTATTTAGAGAAACCAAAATTTTTTTGGTTAATATTAACGAATGACAACTCGATTATTACCAAAGTCTACAAAGACAATTCTACCATCTGTCATAAGTGCAATACCAGATGGACGATCAACTTCATCGATTCCTTCACCTTGTTTTCCAAATTCATTCAAGAATGCTCCAAATTTATTAAATACCATTATTCTATAGCCTCTTGAATCCGATACAAGAATATTGCCATCATCATCGACAATTACACCTTGTGGCCTATGAAAATTATTTGCTGGTCTCATTCCACCTTCACAATTTAATACTTTTGCATTAACAAATCTATAATCAACACAAAGAATTCGATGTGCATTGAAATCAGTTAAAATAACATTTCCCTCAGGTGTAAATGTCACTCCTCTTGGTGAATCAAGAAGTTTAAATGCACCAAAAGTGCTGTCCATACCAAATTTTCTCAAAAATATACCCTCAGGACTGAATAATTGAATTCGATGATTTCTCGTGTCAGAAACAACAATTTCACATGCTGTATTTGCAGCCACATCCCATGGATAATTAAAATGTCCCGAATCAGATCCTTTTTTACCAAATTCCAATAAAAAGTTTCCCATTAATGTTAAAATTTGTATACGATGATTATCCTTGTCCGCAACAATAATTCGTCGTCGCTCGTCAATAGTAATACCCGCTGGCCGATTAAATTGTTCTTGACCTGAGCCATATGATCCAATTTTTCTTATTATTGATCCATTTTCACGAAATACTAAAATTCGATTATTCGATCTATCAGCGACAAATATATTATTATCCTTATCGCACGCAACGCCCCATGGTCGACAAAGATTATCAGGATGTTCTGGTTCAAGTGTATTTTTGCCAATTATTTTTATTGGTGGTGGATAAAATATTGAACAATTTGGTTTTTCACTCCAAACAATAACACGATATAAACTTGATGCAATTGGCCTTCCTTGAGGACATTGTGGTAATGCTTTTGGTAAATGTTCCCGCCATGTATTATGTGATCGTCCACGTATCATTCGTCTATCGCCAATTGGTCCTGGATTATTTAATTTCATTGATCCAAATGATGAGAGAGCGTCCAATAATGGTTTTTCTGATGATGAATAACCCATCCAACTTTCTTCTGTTTCCATTATTGATTTACGTGTTTCTTCAACTTCAAATGTCACTCCAATTGCTTTACCATTGGCAACACGCAAATGAAATGGATTATTTGTTGTATTTGTTGATGTCAATGCCAATTGTTGAACGCTAAATAAATTGATTAATTTTTTTTGACAATTTTTTAAACTTTTAATTTTTTCCTTTAATATATCTTTGCGAAATATTCTTGCATTTTCAATTTCTTGAAATAATTTTCTCCTTCCATCATCAACAGTAACGTTTAATAATAACCAACATTTTTCTAATTCTTGCGTTGTTTGTTTAGCTCTATCATTTAATGCAGAATATTCCATCTGTAATAAAATTGAAAAATTAAAAATTAGTTTAAAAAGAGAATATGAATTTTTATTTTAAATAATTAATTTTTTTTTCAACTTACAGTTATTGTTCCAAGATCACGATCAATTTCTTGCAAAGTAGTCGCAATTTCTCTGAAGACTTTCATCGATTCATGTCTGGCAATTTCAAGGCTCTCTTTAATTGTGACTGTTACATGTGTCTTGTGATATGGAGCACGGCATTTTTTACACATTGGCACATTGCATGTTTGACAATAATTGGCAAAAGTGATATTATGAATTTCACAAATACTTCGTAAATTTAATGCAGCCATTGATAATGCCAATTGTGAACAATAATAATGTGATGTTGCATCTGGTGAAAATGATGATGGTTCTGCTTGAGAGGATGATGAATTTGATGTTATATCTGGAGATGAGGCTATTGATGATGCTGATGATGATGATGATGACGAAGGAGCAACATTAGAAGATGAAGATGATTCAGTTTGATCTTGGGAATATGCTCCTCTTATTTTTAATGGAGCCTATTGAAAAACAAAATATGGTATGTAATTTACGTTTTGTTTTTAATTATTAATTTTTTTTTAATAAATTTATTGATTTTGACAAAAATATAAGATTAGATTTTGCATTTTGAAAATTAACATACTCTCAGCTGTGCTGCATAACTGAACTCATCGTTTGTTTGTGGTAAATTAAGAAATAAACTCGATGAACTTGAATTAGAATCAAATGAATGATCTTCATTATTTTCCATATGTTTCAATGAGATTTTCCTCAGTTCGTCTGCAATTCCTATTTGATTATTAGTTCTTCTTGACCAATGTGAAGTTTCCATCTGACAAACAATAATATTGTGAAATTTTAATAATTACAAAAAAAAATTATAAAAATTACGAGTGTTTAAAAAATAATTAATCTCTAATAGTATTAGATTCTTACCCCAAAGGGACCCAATTGCAGAGAGGGAGGAGGGCTCGTTAGTCGATTGAAACTATTTGCCATTATTGTAAACTTGCTGTGTGTATTCAAAAAAAAAAAAGCTTAAGCCAACTTTGTTGCTAATTCAATTTCATTTATTTATTCTGAAACACAAATTATAATTTTTTTTATTTAAATAATATGTAAATTATTCTATATTTAAAAATAGAAAATAATAAATAACTATTGTTTAAAAAGTTTGTAAATAAATAAAATATTAATTTAATTAATTAAAATTTAAAAAAAAATATTGAAAAACATTGTCGCAAAATTGGCAAGCTTATTTTATATATTTATTCGAAAATCATTGATAATTAATATTAAATTTATATATTATTCTTATTTTGACCTTCAAATTATTTCAATGTAAATTTATTCCATGTGATTAAAATACATAACGCTATTTGTAAATAAAGCAATGACATTTTCAGAACTCATTGGATAAAAATTACGTGATTTTGCAAAATTTTCATCATTTGAAAAATTGTTAATTGAGAATTAGAAACATTTGTTCAACAGATATATAATTAAATAGATAGATAGATAGAGCGAACAGGAAAAAGAAACAATATTATTCGGAAGTCTATAAGTTTCAAGGAAAATAGACTTTTTCAAAGAATTCAGCCCCTTAAATCTGTAAAACCTTATTATGACGAGAGCTCAATAAGTCTTGGGTCCATTTTTAAGGAAGTAGGTATAAATCTATAAATTAAGGTCCTAATACATAAATCTTTGGCAACACTGCAAAATTTTTCCTTCAGGTCATTTTACAATTGTGGTAGTAGTAGTATATATGTATGTGATTTTCAAAAAAAAGTATAAATTTTATAATCATCTTTGAGGACGCACGAATATTTTCTAGTTTCGATTTTATAAATATTGATTCTTTTTTTGAATTTCAATCTTTCTTTAGACAAACGTTTAAATAATATTTACGTATTTATAATTTATTCAAAATAAATTCTTAATTAATTATCTAATTAATAAACAAAATAATTAATTACCTAATTATTACATTATTCAATTATTTATTTATTATTATTTTTATTATTATATTATTATTAAAAATTACTAAATTAAAATTAATTAATCAATTAAAATAATAATCACTCGTTAACGATATTTTATTATTTTAAAACTTAAAAATGAAGAAATTAATTTTATCTTTATTTGAATATTTTATTATTAAATTAATAAATTTGGAATTAAAAATAAAATTAAAATAAGTTACCAATTGTAAATATTGACAAAGTGTCCTTTCATGATTTTTCGTTTATTATTATCAACTATATTAACGAGAATCAAAATTTCTTAACTGTAAGATGTCTAAAATAATATTACTAAATATTTCTATAATTATAATAGTTTGATTATTAATATTATAGTTTATAACAATTTTTTTTTTTATTATATAAGCAACGAAATTATTTTTTTTATATCAATTGGTAAAATTTGGATAAAATAAACATATAAAAATATTTGCTTATTAAATTAATAAATTATAAAATAATAAAATATAAATAAAATGTGATGACATTTGTACATATTTACAGGTGATATTTTAAAATAATGAAATTATATAAAAATAATTAATTGGCATTATATGGAAATTTTTTTTTTTTTTTTCTAAATTCGACTTTTTAAAAAAATAAAATGTAAAAAGAAAAAATAATTTACCTTAAGTGGACGTTATTTTGAACGCTGAGCGCTGGCGGGTAAATTTAACAGTTAAAAAAAAAAAATAATAAAATTACCACAGTTACAATAAAAATGTTAGCTTTGGCTAACTAAAATTTTGTTATGGACAATTCAGAATTGTAGTAGACATGTGCACTCTTTGAGATCAGGGTCTCTACTGATGGCAATTGTTTCAAGTAATATTTAGGTATCCTCAGGTAATGAAGTGGGACTTTTCAACGAAAATTTAGTTTCTTACCACTATATAGAAGGTGAACAGAATATCATAATAGCCTCTATTCCCGCTTCTATACCTACCTTTAAATACACCTATTTAGAATATAATACAGGAATTTATCAATATTATACTAAATTTCTTCTTATAGTCAATTTATAGTCTAAAAATTATTTTTTTTCATCAAAATATAACAAATTACAATTTTTTATATCAGAAAAAATTAATTTTTTTGGTAAAGAAATTTTAGAATTTCTTATATGTAAATAATAATAATAATAATAATAATAATAATAATAATAATAATAATAATAATAAAATAATTTATTTTAGAAATTATAAAAATCAGATCAGGAATGAAAAAAAAAATTCTTACTTTTTTTATATGAAAGTTAAAAATAAAATTTTAATAAAATAATAATAATTAATGCACTATAGGAATAAAATGGGATTAAAAAAAAAAAAAAGTAATATAATTTAATTGCTAATCATTTGGTCGCACGAAACATAATTTTCTCTACTTAAAATTCGTATATGTATATCATATGTGGTAATATATGATATACATATATATGTGTTTTCAGTAGAAAAATCAGAGTCAAATCGGACAACATAGTGTATGGACTAAGCGTTGACGTTACTACTGCGCGTATATTTATTATACATTATGTTCTGTTATTATAAAAATAAGAATTAAAAAAATAGAATATTTATTGAGAAAACAACTAAATATCAGATCTACTTTTGAGATGAAATTTTTTTTTTTTTTTTTGTTTTCTTTGATAAAACAAAGGGTGATGAGAAATTTTGTGCCCCATATAGATACGCTTGCGTCAGAATTTATGAATGAAAGCAATGGATTTTGAATTCAATGCCGTAGCTTAAGGTGGTGTTTTCGGTGCCTACGCACAAAGACTCATGAGAAAGCTCATAAATATTACAAATACATTATATGTATACATGCAAAAAATTGTTTAATAATTTATATATGTAAACATTCTTACAATGTATTTAAAACTGTCATTTATAAATTATATTAGTTAAATAACACTTGAATCAAGATAAAGTTTTTCTCTTTTGTGAAAAATTGAAATATATACGTACTATATATATACATATACATATTTAAAGGATTATGGCCTATATATAAAATAAAGTGGACAGTTTGAAATATTTATATTATATATATATATATATACTTTTACTGGGCAAATCTTATAATCCTAATCCTAAGTAGTATAGTAATTTGATATAGTGTATTAGTAAAAATATATTATTTGGGATCGTCAGGTAATTAGAAATTCTCTGCTGGAGATTTTTGTTGAGAGAAAGAATAACAAGTTTGCTGTAGGTGACGCCATACCATTGACGCGAAATATTGTACAAGGTGTCTCATAAAACTGAAAAATTTATTTTTCCATTTTTTATAAAAATAGATTTTTAATCAATTTTTTTTTTTGTTTTTCATTATAAAAATTATTCTCTATAATTAAATTTTTTTAAAAATAGTTTAAAACATTCGATAAAATATTTTTATTAAATTTTTTTCTATAATTGCAATGAAAATTTAATATTGTTTATAAAGTAATTGATTCTAAATTTAATAATCATTAATATAAAATAACAACCGCACGAAGGAAATTATATATATATATATATATATATATTGTATAGAATAAAAATTGCCTTGTGTGTTGAGATTCGGTTAAGATATGTCTCCCCCTTTTCTTTGCTTCTTAAAAGTTAGTCCTGGTATAGATTCTGCGTCCTTTTACTTTCACGTATTCCGAAAATCATCGAATTTCAAATATAAGAGGCACTAGTCCATCTGTCCATAAAATCGATATACCCTATAGCAATTCTATTGACATGATGCTAAAGATATAATATATTTTTTAAAAAAAAGAACATAATTTTTTTTATCCCTCATATAAAAATCACTAAAAATAGTATAAAAATATTTAATAATTATTATTGTTTCATTTATATTAAATTATTATTAATTATTAATAATATATATTAAATAATATTAATAATATATAGTAAATAATATAAATAATAATAATTAAGAATAAAATAAATAATAATATAATAGCTAATGATATAATTATTATAATATTATCCTAGTTTTTCTTTTTAAATACAAAGTTGAAAATATTCTACGTTCCGTTGTATAATTCTGAAAAAACTAAATGTCAATAAATAATTTGTTACAAAGTTATAGATTTTTATACATTTTAGTATAAAAACTTTGAATATTTGACTATAGTAGTTTATTGTTGTCAGGTAGATGTAAAGAGAAAAAAAATTTTCCATGAAAACCATCAAAAGCGATTTCATTGTTCGCTCTTCCTTTAATGTTCTTTATATAGTCGAAAGGGATTTACAAGCTGAACGGTTATTTCTCTCGACTGCTTTGCATTTTTAGTTTTTAACAACCTATATATATATATATCTTCATCTGCTCCCACCTGGACAGACCCAACGCTCATTCAATACAGAAACAGGTAGTACAATGATGTACCTCTTTTTATTTTATATAATTTCACAAATATTAAAAATAACGTTTAATATAATAATAAAAATAGTGTCACATTAAATAAATATGCCTTTTTTTAAATTAAAAAAAAATTATTTATTTCAATGTAACAAGTAATTAATAAAAGTGTAATTTTAATGTTAAATTAAAAACAATTATTTTGTTTAAACAATTTTTTTTTACTGTGAGGAGAAACAAAAAATATTGAATGCATTTTTAGTAAAATATTGTCGATTTCCAGTTTAAAAATTAAATAAGATAGACTATTTCAAACAGGTGTGTTTTTCCCGCGTAAGTAACGTTATGAATCTAACATTATTAGCGCGGGAAAAATATGAAATAGAATTTTTTTTTTTCCTTAAGAAATAAGACTTATTCTTTATAATTGTCAGATTTTATTTTTAAATTCTTAAATATACCACATTTATAAAAGTAAAAAATACTTATCTCGTATTGACGATTTACAGTTATATCTTAAGAAATAGACAAATTTAATTTGTTTCATGTAAATTATTTGAAAAGGGTAAATGCACTTAGGTGTCTAAAATTAAATCTTAATTCTATTCGCTATATTAATTATGAAATATTCGTCAAATAGACTTGAAAATAATTTCTTATTTAAGAATATAAAAAAAAGAAAAATATATCTATTTCATAATAAATGTCATAAAAAAACTAGTCCTTGTTTTTTAACAAACGAATTGTATCCTTACCGATGCGTTTTATGAAATCTTCATCTTGTAGATTTTTTAATGATTCCTCATACATTTCTCGTGTCACAAGCTAAAAAAAAAAAGATGATATTGAGAAAAAGAATTAATTTAAATTTACTTTCTCTAATTTTATTTTTGTGTTTTAATACAAAATAATCATTTTCCTTTTTTTAAAGTTCTAATATAGAAAAATCTATTTTGTTCAAATTCGAGATGAATCAAATTTTTTTTTAAGAATATATCTGTCACGTGTACTTACAGTATCAGATGATTCTTTAACTTCAATAAAAAGTTTCTGATAAGACAATGTGGGAACTTTTCCTTTTTCTGAAATAATCTTTTTCAATGCTGTAGTAAGTAAAAGTTGTCGTTTTCTTGCACCTTCAGAAACTCCTGTTGTCAAAATATTGACGTCAATTCTTCCAGTAATAGGATCTGTAGCCGATTGTTTAAGTGCCTCTCGATGTAAACTGTAAATTTTATTTTCATTTTTTTTGTTAAAGTTTAATAATTTTTTATGAATTAAATGTTAAAAATATTTACCGCCATGCTTCTTCGACATCTTCAATTTCAACTAAATTGCTAAAACGAACTTTTGCATGTGCTTCAGAAAGTCTAATTAATGATTCTAATTGTCGAGGATAAGCAGTTATTTGTCCACGACCACTTCCAACTCTTCTCATATCAACATATGCTTGTACCAATCTTTGTTGAGCTTCCTCGCTTAGAGTTGGTTTAATGTGTTCCTTAGAATAAGCAATATAATCACGCAATACACTCATATCAATTAAATCGTCTTCTTCTTCAAGATCCTCTTTGTAATACAATGATACCATATGCTTGCCAAGTTTTTTATCGAATTTATCATCTTGTGGATCCAACATTAAAAATATCAAATCGAATCGAGATAATAATGTATGAGGAAGCAAAACATTCTCAACAACCTATAAAAACGAAAATAATAATAATAAAATAAATTAAGAAATAAAACAGAAAATAATTACCGTTTTTCTCGAATTCCATTGAGATTCGCAAGGATTTGCAGCAGCAAGAATACTTGTTCTTGCATTTAATTGACAAATAATTCCCGCCTTTGCAATACTTAAAGTTTGTTGTTCCATAACTTCATGTAAAACTGAACGTGTACTTTCATTCATCTTATCGAATTCATCAATACAACAAATTCCATTGTCAGCTAAAACCAATGCACCCGTTTGCAAAACTAATTGACGAGTTTCTGGATCTTTAGTTACATATGCCGTTAAACCAACAGCACTAGATCCTATTTAAAAAAAAAGGATTATTTTACCAAAAATTAATTTTACCCCTAAAAAATATATATTTTTTACCTTTTCCACTACTGTATTGAGAACGAGGAACTAAATTAAAAGCAAATTGTAAAAGTTGAGATTTACTGGTTCCAGGATCACCACAAAGTAAAATATTAATTTCCGAACGAAAATGACTTCTTCCTGATACAATATGAGTTTTTTTAGTACCACCAAATAATTGTAAAAGAATTCCTTTTTTAATATCATCATTCTCATAAATACTTGGAGCAATATTTCTCGCGAGTCTATCATAAACATCTTCTTTTGTCGAAAGATGCTTGAGTAATTCAATTCTCTCCGGTGGAAAAGCATGCTCTTTTCCTTCTTCTTGATCATACAACCTTTAAAAAAAAAAAAAAAATTCATTTATCAATCTTTATTTTAAACAGAAATATAAATAAATTTACCTTTTTGAATCCTGTTTTCTAAAGTGAACAACATCGAGATGAGTTTTAAGAACAGAGCGAACATTTGATTGTCTTGGCATAACTTGCATTGGAACACCACGATAAATTCCAGTAATTGCAACACGATCTCCTGGTGATACTCTATCCACCAAATCATTATGAGCAAAAAGTGTAACAGTATGTGGTGTTTGACCAGCTGGCATATCATCAGGTGATTCTTGTAATTTAATCATTTGTTTATCCGAAAAATGACTTCGATTATGAACCAAATTAAAGCAAAAATTATTATTACAATGTGTGCAAACTGTTGGCTCGGCAATACGACCTCTATCAACTTCAACTAAAGTTGAAAATGAACAAATAATACATTTAAAAAATGATTCTCTCATCTCAGGAATAACGTTTGATGTTCGAATAACCATTCCCGATATTGTTATCAATTGATCAACATCCTCGGGATTTAACATACGCATATTTTTTGTCTTAGACACATTAAATGGTCGTACTTGAATTTGATGATCAAGAACAGCAGCTGGATATTTTTCGAAAAACATTTCATTAACTGCCATATCCAATGCAGGAATAACTTCCTGAGGATAGCGAACAAGTTGAGAATATAATTGTGCATCAAAAGCTTCAATATGTCCACAATTCACATTTAAATAAGGATCTTCAAGTGAATGAATTTCATTAAGTTTTTGTAAATAAAGTGGTTCAGTTAAATTCAATGTTTCTGGCAATTCATCATTTTCTGCATCTGGATCAATGAAACGTGTGACAAATCGTTTAAATTGTTCTTTTACACGACTTACTACAACGTTTGTTCCCCAAATTACAAGTTGAGGGCCTGCATTTTCACTCTCGGAAGTTCCTGCAACTGCATCTTCTGGAATCTGATTTTAAATTTTCATCATAAATGTTCTTTAAATTTTGAATTAGTGAAAAGTGAGCTACTAATTCACATTAGTAAGAATGTATGTGTGTGTATGGATCCCTTTTTTGTTTAGAAAATAACTTTAACAAGTTTTAATGGATTTAGATAAAATTTGGTAGAATTATTTATTATATTAATATCTCAAAACTGACCAAAGGATTTTAAAAAATACCCTCAAAAAAAAAAAAAATTATCGTCTTTTTTCAAAAAAATTTTTTTTAATCGAAAAAATGTTTAAATAGAAAAATTTAAAGTTATATATAATTAAATTTGTATTCCTTACGTTAAGACAAATCGATCGGTATATATAAAGTATAGTTTTAATTTAAATTTAAAGAATTAATGAAAGTTAAAAAATCAAAAATTCACATATTGGCTATAAAATTTTGTGATTATTTAAATTTAAGTTTATTGATGAAATAATTGTATTCCTTGCATGAGAACGAATCGATTGGTATATATACAGTTTACATTTGAAGTAAATTTAATAAATTAATGAAAATTAAAAAATAGAAAATTCATATTTTAGCTGAAAAATTTTGTATTTATTTAAATTCAAGTTGAAATATAAAATAATTGTGTTCATTGCATTGAAATGAATCGATATAATTGTAAATAATTATAAATTATATATTATTTTTCATTAATATTTAGAAATTTCAGCTAAAATGTGAATTTTTGATTTTTTAACTTCCATTAATTCTTTAAATTTAACTCAAATGTTTATATTATTATATTATTTTTGTATGTTTATTTCAATGTTAATGCTTTCTCAATGAGGAAGCAAAATGTTCATGTAATGGACATCAGAATTTACAACATGTTAATAAAATATTACTATTTGATTCAGTAGTTTTAAAATTTTTTTACTAAAGTTTTCATTAAGTAAAATGTGATTAAAAATTAATAAAAATTATTACTAATTTAAATTAGTAACTTATTTTTCACTAATTCAGATTTAGAGAGTAAAAAAGTATTTTGTATATTGAAAAAAGAATATTTTTGATGCGCTACTTACCGGTTCATCAACATTTACTTGTCTCAATCGTTTATCAGTTCTAATATCCGTTCTTTGTCTAATAGGAGTTCCTCGTATGCCACTTCTAGGTGTTCGAATTGAACCAAGAGAACTTGGTGTTCCATAATTTAAAGGTGAGGAAAGATCAATTTCACTCATCCCACCGGCAATGGGACTTGTTTGTAAAAGTCTATTTGGCGATGATGCCGGAACAGATTGTCCTTCTGATGATTCTGCAACAGTTCCTGGTACTCTTCGATTTCCATATCTAAGTGGAGTGTCCACTGAGCCATTACTTGGACCTATTAATTAAAATTCATTTAAACATTCATCGTTTTAAATTTATTGTTATAGAAAATTAAAAATAGTACTCTATTTTAATTATTTTCAAAAATTGAAATTTGTTTTTGCTTACCTTCATTGACAAAAAAAAGTGAATTATTTTGACAGTCTCATGTTTTTTCTTTGTTCTTAATGTAAGCATAAATTTTCAATTTTTACATAACAAAAAAAAAAATAAAAAAAAATAAAAATTCGAATTTATCGTAATAATCTATTAAATATAGAAAGTTATCAATATAGTAAGGGAAATATGTTTTCTAACCTGGCTTTGAAGGAGTGATGTTTCCATTTTGACTTCTGACTGAGGGAGATGGAGTTGCATTTGGTGATCTTTGTACACGTCGTGGAGTTCTAATATCCGATCTAGTTGGTGTTGGTGGTGGTCTCATAGGACTCGACATTTTGTCTTTCTTTTTGAAATATTTTTCTGGTTTTTACAAATTATTATTTGTCAGTTCGCTTGCAAGATGAACGATTAACTTCGTTTCCCGCGAAAAAACAGCGTGATGTTTATCGCGTCCAAGCACGATCTTATAATAAACAGGTTTGACAACTCTCTATGAAAACTCATGGAAATATATAAAGTATGCATCTTCCATCCTTGTCATACACATATTGTTTTGATGTAAAGTAGAGTCCACAATGTCAGTAACACTACTGCCCTCTTCATACTACTGAGTTCAGTAGGTAAATACCATCATATGGTTATGATTATAATACTTCGTGCTGGTAAATAAAGTCAGGAATCGACATCATTGTCAAAGATAAGCTTTTTGTGCTTCACGACAGATGGCGATAAATTAGTGTTTTGAAGAAAACGAAGAAAGATGCAAAAAAATCATCAGCTGCTTTATTGTTAAAATAAGTTAAGAAGAAGTTTTATATAAATATATTTTTCAGTTTTAAGTAGAATTAACAGCTTTTGAAAGTTTGATAAATCAGTTGATGAGAAATCAGTAATTTAAGGAACGAGATAAACTTTCCAACTTCCGGTGTATCAATTTTGTTAGAAAAGATTACTTTTATCACTTTTGTATATATAATTTCAAATTTTAAAAAACTTGAATGTTTTTGAATCTTCATGAAGATTTTAAATATCTCTGAAAATGGAATTATAATCCAAAATAGAACTATATCAATAATATAACCTAAAAATTTATTTCTGAAGAAAAGATAAATTAATATTCACGAAAGGTATAAAAGATTATTTATTTTCTTAATTAAATTTCTTACAATGTTATGTAATTATATTTATAAATTGAATATATTAATCTATTGAAGTTTAATTTTTTGGAAAAAAAAATTCTTGATGCAAGTTTAACTTATTAGTCGTCTCTTATTCCAGGCTCCGGTTTCATATTACCAAGACTAAGGGATTGATTTTTCCACAGTTGGCACAGAGCCAGAATTCCTGGTAAATGCTGATTCTTTGACATCGCATTGCCCTCGGGCTAGGTCACGAATATTTTCGAAATTTTAGAGAGATTTTGAAAGGCCCATCAGTCTGGAAAAGTATAGAATATATATATATATATAGATTGAGGAATATCCTTGAAAACTTCAAAATTTCCGTACACGTCATATTCGATGATTCATAAGCAATAATGATTTTACATATATTTATCAATTGAAGGTTATTTCAAAAAGAAATATTTTTTTATCATAAATATAAATTAACAGTTAATTTAAATAAATCTCAAGTAAATAAGTTTATTGAAGTTTTGAAAATAAGTTGAACAAAGTTTTTTCTCGAGTCTTTGACCGTTTGGAGAATAATTTGTTAGTCTATATCATTAATTTTTCGTTTTTTTTTTCTTTCAGTAGCCTACATGAAATAATTTTGGGAAATAAATGAAAAATTATTATCGAGTTTTTTTTTGAAAATAAAAAGGAAAAAATCAATGCTCTCTCTCAAACACACGAGAGGGAAATGAAACATGCATCCGCCCTCGAGGAAGAAAATTAAAATGCATCGTTCTATTTTAAATCAAGAACAAACTTCATTAAGAGGGAGAAAATAACGGAAGAAAAATTGGAATGTCAATAAATGGATTACATTCTCTATATAGATTGCAGGTATTTTTCAGGCAATTTTATTTTTCTTTTTCGATTAATGAAAATCAATACTAACAAAACGTATAAAAAACAAAAGAGAAAAAAGCAAATTCAGATATACTTAATTTTCAAGGATCGATTAAATACTGAAAAAAATATTTTTTTTATTTTTCTCCTTTTGTTGGAAATGTCGAATCCAATTGTGTGGGTGATATGGATGATAAGGGTGGATAAAAGCTATCTCGTTGCTTTGGTAACGTCGTTTCTGGAATTTTTGAAGGGTATATATATATATAGGAAAGAGAGATCTTTGGAAAAACATTTTAATATGAGAGGTCAATGTGTTTAGAAATTGAGGATTCGGTGACCGTAATTTTTAAATATGTTGTTCATTCTTGATATCGATGTTTATATATATATATATATAAATTTATATCAAAATTGTATCTTAAAACCTGCGTGTGCAGAACGGTCAGCTGCTATAACAGCAGCCGCGCACCCGATCGATGGCCCACTGCCACTATGTGCAGGTACATTCTCGTCCTTCTGCTTACTCAACAATATATATATATATATATATATATATATATTATTGTATATACGATATCTTTCCTTCATTCCCCTTCTACATTTTTTCCACCCTCTTATTTCAACCCTATTTCTCTTTCTTTCTCTTGCTTGTGCAGGAGAAACCACAGTGACGGATTATTTCTGGGCACCAGGTCAAGAATCCTTAATAATATTCGAAAAATTTGAAAAATTCTTTATTACTCCGTATTTGATGAAAATACGAATAATTCCTTTATTACACGATTTTAAATCACAGAATGACAATTTTTTTTTTTCGACATATAAGAATGTAGTCGAAAAATTTCAGATCGAATTTTTTATATAGCATAGATTATTAAATTTAAATTTTTATATAACAGAATTTTAAAATAATAGAATATTTAAATTATTTGTTTGTTTATTTATTTAATAAATAATTAATTACATTAAGTCAAAGTTTTTCTAATAAATAATTTTAAATAAAAACAATTTTTTTTAAGTTTTCAAATTGCAGAAAGTTTTGTAATTTTACTTATCAGCATAATAATCTTGTTTACATAATTTATAAAGATTGTTTTTCCTCTTTTTTTTATGAGGAAACAACGATAATAACGAGTTCTTTTTCTTCGCATAAATATACGTAAGACGTGTGAAGATTTTTAAATCAATTATACACTCGTGAATAAGTGAAAAATGAAGCTTTTAGTACTTCTCTCAGTTTTTCTCATTTGTGTCACTTTTTCGGAACAAGTTGCAACATTCAGTAAGTAATAATTAAATTTATTTAATAAATAAAATAAATTTTTAAATTTATTAATAATAATAAATTTTTTGACACTATCATTTAAGATGATTATTAATTTTCAAGTAGGTAACAATATTAAAATAAATTAAATTATAACTGCGTTAGTTTTAAGTTAAAATGTATTTGTAGGCTAAGATTGTATGGTTGGGAGTCTCGAACCCTGTATAAAGCAGGGAGAGTAAATAAAGATAATAAATTAAATTATAACTAAATAAAAATTCTGCATATATTTAATTTTTTTTTTGAAATTTAAAAATGTAATTTAGTTTTGTTAATAAAAACATTTTCTTTTTATTTTAGTAAATTGTCCATCTGGATTGCCCAGGGAGCGTGAAAAATATGTGAATCAATGTATAGAAGTTACTTGTTTGCCTGCTCATACTGTGGATACTGTGGGGTGAGTCTCAAATAAATTAATTTTGAAATATAAACGTAAATGACATTGTGAATTAAATTTAAATTAATTTAAAATATAATCCTAAAAAAATTAATGTTATAGAAAAATAATTTGCAATAGTTATAACGATAATTTTTCAATTTCTTTTCATTGAATAAAGAGAAATTATTAGATAAATAAATTAATTTTTAACATTATTAATTATTAAATAAATTGTTCATTAAAAATCAAAGGAAATTATTTATCATTTTATTATTAATCATTTAATATGACAATTAAAAAGTTTAAATACATTTTAAAACATTATTTATAGTTGAAATGAACCACAGATTCCAATTTCAAACTAAATATTAAAGTTTCTTGAATTCAATTTTATAGTAATTATAATTACTCAGATAGGACAAAAGTTTTGCATCAAACTTTCGTGCTATCTTGCTAAATAGTAATAATTATAATTAGTTAAATAAAGTAATAATTAAATATATAATCTTTTTGTTCATTGTATATTAATACGTTAAAAATAATTTTAATAATAACAAATAAAATGAAATATTTATTAATTAATATTAATGATAAATATTTTATTATTATTAAATTGTAGCAAATAGCATATAATTTTCTAAAAATGTTTTTTGACAATAGAAGACTGTTTTAATAAATGTGAAAAGTTAAAATCCTCTGACTAATTATATTGTACTTTCAGATGTCCAGTGGATGATTGTGTACAAGTAGTTGGCGTCATAAAAGGAGATCCCAAAAAGGAATATCCCGACTGTTGTGACAGAACTTTATGTACGGGATTGCCACCAAAAAATTAAAATTTTTATAATTAATAAAATGTTTATATTATAAAAATATTATTTCAATTTTTAAAAATAAAATATTGATCGAAAATTATTATTATTATTTTTCATTGTTTGGCAAATCATTTTTTTTTTTTTTTTTTTTTTTTTTTTTTTTAATACGTTAGAATATGAAAAGAATATATTTCACAAAAATGTTAAAATAATGATTAACATGAAATATTTCAGAAATAAAAGTTATCAAATGTTTTTTTATATCCCTCCAAAAGTCTGCCTTTAGATGGCCTATTTTTTCATATTTTCCCCTCATTCGAGAAATGGATCGAAAGAAGGGATGACACATATAAAAACCTAGGGTAGAAAAACGATTTCGAAGTAAACCGATTATGACGCTGATTTATATCAGATATGGAATTATTTTTCCATTTTAGATGAAAATTGTAAGCTTTTTTTTGGGGGTCAAATGCCATTTGAAAAAATCGACAATAAAAACCTGAATAATTACCGATTAGAGATTAAAAACACGACATTGTAATTATATATAAATATAAATACAATATGACGATTATATTTAGTATATATTTTTCTTTTTATCTCTATTTAATTTTAATTACTTAGGCAATTAATTTTTATAGTATTGAATTAATATTAATATAACATATTTTTTTTTAACTGATATAGAACCAAAAAATTATTGAACTTTTTTTTAAAAGTATAATACAATAAATAAAATTAAATATAATTTAGTCAATAATAACAATAATAATGTCAATATATTGTTGGAAAGTAAACTATATGAAAATAGAGATCGCCGTGTATAAAATAAAATAAATATTGAAACAAAGAACTTATTTGATTTGCTTTTCATAGATAACAAAAATTACATGTCAATCAACAAAGACTGTATATTAATAAGTAAAATAATAAAGATAGTTAAATTAGATTAAAACAAATAAATAAATGCTTATAGAATCATTTATTTCTATTTGTATTTTACAATTTATTAATTATGTCTATATTATTGTCTTTTTAAATAAAAAAAAAATTATTATATTATTTATTTAAATGAGACTTTTGAGTTCATTTTAATTTTTACATTTGAAAATGTGAATAAAAAGTTAAAATCTCTTACTATAAAATAAAACTTCATTAGATTTAAATAGATATTCAAATATCTTAATCGTTATCATATTTTGTCAAAAATTTATTCTTTTGTTATATTTTTTAAATATCACGTATATAGTGTCATTTCAAAAAATTAATCACAAATCGGTCCACCACAGCATTCTGGATATGGTTTTTTAGAATCTCCCTCTTTGTATCCTTTTGGATTTTCACAAGTATATGTTCCACATCTAGAAATTTTAGAATTCCAAATTAAATAAAATTTTTTTTTTATATATCAGTCTATGTTCAAAAAAAAAACAAACAAACAAACAAAAAAAAAACAAAGTAATGGATTATAAATTTTTAATAAATAAATTATAAATGTCTTAAACATATACATTTAAAAAAAATTTAATTTATACAAACATCGTTAATTTAATATAAAGTTTATCTTAAAAAATACACTTATAAAGGACTTACCCTTTTCCAAATGAACTTCCATCTTCTTTACAGGACATTACTCCACAAGCATGTTCATCTTGACTTTTTAACGCAGGATGTCCTTCTTTGCAGGATTCATCTAAAAATAATTAATGTTTTTAAAAAAAAATTTCATTCTAATTAAATATCTCTTCTTAGAAATAATGGTTTCTTATATTTACTATATTAATAATAAATATCAACAAAAAAATTGAATAATTATAAAATTATTATTAATTGATTAAAAATAATATAATTATTATTGTTATTATTAACTAACTAAATAATATAACCAAAATAAAAAATTAAGTGTAATGAATTTATTTTTTTTTAAATTAAAATAAAAATTTAATAAAAGTATTCTCACCAAATTTCCACAATTGATGGGAATAAACTATACAGAGGAGAAATATAAAGAAAGAGACGAAGAATTTCATGTTTACGTTTTCGAGGATTATACAAAACTAAATGAAAAGTAGACAAATTTCCCGTTAATATACTTCTGAGCCTCGTTTATTTTGTATTCTTTATGTGAAAAAAATCATTTAATTATATTTGTCTTACCGGTTATTCAAGTTTGTAAAAAAGATCTAATTTATTGGATTTTTCAAGGCAGACAACTTTGTAGTAAAAGCTGTCGTTTACAGTATATCTATATATTGACAATGACAAAAATATATATAGTTATACTACTTTATTGTTTAAAAAAAGGCTTAAAATAGATTTTTCTGTAAATATAATGAAAGTATTAAAAAAAAAGAGAGAATAATCTATTCTCTTTATTTGAGCATATGACTTTTGCGAATACAATAAATTTACACTTCCAAGTGTATTTGTGTGTTAACTAAAACATTAAACTTATGATGTAAGGCAATAAAAAAAAATTGTTTAAAAGGATTTTTCTAACAATTTTTTTTTTTTTTTCGAAAAGAAAAAGTACATTAGTTTTACTGAAATATGATTAATGGGGAAAAAAGCGAAATTTTATACATGATTTTTAAAATATCCTTTTCAGTATATATGTAGGTTTTTAATTACAGTTGTAACATTTTGAAAAAAAAAAAAAAAAAAAAAATTGAAAGAGAAAAAATATCGAGTAATGAAAACGTGAATTTTTCATTCACACAGTCAAGGATATAACAGTTTCAAAAAGCTTTTCAAAAATTGTCATGAGTTTCTTTTTTTTTCTAGAATTTTTATTTTAATCGTATTTTTTTAAATTTTATTCATTTTATGAAAAAAGAAGAATTCAAAGAAAAATGATTCAAAAAATTTAAAAATTAAATTATAATAATATTATAAACCAATTAAAAATTGTTTTTTTTAACTAAGTTTTAGAAACTTGTTTTGGGGTTTTTTTTTTCATTCAATATAGAAATATTTCACAAAAGATCTGATTATTTTAATGAAAATTTGATTTTCTGAATTTAAGAATATTAATAAAAAAACGGGGGGGAGCAAATATTCAAATAATTAATTTGGTTAATAATTTTTAAAAATTAAATTTTAAAACTTATTTTATCAAATATAAAATTTTAAATTGTTTGATATTAGTAATGGTATAATTATTATATTTTTTTGTTTTCAGTTAAGAAAATTTTAATAGACGAAATATTGTAAAATTTTCATATCATTTGTATATGTATATAGAATGAAATTTTATTCTTGCAGAATAGTTTGAAATTCGTTTAATTTTCATAGCAGTAGTAAATGTCATTTTTAATCAGACTTATACTAAAGTCTTGTAAATTTAGTATCATGTAATAAAAACAGGTTGCTCTCAGACAAAACTTTTTTTTTTTTTTTGTTCTTTTATCAGTAGTAAAAGACAGTTTTAGTCAGACGACGGATATTAAATTCTTGTATAACTCTAAACAAAAAGTGGGCTTAGACAAAAACTTTCTTGAATTCTTATAAATTTAAAATCAGTAGTAAAAGTCCGACTTAGACAATTTGAATTATTGTAAAATACAGTTGTAAAAGCAACAGCTTTGGAGTGAGTTATATTGTCAAATTGAAAATTGTATTTTAGTGAATAGATTTTTATAGAATTATTTTTGTTAATTATTATCTGAAATGCGAGTTTTTGCTATGAAAAAATATTTTTTGTAAAAAGTTCTTTTTTTTTTGCAATGTGGAAAAAATCTTTTCGATCATGGAATTTTCTATATTACATAGAATAAATGATCAACCCTGAATGAATAGACGTCAGCAAGATTTTCCTTGGAGTCCTGATAGTAAATGTCATTTTCCTTGGAGGACAAATCCACCCCTGCGATGGAGGAATATACATATATATATATATATATATATTATATACAGGTAGAGTTTTCTCCCACCAAGTATAGTATAGAATTCTGCACTTCCACCCTCCTCCCTATATGTCTGGCCCTCATCGTCTTTTTCCCACCCTCGATATGAACTAACAGCAGCAGCAGCAGCAGCATAGTCCACCAGTGAGCCAGTCGAGCTACAACAAGCCCGCGGATTAACCGAGGCTCGTCACACACACACACACTATCTTTTTTGCAACTATATTTCTTCTTCTTCTATTTCCGCGCTCTTTAATAAACGCGCCCTTTCCTTTCATATTCATCCCTCTCACAATTTTTTCAACCCTCTGCGCCGGCCGTGTATTTGTAGTTCAGTCGTTAACCACCCGCCTCTTATTCTCGTTCATATCCACCGCCAGGTCAAATATTACACACACACACAAATACTTTATATACTCCAGGTGAATACCGGAAGGGCGGTTCGTGTTATTGTTGATTTCATTTACTTTTTTCAAAAATTCGAAACTAGTTCCAAAAAAAAAAAAAAACAGTGGATCATGAGCTGCCGGATACTACTCTTTTCAACGAATTGTCATCAAGACTGAGGAGGTCAGTGTTTTCTTATCCTTGTGCTGTGTTATTTGAAAATATCTCCCCCCACTCCTACCTGAAACAAAAAAAAAAGTGTGTGATTATTACAAAAAAGTTTGTAAATTATTTATTTGTTTATCATATAATTTTGTGTGCATTTATATACCACACCCAGGCGGAGAAAACATGTGCGGATAGTATAGCTAGGGCAATGGCGAGGCTTCAAACTCTCGTGATCAATAAACGTGCTACGAGAGAAGAATTCCACACGAAGCGGTTGTGACGATCTCAATTTAATTCATTTATTTTAAATTTACATTTGAAAAATAAAAAACCAAATTTATTTCAACCAAAAAAAAGAGAGAGAGAGAAAAAAAATCTATTTCAAATATTAACAAATTCTCCTTTTTTTTCTAAAAGAGGGGGGAAGACTCCATTTTTCTTTGAATTTTCCGTTTATACTCAACGCGGTTATCATTACTAAGCGCATAGCCTTCGGCGAATTTTCCAGCTATAAGAATAAAATCAAAGACCCACTTTCTACAAAAAAAAAAAAAATTTCATTTTTCACAAAAAGAAATTAAATTTTTAAATTATTATTTAATAATTGAAAATTAAATAAACATTATTAATTAATAATTGGAAAATTTTAACATTTCCGGAAAATTAATTTCCAAATTAAATCCATTGTAGAGTAAATTACATAATTCTGGTAATTAATTCTTTTGTGTGTGTGTGTGATATACATTATTTATCACTTGGAAAATTTTTTTTATATATTAAATTGTGAATTATAAAAATTATTTTTTTTTTTTATTTAAGAAAGAAGTCTAAGAAAGAAATACGTAAAAAAATTTAATTTTTAAAAAATCACTTACATTCTAAAAATCAGTTCAATTTATTTAATTTATTATTAATTAATAGCAAAAATTGTCGAGCGCCAAACAAATTTAATTAATATTTCACTTATACAATTATTTATAAAATAATTATAGAGGAATATCAGAATTTTCATACATTATTAAATTTTATTTCATACGATAAAGTTTTTTTTTCAAAATTCAAAAAATTATCAAATAATGAATTAAATAAGAAAGTAGTTTTGTAATAATGTACTTGCATAATAAATTCACTAAATATTCAATAAAGTATGGATTTTCTTTTATATAACAAATAAAAATACGTATATCAATATTTTCAATCTAGAACAATAATATTCATCAAAATATCATTAGAAAGGGGGAAAAAAAAAATTTCATCAACCACAAATTAATTCCCCGGTGTATATAAGTGCGTGAATAGAATTACAAATTTTTAAGTAATTAATTTTTAGAATTAAAAATATTAAAAAGTATAAAATAAAAAAAAATAATTATTTTATACACGGAAATAAAATATAAACGTAGAAACGTTTATTTGAACCATTATTAAATAAATATTTACTTTCGAAATAAAATATTTACTTAATTGACTTATATAAAGTCATCTATACAAAGAATAGAAAAAAAAATTTTTTTTTTTTTTCTTCTTGTTTATGCTTCATTTAAAATTGAATGCCTTTTTCTATGGAGAGAATATTAAATAAATGAGCAATTAAAAAGTTTTTCAGATATATTTTTAATTTTAGGACTTTAAAAATCTATTTTTATGAGCAATTTATTTTCTTTTGTTATATAAAACAACGCGAATGAAGGGTCAATCAACTCCTTCATCGATTAAAGTAAATTCTGTATAGTAATCTGTCGATCTTTACATATATCGCGTCTATTGCGCTGAGAATAGAGTCGCGCTTTTCAAATAAAAGTATAGATTGAATAGTTGATGGGGGGAAAAAAAGGGGGAAAGAAAAAAAAGGTCGCCATTCAATTTTATCTTCGATTATTTGTAACATAGTTAAATAAAATCATTTTCAAGGTTCGTTGTATATGTAAAAACGAATAATTTCAATTCATCATTTGCTTTGCTACTTTATATTATAAATATATATATATATTTTCCAATCTTTTCAGTCACTATATATAATAATCATTTATCAGAAGAATGAGACATTTACTCGTTTCATTTTATTGACCGACCTTTTTCCAAATGGCTCATTTGAAATCGATTTAATTGTTTTTTTTTTTTTTTTTTTTTTCTTTAAAAGGATAATAAACATTTTATTTTATTTTTAAAATTATTCTGCTATATGAAAATTATAGACGAACTTTATTTAATATGCTATAGAACTTAATTTAAAATTATAAAGAAATTAAATAAAATTAAATAATTAATTTTTATTAAAAATTTTTGAAAAAGGACAAATTTAATTCAAGGATAAAGGAAAATGGGCTAATTTGACGAGTCCTTGTGGACATTAAAATTAATTATATATCGTTAAGTAGATTTGATAATAATAATGAAGTGGAAACACATTACGAAAGTGTGAATTAATTCTTATATAGGAACCATGCGGGTATTGCATAATTGCAAAATCAAGTACATATTTTGCAATGTCAGTTAATTTAATTTACAAAAGATTCATGTTACGCTTGATATTAAATAATAGCAATAATTTCAATTCTTTTGATTTATGTTCTTTAGGTATATATTATTAATTTTCAAAATTAATTATTTGTGTAAATTATTATTTATAAATTAAATATTTTTTTTTTTTGTTTTTTAAAATTATTTCTTATCAAATTTATATTATTAAAGCTAAAAACACAAATAAAAAAAAAATTACTAAATTAATGATAAAAATAGATATTGTTTTGTGAGTTTATATAAATTATTATATCTTTCAGTAGAAAAAACTGTCATTTGTCAGACACAAAGTTGGAAAAATATTCAACCTGTGAACGTTTAAAATTATCACTAATTTATTCTGTCAGGTGAAACATTAATAGACTCTCTCACGAGTGTCCTTTCCTTGATATTTTTAAATTTAATAAGCTCTCCAGAAAAAAAAACATCACGGAACGATATTAGAAATAAAAATAAATGAAAAATAATCTAAAATTCATTTTTGCAAAAAAAAAGTGTAAAAACTTATGTAAATTATTTTTTTTTTCTCTCGTCATTTGAAAGAAAAGTCCTAAATATTTATTTGTAGATTTAAAAGTAAAGAGACTCGTTCCAAAGAAAATACAAGATCTGAGAATATAACATCTGTAAAAGTCAAAGAAACTTTGAAAAATAGAATGTTGAAAATACAAGGGGTGAAATATAAATTGAGGGTAGGTTGGAGAAAAAAAAAAAAAAAAAAAAAACCTTTACTTAAATTGAAGGGGAAAATTGAGTTGGGGTTTGATGAGTAAGAATATTTCCCCGTTAAAACTTATGACAATTATCAAATAAATATTTATTTGAATCAATTAATTTTTATTTATTTTTTAAAAGATTGAAAACAATAATTTTTTCCTAAAATAAATTTTAAATAAATAATAAACAAAATGTGAAGCAATAAAAAGGTTATTTATTTTTAATTATTTAATTTTTTTTATGGAATAAAATGTTGTTTTATAGGAAAAAAAAATATTTTGAAATTGATTTTCAAAAATGATATTCATAGTTTTAATTAAAATCAAATATGTGGCTCAACGCAAAATTCAAAGTTGAACTATATATATATATAGAGTTGATCTTTAGACATTATTTTGTGGTTCAACTTTGGATTTTGCGTTGGCTTGCTCTTTGATTTTAATTATATACATATTCTTTTGAGTATATGTTTGAAAATTAATTTTCGATATTTATTTCATTCGTTATATAAAATAATTTTCTCCCACACAAAAGAAATATTTTATGATATTTAAATTTTATGTAGGTGGAAAATATTTTATTTATATTTTCAAAATAGTTAAAAATAAATTTATTAAACAAAAATAAATCACGCTACATTTAATAATAATAATAATAATAATAATAAATACATCTAAACGATTACATTTGATAATAAATAAAAATTTTTAATTATTTTCAAGATTTATAACGTTATCAAATGATTTTTCTCCCTAGCAATAAAGTGGTTTTTTTTTCGATAATTGTGAAAATAATAGGGAAGCATATGGGTTTCAAGTGGATATATAGTATATTTTTATATTATATATGGTGTATGTGTCAGATACCTTTTTTTCCCCTGAAATAGCAAGTGGGCCCTGGGGGAGCAAGAAGGACACAACCCAGTGATAATCGATATATTTGCACTGTGACGGCCACGCACGTCTTTCCTTTTATTCGTTCAGTTAGTTTCCTACACGCAGGAACGTTTCACGTGGAAAAATGTTGTAAATGCGGGTGATAGAAATTTATTTTTATTCTTTTTCACGAGTCAAACGTTGATAGTAGTCACGTGTGTTCCTCAATCGTGTTACTCCAAACTTTTTTTTTTTTTTGATTAGTAAATATCTGCAAAAAAAAAGGTATGAGAATTATATTATTTCGTTTTACAATATTAAAAGTATTTTCGAAATTAAAATTATTAAAATAACTATTTTTAAATTTCATAGAAAAAAAATAGAACATTCGGAAACATTAAATTTATCACAAATATAATTTTAGTCATTGAATAAAATTCCTTTTTTTTTTTCTTATCAAATTGTAAACATTTTTGTTTCACCAATTAAGACCAGATGTCTATTTAAATTTACGTAAAACTATGTAAATGAAGGAAGATAAATTGCTAAATTGATGTAAAAGTTTCTACATGTTCTACTTTCTGTTAAATATATATAGATATAATTTTACAATTTAAAAAAAAGTAGGGCAATTTTTTTTTACAAAAAAAAAAAAAAAAACGGAAAAGAAAAATTAGACAACTTTACTGTTACAATTAAGGTGGATCTTAATGGAAGTGCAGAGTTTGCATATCGTATTTAACTATATGTATATAGCGACAATAGGAATTACTGTCAAGTGGGATAATTTGGACTTTGTATTAATTCTAAGTCGACTAACTCACTTAAGAATAATTTATGTACAACAAAGGATTATTTACCTTCACAATATTTGCTAAATTAATAAATATAAATTATTTTTAAGTATTTAATTATAAATAATTAATTCGAAAACAATTAATGTAAGTAGAACATTTTAAAAAGAATTAAAAATATAGAAACTATATTTTATATTAAAAAATATATATATATATATCAGAGATAAATGAATTAATTAACTAAGTAAATAAAATTTAAATTATTTTTCATGTGAATTGACACTTGACATGAAATGTGTGATGAAATACGTAAACTTCATTTCTGAGCCTTCCGTTGATAGTCACATCTAGAGTTTCCGTTTGATTCCAATTTCCTGAATGTGATACAACTGAAATTGACAGCTTTTTTTCACACATGAAATAAAAATAATTTTCCCTTTTTTTCGAACATAAATTCAATTAATGTTTTTAATTTCAATTTTCTAATTTTACTATTTTTAAATAGTATTTTTTACTAATTAAAAATTAAATTAAATGATTTAATTAATTTAATAGCATTAATTAATTATATATATAAAGAAAATATACACTTAAATGAAATGAAAGGGATTTGGAAATAAAAAACAAAAAAAAAAACGGATAAATATTGTTCTTTGGTCATTGAAAATTTTCTTATATCAGTTAATCAGATAAAATATAAAATTTCAACTCAGTAAATTGATCATATTTAGCTGTTCACAGGTCAGGAGAAATTCAACATTGATTTTCCTAATTTAGCACTGGATACTAAACTTTGAACGTCACAGGCGTTTATCTCCGATAACTGTTGTGTCGTTTTACTTGATTTATTTTCTACGTCTAACAACACAATTTCAATGCAATATAGAACATTATTATATTGATATCTGATTATTATATTAATTAGAAACATAATTTTTTTTGTCAATTATTCATTTTTCTATATAATAAACAGAAATGAATGATAATTATTTTGTTTTAATCAAAAAGTAAAATTATTACAATAAAATAGGACTCAATTTGAAAAAAAATTTAATTAATTTTGAAAAAAAAATGAAACTAATAAAAAAATGAAAATGATAAAAAATTAAAAATGATAAATTAAGAAAATGTTGAATTTCAGAGAAAGGAGGAAATTCGGAAAAAAAAGGGACTTGAATCAGCACGGTGATTCCGTGAGCACGTGGAGACGGCAGGTCCGAGTAAAAGAAAAGCCGGTCCTCCAAGGTTGAGGCCGGCGTTGGCATCAACAGCTAGACTATGATAGATCCAAGCTCCTCGGAAGAGGAGAGTGAGGAGGACCAAAGCCTTCACCACGGGGGTGGCGGCGGGGGCCGTGGCGGAAGTGGTAGCTCACACGGTTCCCGCCACCATACTGGTAGTAGAGGCATGGGCCCAAGTTCCGGGCTAGCCGGAAGTGTTGGTTCGGCTAGCTCGGGACTCACAGCATCACCTGGTGGCTCAAGTCTTGGTGGTGGTGGTGGTGGCGGCGGCGGTGGTAGTGGTGGTGGTGGTGGTAGCCATGGAGGATCATCTGCTTCTCATGGAAGATCCACTGGTCAAACATCATCACAAATTCAACAAGAAGCCGTTGCCGCTGGATTGGATGTACCAAATTTATCCAGCGCTCGAAGTTCCCTCTCACCTTCCATGAGTGCTGCTCAGGATGCTGCTAATTATGTGAAATCCGCCCAAAGACCCACCAGCCCATCGCCGTCGGTCGCTAGTGAAAAGACTGAGGCCGAATTACTGGTAATTATCAACTTTTTTTTCCCTATAAACAAAATTATTAATTTATTATTATAATTATTCAATTAATATTAATTAAATTTCAATTTTTATATAAAGTTTTTTTTTTTTGAATTTAAATTAAAAAAAAAATTTCCAAACTAGGGATAAAAGTGGAGGTTTTATAAGAATGTAAAGAAAAAAAAAATCATTAGAAGACCGACCGTGGTCTTAGAATAGAAAATCCTTAATATGAATACCCAAGTGGAGACAAGTTCTTTTCTAATTTGGTTATTATGCCTTAGGACAAGCAGGAGAGAGAGGAAGAGGAGAGAAAAACACGAATACAACTTTACGTGTTCATTTCGAGATGTGTTGCTTATCCATTCAATGCCAAACAACCCACAGACATGACACGAAGACAAATGAAGATAACGAAACAGCAATTGGAGACTCTGTGTTCCCGCTTCCAGGTAATTAGTTCTCCAGATTTCATCAGAATTTTTCATATATGAAAAAAAAAAAATTCTATTTAATTATAGAATTTTTAAAAAATTGATTTTTTTTTTGCAAAAATATAATTTGTTTTCGATATTTTAGTTTGAATGAAGAATTATTTATTCATACTATTTACTGTTAGGAAGTCTTTGATCGGTCTTGATAACTGTCGGTTATATTTAGAATATCATTGGTCTCAGAAACCCTCTAAGGGAAAGTTGCAATTTTCCGAAGCCTCACGATATCGTCTTATAAAAGTGTTCCGTGTATCTAACCTTCGCCTTGGAACCGTAGATTCTAAATTTGCTATATCTTTTTGTATATATAGTTATTGATTTAAAATAAAAGATCTGAGATTAATCTCGTTCGTGACGTTTAAATTCTCTATATTCTTAAAAAAAAAAAAAAAAAAATGATAATAAATTTTTGTATTTTTAGGCTTTTTTGAAAGGCGAAACACAAATAATTGCAGACGAAGCCTTCCACAATGCCATTCAAAATTATTACGATGTATTCTTAAAATCAGAGAGGGTGGTCAGAATGGTACAAAGCGGTGCATGCTCACAACACGACTTCCGCGAGGTATTCAAGAACAATATCGAGAAACGTGTTCGCAGCCTCCCGGAAATCGACGGTTTGAGCAAAGAGACTGTTCTTACGTCCTGGTTGGCCAAATTTGATTGTATATTTAAAGGCACCGGTGACGAGGACACCAAGAGGCCTTCCAGGATGCAACAGCAGTCCTTAAATTCAGAACTGATATTGTCGAAGGAACAGCTGTACGACATGTTTCAGCAAATCCTTGGCGTTAAAAAGTTCGAGCATCAGCTTCTGTTCAACGCCCTCTTGTTGGACTCAGCCGACGAACAGGCTGCTGCCATCCGGAGGGAGCTGGACGGTCGCATTCAACGAGTCAACGAAATGGAGAAGGTACACTATTTTTTTTTATTATTCCTCTTTCAAGCTACACAGCATTTGCTAAAAAAAAAAGGGGGGAATAGAGGAAATTTTGTTTGAAAAAGGGGAAAAATAGGGTAAAATGTAAATGTAAATGTCATTTTCAAAGTTTTTTTTTTTAATTTAATTTGCATACATCTGATAAATAAACGCTTTTTATTTTTTAAACTTATTTTAAAATTAATTTTCCACAAAATGAAAATTACTTCTAATCTAATTTTTTTCTATGAAAAATTGAAGTACTTTTTTTATTTTATCAAACTGAAAACCGTCTTGTAAAATATAAAAAACTTGATTGTATATTCAAATTTGAATTTTTATTAAATAAACCATTATTTGAGTTTCAACATAAAATAGGGGAAATGAGTAATTTTTTAAAAATAGGGGACCTGCTTTTTTTTTGGTCTAATGTTTTGTTAATTAAAATTTCAGAACCGAAAGCTCATGCCAAGGTTTCTCCTGAAAGAAATGGAGTCGCTCTACATTGAGGAACTAAAGTCGTCTATCAACCTGCTAATGGCCAATTTGGAGTCATTGCCAGTCTCCAAGGGTTCGATAGACAGCAAATACGGGCTGCAGAAGCTGAAGCGCTACAACCATCGGCGTGAGCGCTCCCGCCCCCGCAGTCAGAGTTCACTCGTTAAATTGGAGGGCGACTCCGCTGATTCCGACCCCCAACTCACAAAAATGGATGTGGGCTTGACTTTTCAATTGGAAGTTATTGTTATGGAAGTCAAGGGCCTTAAAAGTCTCGCGCAAAATCGAATTGTTTATTGTACAATGGAAGTGGAAGGCGGCGAAAAACTGCAGACTGATCAAGCCGAAGCCTCAAAGCCTATGTAAGTCTTTTTTTTCTCATTTTTTTAAAAACGAAATTAAAACCAAAAAAAAAATTTTTTACAGGTGGGACACTCAGGGAGATTTTTCCACAACTCATCCATTGCCAATAGTGAAGGTTCGACTTTATACGGAAAATCCAGGAATGTTGGCACTTGAAGATAAAGAATTGGGAAAAGTAATTTTAAAACCAACGCCAATGTCAAGTAAAAATCCAGAATGGCATCGTATGACCGTCCCAAGAAATTGTCCGGATCAGGATTTAAGGATAAAGATTGCCTGTCGCATGGACAAGCCGTTGAACATGAAGCATTGTGGACACCTTTACGCCCTGGGCAAATCCGTGTGGAAAAAGTGGAAGAATCGGTACTATGTACTGGTCCAAGTCTCGCAGTACACGTTTGCGATGTGCTCGTATAAAGAGAAAAAAAGCGAGCCGTCGGAAATGATGCAGCTGGATGGCTACACAGTGGACTATATCGAAGCCGTTTCTGCTAATCTTATGGCTGGCATGGATTTACAGGGTGGAAGGTGTGTCTTCTCGTTCCAAACGATTTGTCACGATAAAAAATTCTTTATTAAATCAACTACTAACTGGTATTTTTCAAAAGAAAAGAAATTCAATTTATTATATATATATATATATTTATTCACATAGAAGCTTTTTTTTCTGCATTTATTATATTTGCTTCCATAATGGCGTCAATTTTATTATTTATTTATAGTGCTAGATATAAATTTTTTGTTTCTAGATTGTTGGTAATAAAATAGTAGTTTTTTTGATGCTTGTGGAAGGAGTATACCAGTTAATGGTTGCGAATGATGTAGATATAGAGTAGATGGCAAAAAAAGGTTAACTTTAAAACAGGTACTTCTTCAACGCTGTACGTGAAGGTGACAATATTGTTTTTGCATCGGAGGATGAGAGCGAGTGTCATTTGTGGGTGATGGCAATGTACAGGGCAACTGGCCAGTCTCATAAACCAACACCGCCGGTAACAATAGCTGATAAAAATTCGACAATCAGCAAAATTCAAGGTGACGCTGATAGGGCGAGAAAACATGGAATGGAAGATTTTATCAGTGCTGATCCATGCAAATTTGATCACGCGAATCTTTTCAATTTTCTTCAAAGTTTAACATTGGATTATCGACTGAATGATCCTTATTGTTGTTTGGGTTGGTTCTCACCTGGACAAGTTTTTGTGCTTGATGAATATTGTGCAAGGTATTATTTGTTTTCTAATTGAATTTTAGAACAAAATTTAAAAAAAAAAAATAATAATAATACTTACGTAATTTTTGCAATATAGATACGGTGTTCGTGGATGTTTTCGACATTTGTGTTATCTCAGTGATCTTTTGGATAGAGCGGAACGTGGAATTATGATTGATCCAACTTTGATTCATTATAGTTTTGCATTTTGTGCGAGTCATGTTGTTGGTAATAGACCCGATGGTGCTGGATCTGTGACACATGAAGAGAAGGATAAATTTCAGGAAATTAAGGAACGACTTCGACAACTTTTAGAAAAACAAATAACAAACTTTAGGTTAGTGACAGAAATTTTTTTTTTTATTTAGAAAAATTTATAAATATTTTATAAATTTTTTATTTGGTTTTAGGTATAGTTTTCCATTTGGAAGACCTGAGGGAGCATTGAAAGCTTCATTGTCTTTACTTGAACGAGTTTTGATGAAAGATATTGTGACACCAGTACCACAGGAAGAGGTCAGAGGAATGATAAAATCATGTTTAGAGACTGCAGCTCATGTGAATTATGAGCGATTATCATCGGAGGCAAAAATTGAGGAGGACTTTAATGGTGAAGTACAGCCTAGTAAAAAACTTGAGGATCTAATTCGTCTAGCTGAGATTTGTGTCGACTTGTTGCAGCAAAACGAAGAACATTATTCGGAGGTATTAGTTAGGTTTTTAGAACTGAGTGTTCATTGTCCGGGGTTCTCGAGAGAGAGGACAGCATGCAAATTAATACGGACATGGTAAGGGTCCGCCACCTCCTCAGAAGACTATCAGCTTTTTCACTTTTACTTTTGTCATTAGTAACTAGTTTAAAAAAAAGTTCATTAGATCTTCATTCAATTTAAAAAAAAAAAAACTTTCACTTAACTAAAATTAATTAATTTTAATCTAAGAGCTAAAATTCTGTATTAAAATTGAGAATTTCGAAGATTTTTTCATTTAGAACTTGTTTTTTTGTTTTGATATCATGACAAAAGTTTTCTTAGATAAAAAGAGCATTAGAAATCATAGAGTCTTCTGGGTACTCGAGGACTCCGTGGCCAGGGTGGCGTTCCTACCACCTTGAGTCATAAATAAATATTTGCCCGCCGTATATGTTTCTCGTCCAATATTTTCACGTTTCGCTCCTACTACACCGCACCACAGGCGTTCGCCTGGTTTAGCGACCTCCTGGTGGAACACGCCGAGATCTTCTGGTCCCTCTTCGCCAAGGACATGAACAAGGTACTCAGCGAGCAACCACCCGACACGTGGGATAGTTTCCCTCTCTTTCAAATTTTAAACGACTATTTAAGAACCGATGGTAAGTGAATTGAAAAGAAAATAGTTTTTCATTTTTGTTTGTTACTAATTTTTTTTTTTTTTTTAATTTCACAGATAATTTGAAGAATGGGAAATTTCATCAACATCTTCGAGATACTTTCGCGCCATTGGTGGTACGTTATGTGGATCTTATGGAAACATCAATTGCCCAATCAATTCATAAGGGTTTCGAGAAGGAAAGATGGGAAATTAAGGGTAATGGTTGTGCAACATCAGAGGATCTTTTTTGGAAATTAGATGCATTACAATCGTTTATCGGTGGTTTACATTGGCCTGATCAAGAATTTCGTAGTCATTTGGAACAAAGATTAAAATTAATGGCCAGTGATATGATTGAATCATGTATACAGAGGACAGATACTGCATTTATGCAATGGCTCAAAAAAGGAGTAACATTTATATCAACCGATTATATAATTCCGTCTGAGATGTGTGCCATGGTGAACGTCATTCTTGATGCGAAGAATCAAAGTTTTAAATTGTGCGCTGTCGATGGTGTTGATGTTGTGAGTCCTTGATTTTTTTTTTTTTTAAACAGTTACAAAAGAAAAAATCAATATTGTGAATATAATTTTTGTTATTTTGTATATTATTATATCATGTTGTTGATTCGATTTAATTCACGTCGGATATGTCATTTTTAGCATCAGTGTCATGGTAAAATCGATGACCTCATTGAAAGAACATCGGCTGCAATGTCCCAAGGAATTATTAATAAATTGGTTACCGTCCTGGAAACCACGTTATCCAAATTGTCACGATATGATGAGGGATCCTTTATTGGATCTATTCTTAGTTTTACGGTGAGTGGAAAATGCGTTTGTTTTTCTATTTCTTTTATTTAATCAATTTTTAACTAAAGAAATTTTAATCTAATTAAAATGTTGAAAAAAAATATATGTTGCAGAAAGTGTCAGGAAGCGGAAAGGAAATGGGCCAAGCTTATGTAAATTTCGCGAGAAACTGCGTGGACCAAATTCGTGGTAAGGTTATCGACGAGTTGTGGATTATGACCTTTTTTGAGGTGAGATTTTAAAATTATTATATTATTATTATTTGATTAATATAAATAAAAATTTTATAATTACAATTTTTTGTAAATAATTATATATTTGTAATTTTTTAGCAATGGTATACTGCCCAAATAGAGATGCTTTGTACCTGGCTTTCCGAGAGATTGGATCACAGTTTACATTTGTACCAATGCACTTGTCTCGCTCATATCGTGAAAAAGATTTATTCGGACTTTGAACTACAGGCGATTGCAGAGAACAAACTTAACTCGAAGACATATCAAACGATATCTCAGAGAATGCAGACAGAGGAAGCAACTTGTGCCTTAACCATGAGCGCTCAGAATGAAGAGTTAGTTGATCAATTTGTTTTTCTCTTCAAAAAAAAAAAAAAAAAAAAAAAAAAATTGTGAACTCAAAATTAAAATTTTATTTTAAATTTTCAGAGGGCTTTCGGAAAATGGCAATGACGACGATGTGGAGAGGCCGAAAACGAAAGTAACAATCGTCGAGACAATGACGGGAGATGATGGAAATTTTGCCAATATCAGCAATGTAACATCGAATGTTGTTGGAAAAGTTGGTAATATGTTTGGCAGGGGCATCGGTGGCCTTTCTACGAAATTTGGCGGAGCCACCAGCTGGTTCTAATTATTTTGTAGTCTCCTAACTCTAAGCTATATTTGCCTAGAATGTTCCTTCATTCACTCATTCACTACTATTACTACTACTACTATTACTAATAATAATTATTATTAAAAAATAAAATTTTCGCCAAAAAAGGGACACCATAAAGAATTCAATTCAAAGAACAAAATTTTTATTGAATCAGAATAATATTATTATATTGATTCAAAGTGTGTCCTAAAAGAAAATATTTTTATTTTTATCAAGTTATATCGAAGAGCAATTGCTAATTAAATATACATTTGAAAGTATTTTCTGTCTTTAAAAAAGAATTTTGATTCTAACTAAATTTTTTTTTTGACTTTCAAAGTCTATATCTTTACTATCGGCCACAACGCTCTTATCACGATGCCAATAACGATAGAAATACAATATATAGTTGGAAAAACTAAGGTAGCAGAAAGCAATAAGATAGATGACAAAAAAAAATTGAGATAGTAATAAAAAAAAAAATAAGATAGTAACAAAAAATAGAAGAAGGAATCGAGAGAGTTATGAAAGAATGTGATGTCATTTTAAATGAAAAACGACGTGTAACGTAGCAAAACACGTCTCACCTGAAATTTTGTATATACGATATGCACCGTAAAAAATGAAGGACCGATATATGAGAGTATAAGTAAGAAAATAGAGAGAAAAAAAGTATGTATATACACACATACATATATATATTAAAAGTGTAACGTGTATTTATCATGTATTGACAATTACTGTCTGTACACACCTGGTACACCGTTAATATATCTAATTAGAGAAATTGTCGCAAAATTAAAAATTTCCCATTTAGCATATATATGCGCATTATATATGCTGGTAATTCGAGTCCGCGACAGAATCTAATATCCGTAATTTAAACAATGTATAAGACGTCAAAGGTAAAAAATGCCTCGTTATTATTTTAGCTACTTTCAGATTTTAGTGCAATAATTTGTTTTTTTTTTTTCAATTTTATTTAATAATACTGGACTGTAAAATAACATTCAATCGATGGTCCAGTTAAAAGATCTTTAATCGATACTATCGAAAGGAATATTCTTCAAATTAGACAATTTTTCTTATATTTTTATTGTAAATAATAAATAATATACTATTTTCATTTTAACTATAAAAAATTTATTATTTCTATTTAATATTTCTCTGCTTTAAATGATTTATTTATACAAATATTATAATTTTACAATTATTATTATTATTAATTTGTAATTTTATAAAATTGATAACAAATTTTTTTTTAAAGATTAAAGATGTTTTAAAAATTGTAAAGAAAAAATGTTCTAAAATGAAGAGTATTTAACATTTAGAGTAATAGCGTCAACACGTGTCGAATGAAGACTTTAAAATGGAAAATTGTCGGTGCCTTTGAATAAAATAACAATTAACTTGAAGAGAAATTAAATTTTACTAATTTTAGTTTACATTTTAAATAATTTCATTTAAATTCACTATAAAATTTAAATTAGAAAATAAAGTTTCCATTAAATTAGATTATATTATAATCTAAAAGTTACTGCATATTAATTTACTGTATGATAAAATTTACTGTAAATTAAAGTTAAAAGTTTACAGTAAAATTAAAATTTATTATAAATTAGAATTTACTAAAAAAAAAAAAAAAATTAGAATTTATTCTATAAAAAAATTTACACAAGTTAAAGTTTACTGTAAATTAATTACATTAAATCAAAAATTTGTTAAATTAAAAAAAATTGTTAATTTATAACTGTAAAATTAAATTTATCATAATAAATTAGAATTTACTTTTAATCAAAATTCACACTGTATTTTTTCGATTTTACGGTCTTGTACACACATTCGGACGAGCTGAATCGTTCTTATTCGTGATATTTGAAAAAAAAACAACTAAAAGACAGAAGTGTTATATAGATTTATATCGCGAAGAATAAGATTATTTATGAACGGTCAGATACATGTGTATTTTCCAAATTTAAAGTGAATGTACGTTAGTTTGTGTTTGATCTAGCCGAAAAGTAGATAGGATGTATATGTACTTTAAAACAATTCAAATGAAAGGAGTAAATGATAATTTAAAATTGTTATCTCAATTTTTTCTATACCACAATTTACTGAAATAGTTATAATAATACGCAATTCTTCTTTATCACCATTAACAAAATATTAGAATTAATTTTATAAAATTATTGATGTAATAGTTACAAAATTAATTTTATTTATAACAAATGACGATATATATAGTTAAGTGATTGACAACAATGTGATTTTATAAATAAATAAAAAGTCTTTAATATGCTAAAATTTATAAAAACAAATCTGATCAAATGCTTCTAAAATATTAATTCAAAGACATCGAAATAGATTTTTGAAAACGAAACTATATTTAAATATGAGAATATTGTTTACTCCTTTCATTTGATTGAAAATTTGTCATCTAAAGTATATATTGTATATTCACTTTCAATTGACAAATATCAACTTCTTTTGAAAAAAACAAAAAAAAAAAAACAAAAAAAAACATTGTTGCCTGTGCTATACAAAAGTGAAAAACAATCTAATCTATTTCGTTCTGTTGAAACTATACAATATCTATTAGAAAAAAAAAGTTAAAATTTACTCTCCACTTGTACAGAATTTAGCAGAAACGAGGCGAGGGCGAGGATAAATTTTATATGATATAAATTGCACGCTCGATTTTGCTAAGACGTACTTTGTGGCATTTCTTTTGCTCGCTCTTTCTTCTTTTAATAAAGAAAAAAAAAAGAAAAAAAATGCCTTTTGTAATCATGTTGTGCTACGGCGTCCGGAACGTTGAAGACACTGAATTTTGCTACCTTTGACGAATATGTACATATAATATATGCTTCTATTTACGAAGTACGACGGACATATATCGAATTAGCTTAACAAATTTTTTTAATAGACAAAAAAAATTAAGTATTAAAGTAATTAAAAATAATATTTCTAGGATAATTTATAATATTCTCATTATAAGAGAATATTGTTTGTTTTTAATTGACTAATTTTATTATTATCATCATTCATTCAAAGGAAGATCAAATTTTGTCGTATTTCGTAATTTGCACTTATAAAAGAAAAAGTTCAACAACAAAAATCCAGTGTCGTGCTTCTTTTCTTCATTTTTTTTTTTTTTTTTTGCTGAATACATATAATTTTTGTTTTTTGCCTCAACGTTCAAGTAAGCGTAGCAGTGATTAAATGTGGATCAAGACTCACAATTAATGAGTCTGTGAAAAAGGTTGTTATAAAAGACACTCAAAAAGAGGTGGTTTCCTATCCTCGATATATTTTTGTCACCTCGAAATAATCAGAGAATAATTAAAAAAAAAAAAAAAAATTGGTCATTAGCGCCTATAACGCCTAAGTACTGTATATTGATGTGCGAAATAAAACAAAAAAAGAATTTCTTTTTAGCGCAAGGCGAAATGAAAATGTGAGTTAAGCGAGTGTGAGAAACTATATAAATGATATGAAAAAAAAAAAACGATAAATGCGAAAGTTCAAGTACTATTTATAGGTATTTAACTGCTATAAAAAAAGGCAACAAAAAAAGCTAAATTATTGTACCGTACCTATAACGATGCTGGTAAATTTAGAAAAATGTTATGATTATCGTTATTACTATATTCTTACTATGGGTAACAAAAACTCTCTTATAATCTACAATTTAGATTAGACTAAATAGGGCGACTAATGCAATAATACTATTTTTCTGCTCCGAATGTACAACATTTTTCTGCACTAAAAACGAATTAACAATACCTAAAAACGATTTATTCTTCTTCTTATTATATGATTACGTTTATTAATGATTTAATATTCGATATTTAAAAAAAAAAAAAAAAAAAAAATGCCCGACTTTTTACTCTAGACATTGTTCTAGCAGAATTTTCTTCTCTTTCAAATGTTGTTCTCTCGTTAATAAAAATCTGTCAAAAAAAAAAATGACTCAAAAATTCAGCATATTTTATTTCCTATTCTCAATATAGACATATATAAATAAATTGATGTGTAAAGCATTATGAAATCACTCGAGAATGTCTGTTATTGTTGTCACAAGAGAGACTTGTTGTATAATAATAACAATTATCTATATCAAGAAAGTAATGCATAAGCATCACTCATTTTTAGTAAAAAAAAAAAAAAAAAAAAAACAAAAAACAATTAACAAACAAACAATATCCGCTATAGAAAATATGCAGGTTTATAGAAAAAAAACCAAGATTTAAACGCGAATGTCTGACATGTCCTAATTAACCATTTTCATGACATTAGTTGATTATTGTGCAAAACTGAAAGTGATAATTTTGTGTTAATAAATTATGTAAAAACGTCATTTATCTTACAATTTTTTCCCCGGAATCGTGCTTTTTTATTATTGTGTGAAAGAAGTGAGTGAATGCAAAATCATTCATATTTAATTAATTTTTAAAATCATAATTGCATTATTTTTAAGAAAATGTAAAGAATTTATAACTTCAATGTTTTAATTTTCTATATTTTTTTCTTAAATACTTTGTATTATACGTATATAATAGAAATATTTAAAAATTATACAATCTATCGTAGTTTTAGGTAAACAATTAAAAAATCCAGAACTAATTCAAAGAACATAAAATATTTTGTATTAAAAAACTTGTTCCACTAACCTCTAAAATTCAACTTTTTGTTTATTGATTTATAGTATAATTTTTTCACAAGTTGGAAACAAATTTTCCTTTGCTGACATAATTAGTTATTTCCCACAAATTGAATTTATATTCACATGAGTAATAAAACAGTCGTTGTCATTAAATAAATTAATAAATTTGTAATATTTTCAATTTTGTTTGAAAGTTTTGACGGTTTTGACGTCTGGCGGTTTACCATTTAAATTAAAATGGCCGACAGCGCCCTCATCGACGATTATCGGAACTTTATAGACAAGTAGTTTATACGTCGTTTACGTCAAGTGTCCGTCAATGTCCTTGGCTCCGTTATTACATTTTTTTAGTTGCCAAAAAGAAGTTCTTCAACCAAAGACCCTGGAAACATAAATACAAGATCAAAATCTCGCGTGTTTTTATTTAATTAAATACTTGACATTTCTATTTTATTCGATTTTTCCTAAAACGTGCATATCAACAATCACACAACCATGCTGACGGTACTACTATTTTTCATTATATCATTTATAATCAGATAAGAGTAATAATAATCTTCAAAATCTCAATTTATCATGATTTTATTAATTGATTTTCTTTTTATTTTACAGTCAACAATTAGGACTCTTGCTCGACGAACATTCTCAACATCAAAATGTGCAGGTGCACAGACAGTAAGTTTTTTTTTTTATTTTTCTTTATAAATAAACAGTATTTTATTATAATTAGCCATTTTTATAATATAATTAAGTGATTTAACTAGAAAATAAAGATTGTGTTTATAAAATTTATAATTAATCAAATAGAAAGTCTTGAATATGTATTTTGTGATTTGAACATAACCTCATTTTGCTTAATATTTCGTTTTACGTTTGACGTCTGTTAGATAAGGAAGATTTTCTTGTTGATTATATTATCTAATAAAGTAAATGATTTTATTATTGCTTATTAATATATTTTGTAATTTTAAATTGATAGAAAATGAAAAATTTCAAAATAACTTTTTGAAGGACGTAGAAGGTCAATACATTTGTTTTTTAACAAATTTTATAGATAATTTACATACATTGTTGATTGTGAATTGTTAATTTTAATATCAAGGACATTATACTAGTATGTCGTAACAATAAAACATGTCAGAAATTCTTTATTGACAAAATTATATTGATTGTTCGATTGTTAAGTTAAATATCCGATTGTTTGGAAACAATATTTTAAAACAAGTTATTTCCATTGCTGCTATATAATAAATATAAACCAGGATAGTTTAAATACTATTAGAATTAATAGTTTTTAAAATTATTTTTTATTTACAATATTAAAATGTTGTATTTGAATAAATTAAAGTTAAAAAAAAAAATGAATTTTTTTTTTGCTAGTTAACAGTTCGAGAAGGATTAAATGCAGCAATGGACGAGGAAATTGCACGAGACGATCGAGTATTTCTTCTTGGAGAAGAGGTAGCTCTTTACGATGGAGCTTACAAAATTTCCAGGGGTCTTTGGAAAAAATATGGTGACGCACGTATTTATGACACTCCAATAACTGAATCCGGATTCGCAGGTCTCGCAGTCGGTGCTGCAATGGTAAAACATTTCAAGAAATAATAAAATACATAATTATAAAAAAAGTTAAATTCTTTAATTTATTTTAATTGTAAATTTTTAAAAGAAAATTTGTAATTAAAAATAAAAATCAAATATCTTTACAGGCAGGACTACGGCCAATTTGCGAATTTATGACCTTCAATTTCTCAATGCAAGCAATTGATCACGTTATAAATTCAGCGGCAAAAACATTATATATGTCCGCGGGTCTGATAAATGTACCAATTGTATTTCGTGGACCAAATGGCGCATCAGCTGGTGTTGGTGCACAACATTCACAATGTTTTGGTGCATGGTACAGTCATTGTCCAGGATTAAAAGTCGTTTCACCTTATTCATGTGAAGATGCTAAGGGACTTTTAAAATCGGCTATACGCGATCCGGATCCAGTTGTTGTACTCGAGAATGAACTTATGTATGGTTATAAATTTAATATGTCTGATGAAGCAATGTCCAAAGATTTTCTAGTCCCTATTGGAAAGGCAAAAATTGAACGTCCAGGAAAACACATTACACTCGTTGCACATTCCAAGGCTTGTGAAACGGCACTTCAGGCATGTGAAGAACTCGCTGGACAAGGAATTGAAGCTGAAATGATTAATCTTCGTTCACTTAGGCCATTAGATATCAATACAATAGTAAAATCTGTAGCCAAAACGAATCATTGCATCACAGTTGAACATGGATGGCCTCATTGTGGTATTGGTGCTGAAATTTCAGCTCGAATTATGGAAAGTAAGTAATTTTTAACAAAATTTATTCATTCTATTTTATGTTTTAATTTTCTTATCTATAAATGATATTTTTTTCTGAAATTTTATTAGATGAAATAGCAAAAAAAAAAAAAAATTTTAGATTAGGGAAACAATTTTTATTTCGGCTAATGAAAATTCGGAATAATGAAAATAATATTTCAATAGCTTTAATGTTAAAAAAAAAGACTGAGAATCCGAAAGAAATGAGAATGAAGAAAAATTCAAAATTAGGAATAAATTAAATTTTCAAGAAAAATTTGAAAATGCTCAAAATTTACAATTTCTAATATTCCAAATTATGAATATATAATTTGGAAATACACAATTCGTAATAATTAAAATAATGTAAATAATTTTTTTTTACGAAAATTACGGCGCATAATAAATTAGAAAAAAAGTTGATTGAAAATTATAATTCACAAGTAAACAATTTCGAAAAATTTATGAGAAATGAAAAATAAATTAATATTGAAAAAAATAGTTTTCACAAGATTGGAAATAGAATAATTTGTTTTCTTATTGTGGCAGAAGTTCATAATATATGAATTTTTAGGTGAGGCGTTCTATCATCTGGACGCACCAGTAATTCGAGTAACGGGTGTTGATGTTCCTATGGCATATGCTAGTTCATTGGAAGAGGTATCAATTTGTCGAAAGGATGATGTAGTATTTACAGTCAAGAAAGTTCTCGGAGTAGCTAAGTAGTAAATTGTGCGCAAAATTTAGATACATTTCCTCAGCTCCTTTCCTGTTTTTCTTTTCGAATCGTCCAATCTTTCCTCCCGTCATATATTATATGCTTTCTATTTATTGAAAGTTAGTACAAAGTGGACATAAATTAGTTACAATTTGAAAAATATATCTAGATAGTTTATCATATTTCTTCCAATATTGGTTTATAAGTTCAACGTTCTTTTTTTGGATTATTTAAGAGTTTTTGCCTTGAAAAGGAATTTCAAAAAGAAAGTATTCAAAATCACTGCCATCGCTATTTTTTTTTGGAGTTTATGAAAAAATCATCTATTTTCCGTGAGATGTAACTTAAATGTTAAAAATTATTTCCTGTTATTGTTTTGTAGAACATTTCACGAAAAATTCATGATTTCTATATGAAATTATCAATATTTTTCAAAAAGAGGTTTCATTACGAAAAGGAAAAGAATGTCAGGTGTAAATTGTAATAAGTTATTTATTTCAATTTTACATTGTCTCACTCTCTCTCTCTATCTCTCGATTAGGAAAATTCTTGCCAAAAGAAAATCTCAAGTTGAACATTTTTCAATTATTAAGGAAGAAAACGACTAGACATTTCATTTGACTGTGTCAAAGAATCAGTTTTATGAAGAATTGGCATTGTAATGCGACACTTATTTTGTGTTTGCATTTGTTCGTAAATTATTTATTATTACAGAAAATTAATAAAATTGTAACATATGACAAAAATTGTTGTCCAATGTTATTTTAATTCATTCTGCATTTCTTCAGATAACGATAGTCAGGCATGATACATCCGTAATAAACAACAACTGACGACTTTCATAAAACGATCGAATGCATCTCGAAGTTCACTCTCTCTGTAAAATAATTTAGATACTTCTTTTTTTTTTTTTTGTTCTTTTTGTAAAAACAAAATTTTTTTTACTAGTATTTAAATTTTGTTTTACCTCAAAACATCCATGTCAAGTGCACATTGCGTGTAAGCTGATAAAAAATTCCTTAGATCTGAATGTGTCCAATTAACTTGTCGCCATGGCTCTACGCATCGTTCAATTAATTCCAAAAAGAAAAATCGTAATTCTCTTGATCGATGTAAATTACATCCAATGCCAAGAATTGCTCTCGAATAGGAACGAAAATTTGTCTCTAATTCTTGATAAGAACGTTCCAGGAGAATTGGCTTTAATTTGATACACACTAAACTAAAAAAAAAAAAAAATTGTTAACTTATTTTCTTTCTTTTATCAAATGATGAAACTTACTGTTTATGGTGTTTTTCATTTTCTAACAATACTCGACATTCGGGCAATTCCAAAAGAAATTCTCTGTCTAAATCAGTATCGAAATATTCCGAACCAGTAAATCGATAGGTCCACGAAGACATCATACTGTAGGCACAATGATAAATATCGGCAAATGTGAGAAATTGAAGTTTACGTTTATTCATTTCAAATCGAAGACACGCGATAAAGACCACAACTGCATATCGTCTATATTAAAATTGAAAATTCTTATTTATCATCATTTGAAAAATTTTAATATATGGAAAATTATAGGGGGGGGGGGGGCGTCATAAAAAAATTAAGAAAGAATTGCTGCTCACTTTGCAAGCTCATCAGGAAGTAGAAAATGTTGTTTAATATTTGCAACTAGAGATCCTGACATATCTTCAACTGCTTTAAAGACACGTTTTACATTATCGTACTGTCTACGACAACTTTTTAGCGAAATTCCCGTTTTTTCGGCAACTTCATCCATTTCTTTTCTACTTTTAGACGTTAATTTCTTTCCTAAAAGTTCTCTTATAACACTGTCGTTAAATTCATAATACCTGAAAAATAAACAAAGAATTTATAAAAACTTTGATTGAAAATTAAATTTTACAATATTTCAAGAGATTAAATAAATTAATGAAAAGAAAATTAAAAATAAAATAAAATTTAGAAAAGGTTTTTTTTAAAATAAAATTTTTTTAAATATTCCAGTGAAAAGAAAGTTAATTTTGTCTTACATTTCAACAAGCATTTGACTAGTTTGAGGTTCAATTTGAAAAGCAAGTTGTTCACTTGCTAGTTTTGTAGGTGCTTGAAGTAATCTTTCTAAAAGTGAATAAGTGCGATAATGATCTAACACGTCTGAAGCAAGTAGTTCAATTGGAGCATTTGTTTGTTGACATACTCCTCGCTGTTGTAAAATGTTAACGGCATCGCTGGCTGTTAACACATTAAAACAATTTCTTTAATGAGACGTGTTCTCATATATTCTAGGAATTAGAAAAATATAGAAAAAATATGTTACAAAAAAAAAGAGTGAAATTAAAACAATGTTTATAATATAAACTACAAAAGAATATTTGGAAAAACAAAAATTAACTCAAGTAAGGTATGTACAAATAAATGATTTTAAATAGAAATAATTATACTCACATGGATAACCATCGACCCAGAGTTGATAAACTTCTGGATCAATTAGGGTGTAATTACTAACAAAAACATCAACCTCAGAGAGCATAATTGAGGTTATAAAATTCTTTGCACTCTCATTAAAATATTTTTATATTCTATAAATTTTTATATTGATTTAACGAAATACGTTATTTGGTAGAAACTTATATAAAGAATTTTGATTATGTGAATAATTGGCAAGTTGACAATAATGATTGGCTCCAATTTAAAATTTATTATTATTTACATCATTGATTTAGCAGACAAAAAAAGGTTTATTGACGCGCCTGCGCATTAATAATATCACAAAGTTCCTGTGCGTTTGAAGTTGCATGTTTAAATTTATTTTTGCTCTATATTTTATTGAATAGTTTATCAAAAATCGAAGAAAAATTCGTATAAAAAATGAATTTATTGGTAATTTACATACTCGTTAATCAGTAGGTAAGAAAAATGTCCTTTTAATACTCTTTTTATGCTGTTTTTTAAATCTATTGTTCAGTTCCTTAAAAGTTAGGTTAGATGATAAAATTCTTTTATTTTGGGAATTTTATTGTAATTTACATTAGAATTGATTAATTTCTTCGATTAAAATTCATTTTTTGTAGTTGAATAGAGAACTTGGGTAAAAATATAAATAATTTATAGAAATTTTACAATTTAAAAATTTCAAATTTCGCGCAATCGTTATGCGCATGTGCGGACTTACTGCGCAGTGGTACAATTCGTTCAGTTCGTCATTTCCGGTTCTTGATGGTCATTCCAGCAGTTGATTACTTTTTTTCTGTTGATATTTGCAGACAAATACCTTGATCGTTGTTTAATAGTGGAATCAAAAGATAAATTAAATAATTTGTGACTTTCTGAAATATTCGACTATATTATATTCTACTGATTAACTCACTTTTATGCTGATTTATAACAAGTGAGGTTAGGTATGTCAAAATTTTTTCTACTTATGACAATTTTTTGCATGTCGTTAAAAATTAATCAGTTTTTCATTTAATTGGTAATTTTAATAAGTTAATTATAAATTATTGAGGTTGTTTAAATGTTTATTAAAAAAAATCAACTATTTAATGGGTAAATTTATTGTAAAATGTGAATCTAATTTTACAGTTTGAAAATTTCAAATTTTGTGCGCATGCGTATATAAAGTGCACGCACCTTTCTTTATTTCCGGTTCGAGACCCATCATTTCAGCGGGAGTTGATTATTTTTCCCTTGATTCATCGTTGATAATTGTAGAAAAATAGTTTAAATATGGTATAATTGTGTAGCTAAAAGTTAAATTGTCTGATTTTTAATCTTTTGGAATATTAGATTGTGTTATAGTTTGTTGATTCACACATTTTTATTCATATTTACGAAAAGTGGGGTTAAGGTATGTCAAAGTTTTTTCTACAATCTATTTTTGTCAAAGTTTCTTGTATTTAGTGAGAAGTTAATTATTTTTTAACATGATTGATAATAATAATGATTAATATTAATTAGAAAATTGATGAAAAATTTGATTGTTTTTCAAAATTGCAAAACTTATTAAATATTTGTTAATATTCAGTGCATATATATATATATATATATATATATAAATTTCCCGGCAGTCGTTGCATGTTGCAATAAATTGGTTAAAAATCAATAAAATTTTACCAGTATTCAAACAGTTTGAAATAGTTTCTTTTGCAAATGTTTTAATTATAATTTTATAAGGAAAATAATATAAATTCGTAAAGAAAGTAAATCTAATTTATATATATATATATATATATATATAGTTATGAAAAAGTGATTAAGAGTGAATAAAAGTAAAGATTGAATTGAAAGACTCTTTTACACACTTTCAGGGGAAAAAAAGTTTCTGGACCCGCATCTGCTTAAAACTTTATGTATAAGATCAGAAAAAGTTCTATTGGAAATTGTCGATATTTGTCGTGATTTGAAATTGCCATGTCAGGGAAACTTTTCAAAAGAAGACAATTCAGGTAATATATTTAAATTTTTATTCTTAAAAAGTTATTTCTTCTACACGTAACCTCAAAAATTGATTATTTTAAGCACAAAGTGCTGTTATAATTGAAATTAGACTGCCGATTTTTATATATTTTTTTCTCTTTAGGTTTTCTTTTAATAGGTTAAAAATAGGTTCATTTTTAATTTTAATTTCAAAAATGATTAAAGTTAAAAATTAAAATAAATTTTTTTTTAAAATAATTGCATTGGAATTTAGTTAATAAAAATACTTTATAGGTTTAGATTCGATTTTTTTTTTTTTTTGAAAAAAGTAAATCAAAATTCTTTTAAGTAGAAAATTAATGATTATTTGCATTTTAACATGACTTTTTATGAGACTTGCGATATGGAGCTTTCTACTAAAGGTCATAATATAAAGCTATATGTGGTTACATATACATTCCGATTACACTTTTATCGTTGCTAATGCATTATTTACATTTTTCCATGGCAATATCATGCTTAATTAAAATAATCATCGGACTTTGAAATTAAATGTTGTGGCTGGTTGCTACACACTATAGTATTAACGTATATATATATATTATAAACGAGTCAATTGATCAGCTTATAAAAAACGTTGTAACTGAAATTTGCTTATGATGCATTATTTTAATATCAGTTCTAACATTCTGATTTCCTGAAAACATTCTTTCCTAATAAATTACTATTTTCTCTATTAATAATAAAAAAAAAATCATTTCACTGATTTTTTGTTGTTTATGAAAAGTACACACAAAGAAATAAAATACACATATATTTTTTTTGTCTTTTTTTGTAAAATATTTAATATTTCACATATGAAAGCAAATTAATATAAATATTTTTCACTCAATACTTCATTCAAGCACATAATAAATTGTAAATATAATCAATAAGTTAAAATTAATATGACGTTAACGTCTACTTTTCATTCTTCGTAAGAATTTAGAATTTATTCTTCTCGAAGAATTTTATTTTGAGAATTTTTATTTTTTCAAAAAAATTATTTTGAATAATGAATCTAGTACTCTACAATTGTGAGGGATATAATTATTTTATAATTGTTATATATTAGAAGAAATACTGAATATATAATTGATTCAAAGTATTTATATATACGTCGTTTAAGTTTCCAGGTGAAAACAATATATATATATTTTTAATAAACAATATAATTAGTGTTTGTTTCATAAAATAAATATTTTTTTTTTTTGAGAATTCTCAGATTTTGTGAGCCGCAGGTCATAAATTAAATAAGAAATTAATAATGAGTATATATTCACGCACACATTATAAAGAACTGAGTAATTCCTAAGAAAATACTGCTTCGGTTTGAGGCATCATTTCGCACCTTTTATTTTCTTCTTGGTAGAAATATATATGAAATTGTTTCGTTATATTTTATTTTGTATAGGTAGGATAAAATTTTTTTCTTCTTTTCTTTAAAATAAAAAAAATGAAATTTGTGCGATATGACGACTCGATACGATTTTGTGTTTATTCATCGACATATTCCCATTAATTAACTGGGAGAACTTTTTACGTTCATTTAATTCGTTATGAACTTTTTTTTTTTTTTTTTTTTTTTTTTTGATAAAATAATAATTTAAACGCGTTAATGATTTACATACATCCACATGCCTCCACTACCATATTGGGTAATGTTTTTTGCGTTATGGTTTTATTTGAGTCAATATATAATAATTGAATGGGCGATAGTTGAGTTGGCGAACAACAGGGGACTATTTCGTTTTTTCTCTGCAATACGCTGAACCTTGTCAACAATTTCTAAAAATAAAATTAATTTTTAATTAATTTTTTCTTTGAAAAAAAATTGTTTATTTGAAAATTTATTGAAAATCATAAAAAAAATAGAGAGTAAATACTTACTCTGATGACATTGTTGTAAGGTGTTCCACTGACAGTGAGGGATGCTGCTGATGAGCAGGAACCACGACAAAAATAAGCGTGATATCCACTTGGATGAAGAATCCAATCACTCCATCCAATATCTTCAAAACTAATGTACAATTCATCTCGGCAACATTCTTTCATTTCCGGTAGACAATTCGTGTTTCTTTTTGGTCGATTTTTTTGCGGTAGGGGTGATGTATGAATGACGAGGAAGGGTTTTAAAGTCTGTTCAATAGATACGGGAGCTACATTTCTCTCCATTTCGCACGTACTACATTCTATTTGAATCGCATGATTCAACCGCTTTCTTTCCACCCATTTCCTCACTATGAAACTGAGGTCAGTTTTCACCCAGCCCTCTGAAAAAAGAGAGAGAGAAAAAAAAATCATTATCATTCAATTATAATAGTTTTCTTTTTATTTTTCATGAAAATTCTCGTAGATTATAGTAAATAATTATTTATTTTTTACTTTTACTTATTTACTTTTTTCACAATTTTTTTTTTTTATCTTGTGTATTGGAATTATTTTTTGTTCTCTATTTTAAAAACAAAATTTTTTTTTAAGAACAATATAGATACTGTGAACACAGAGATTTTTTGTTTCGTGTAAATATTATACAATTAATTCTCTCTATTGTTATAAAAGCAAATATTTTGGTTCGCAAATCTTTTTTGTCTAAATCCTCATTCAAATTAAATTTTCTTTTTATCATAAAAAAAAGCTTTTGAAATTTGAATAAAAAATATCCGAGAATGTTAAAAAAAAAAAAAAAAGTTATTGTTTACAGAATAAAATTCAAACTGCAGGGATTTTATTATTAACAGATTTTTCATTGTTTTACAGATTGAAAACGAAAATTTATGAATCATCGCAGAGAAGCAGGATTCTTCGTTATGAAAAGAATACTTTGGTCAATGACAATGGTGAGTGAAATTTTGTTTAAAAACGTTTTTAATTTATATAATTGAATATTTGTTTAAAAGAGAAAAAAAATTTGCAATACTGAATTTTACTCTAAAAGGTAAATTCGAAATAGTTGAAAGTTTCGATAAAAGGATAAAGTAACATTCTATATAGTGAGAGAGAGAGAGAGAGAGAGAGAGAGAGAAATGATGAAAAGAGGCTTATGTGATTTGAGCGTTTGAATAGAAACACGCCTATCTCATTAGGTAAATCGTACAAATCACAGCTGACATTCGCTGCGATTCGCAACTGAGGGCAATTCATTAGTGAGATTGAAACCAGAGCAGCGCAAACAGAGATTCGACTTTTAAAGAACGAACAACACAGCATGTAGAATATATTTCTCATAGGGTGCATCGTTATCGGCGGACTATGTTCCGTATATGATTCATTACATTTGAGATCAACTAACTTGTTCATCTAAAGAAAAATCTCTTAATCATTTTCAATCGAATTCTGATATTATATTATATATTAACTAACTTGTTCATTTTAGAGAAAAATTTCCTAATTACTTTGAATCGAATTTTGATGTTATTAATTTTTCATTTTCACACGAGAATAATTTTTCTGAATTTTTTTTTTGTAATTTCTAATTTTTCTCGATTATTTATATGGTTTATCACAAGAAATTGTTTCATTATTATTTACTAGGTTTTTGCTTCTGATTCAAATTTCAAAAAGAAATTTTCATTCTTTGATGCAATATTTTTAATTTTAATTTTTTTTTTTAACAAAGGATTTTACCTTCAATACTAGTTTCCAAAATGGCCATTATGGTGTTTTTTTCGAAACTACCACCATGATCCCAATGGTCCAATTCAGAAAGAACGAAAGTTTGATTGAAGTTGTCGTTAGCATCCTGTTCTTTATAAAACCATAGCTCAGCTGACGTGACACTGACGAATTGCATTTCATTTGGTAAATAAAAGCTAAAACAAGCTGCTGGGTTGAACCCTGTCACATGATTTGATGTGTGTCGACATTTGATTGAGTCTGCCTCACCTGAAATATTAAGAATAATTCATTACAAAGCAGTGAAAATTATTCATTATATCAATTATTATTATTATTATTTTGAAAGATTAGAAGAAAATATTGCTAAATTGTTTTCACAATTTTTTTCTTTCTCTCTCTCTCTCTATAAATTGCTATAAATTTATATAAAATGAAAACTATAATTAATTCTCTCGAATATACATACGTCTAGACATATAGTTTAGATTATTTCTCATATTCAGAGGTGGAAATACTTGTCTCGCGTTCTTAATGAACTAATTTCCGCGTTACTAGGAATTAGTAAAATATAACATTAAAATATCGTTATAAATATTATTAAATCAAAAAATTTTAATGAAATATTGAATTAGATAAATTAAAATAAAATTAAGGTCCAAAAAAAAAGAAACTAAATAATAATTTAATTATCAATCTTAAATATGATGAAAATGTGACAATTTTAGATATTGTTTATATATATAATGTGGCGCTAAAGTCAGTTCTCATATAGTTTATGCAATTTCTAAAGTACATTTGATTTCCACGTACAATATGAGACGTTTTGTAATCTGAGAATGACCTCGAACCATCTGTGAACTTCACGCTCGATTGTTTCTGATTTAGTAAACATATATTGTAATTAATTTTGTTTAACCTTTACTATAAAGAATGTCGGTTAATCTGACAGATTGGTTTAAATTTGAAATATAGGAAACTGAATCTTGTAAACTAAATTATAGTTAAATAGTGTAAGCCACTAATTTAAATCAGTAAACAATTCTAATTTTGTCTATTTTAAATTCATTTTTATTTATAATTCAAAATTAGTAATTTTGTTATTTTTTTTTTTTTAAACGAGGTGGCTAATTTTAGACTCGACATTTTACTTTAGTCATTATTTTAATTATTATTTAAATTAAAATATAAATTTTTATTCTCCACACTGAAAAATTTTTTTATTTGATTCAAATAATCATTATCAAATAAATATTTACTTGACACAGATAATTTTTATTTGGACCAATAATTTCTGTATTTGAAACAAATACCATTTAACTGACTCAAATAATAATTACTTAATACAAGTAAATATATTTATTTGATAATATAGTAAAGTCAGGGTGTCTAACGGTCAGGAAAACGTTAGGGAATTTTGTTGGTCAGGGAAATGTCAGGGAATTTCAGAAAATTTCATTCAAAGTCAGGGAAATTTCTGTAAATTTCTACAAAAATTAAAATTTTTGGTGAATTTAACAATTTTTTAATCTAAAAAATCTTGAATGGTTTTTATTACCATTTGTTATTAGAAATTAATTTATTGTTAAATATGTCAGTAACCATATTTTTGTCAGGCAATTTTTTTGTCAATCCTTGTTAGACACCCTGAAAGTAACTGATTATTTGAATGAAATAATTTTTTTTTCCAGTGCACTATAAAATATAATTTTATTTTTATTATAAATTAAATGAGCCATTAATTTAATTATTTTTATGTTTTTAACGAAAATGACTAATTTTTTAGTTTTTGAGAATAAAATGATAGGATATGGAAATTTTTATTTTTAATAAGAAATTGCGGACATATATTTTTTTTATTATAGGAACGTTTGTATTATAGTGATATTAATAATATATCATATAGCTGAATGGCATGGTCTTTTGTTGACTGGAAGTTTAAGTAATTTTTTTTTCGAGAAACAACAATATCTAGTTGCCTTGTTGAAGTCTAATGATGTACATGGTAGTATATCGAGTTTCAAACTCATTCCGTTTAGTGGTATTCTACACACTAAACTTGAGTTTGTTCACCATGTAATTCAAAACTTAAGTCTAAGACTTGTAGTTACCTTCCATTATTGAATATAATTTTTTTTTTTGCGTGTATTAAAATATTTGAATATTAAAATTCGTTCAAATCAGTTATTTATACTTGAAATTTTGTTTTTTTTTTTGGGTACAATTCAAAATAAAGTGAAATGTTTTAAATTATGACTTTTTACGTTTAAATATAAAGTAGGATAGGAAATACTTGAATTAATTAAAATAATATTACAAGTTGAATAAATTTATTTGCCGATAAATTAATAATGCAATAAACAATAATAGTTTTATTAAACATTTTTGTTTGTAAACTACAAGTTATTAGGTTCGTTATTAAAGTTTATACTTTTTATATATTTATTGAAGATTTATTAGATGTTGGTTTTTTTTAAAATTAAGTTTCTAGAATTATAGATAGCATCGTGTCTAATAATAATTACTTTCTGCGACCTTCGACTCGCTATTAGCCAAGATGACAAATATTAATTGTTGCTTTAGATTTAATTCAAAATTAAATGATTTGGTTGAAAATTTCGAAAATTATAATTTTTACGATTCTTTGATTAAATATATAAAGGAATTTATAGAAGTGATATTTATTGGTGAAAAAAAAACTTAATACTTTAGATATATTATTTTATATCGTCGCACTTTGAATATGAGAATCTAAGTGTTAAGCAATTCTAGTATATATCTGGAATTTCCAGAAGAGATTTCACAGAAATTTTTTTTTTTTAAGGAATCCACAGAAAGTATTCTCTAAAGCGTATTGAATTAAGAGATACATTCTTAAAAATTGCAAGTTTTTTGTAATTATAATTAATTTTTATTTTGACATTATTACATATATATATATATATATATATATATATATATATATAAAATTTCTTATTAAGAGGAAAATTTTTCCTTTGATTTTTATATTATTTTCTCAGAAGAATAAATATTTTTCTTATTTGTTTTTACTTCATGGTAGATGATTTTATTTTAAGAAAAATAAGACAAAAGAAGTTGATTTGTATTTTTTAGATTAAGAGTTTTTTTTCAATGTTTTACATCGAAACTTTATTCCGAATACGTCTCTGATATTTATGAATTTTTTAATCAATGCGAAGAATAACAGAAAATATATTTATTCATCAAATAAAAAAATTGCATCACACGGATGTTCTATACGTTTCTCGAATTTCTTTAAATCAAAAGAAATTCTTCATTTACAATCAAAAGAAATTTTCTTGTGCTATTAATTGAATGAGTTTTCTCTCTATTTTAAATTATAATTATTTTCATCAAATGCATTTGTAAAAAAAAAATATATTTCTTTGATCGATTTTTAAGCCATTTTGTTTGTGGAAAATAAAAAGCCGTTTATTGGGATTCAAAACAATTACTTTATGGGTTGAAAATGATCATTTTTTTTTCATCATTTGTTAGAAAAAGGGAAGCAAAATTACCTTCATTTGGAAAGACAACAACTTGATCAGTTTTTCCATAAAAGCTCTCTGCCGGTTTTTCTGGTTCAAGTGGCTCGCCAGGTCGTAGTTCAAGCACGTGTCCGTTTATCAGTGGCTTCGGCAAGGTCGATAGGGACAGCGACACTTCTGGTGGCTTTGATAGTCTCAATTTTTTGAGAATCTGTTGCTTCACATATTCAACTCTTAATTCAGTAAGAATTGGATCATATTCAATAATGGAAATTTTATTTTGTGCACAACCGGAGCATTCACTATCGTCTGAATTTGAATCTGGATAAAAGGTGGACCAAACATTTTTTAATGGATTACTCATCGCTGGCCATCCACCATCAATGTAGGCCAGGCCAATGAGAAGAATCACAAGCGTCAGGTAACGCTGCATTTTTTTCTCCTAGGCCCTATTGTAAAACGACGATCAGCCAGGTCGACGAATTAAGTCACCGAATTATGTTCAAATGTTGATGATAATTTTTCTCCACCACAATCGTTTAAATTCCAATTTGATCCACTCATCCGACTATTGCTACTACTACTACCTTAATTTGAACTAATTTATTTAATGCCAGAGGAAATATGATTTATTCATCAAGGAAATTTCATTGCAATTACACTCTTCTTTTATGAGATCTTTGATCTTTGATTTTTGTTCTTCTTTTTTCTTGTGATATCAATTTCTGTTATCTTTCTCTATGAGAGATTTTTGATTTTGTTTATTGTTTTTCTTCTGTCATTTTCATTTTGATGATGAAAGATTTTTTTGATTTTTGACTTTCGGGGGGAAAACTGGTTGTCACTAACGCGAACGTTGATGAAGACTGGAAGTGATGTGTGGCGATGGACCAGTGATGTAGTATACTGCGGGCTCGAGTAACCTTTGCCCCGGAGCCGGGGCCAGCGCGGATTGGACGACGAACATTCATATCAGTAACAGAAACACGCACTATGAACATGCTGCCGGGTGGTTAACCGTGTTGATTTTCCGGCGATTTTTTTTATATCATTTCACCAGGTTAAAATCTTTAGACACGCAACAGTTTGTTGCTATAGTAATATAGCCATTTCCAAGGGATGATGGCAAATTTTTTTTTTCTGCAAAATTCACACAAGAATATGACATTATCTCTTATACGAAGGCGTTTTATCAGTTGATTTCTTTTTAATTATGTAAGTGATTAGCATACCGACACAAGAATTGTTTCATCAATCACTGACTATAGAATGACTGCTGTAGGGTTATAAAAAAATTACTACCGGAACTTTCATGTTTTGAATGTTAAAAATCTTTACAATTAACTTCGTAAATATCTGATGTTTTTCTAAAAGATTAATTGTTTTTTGTGTAATTTAATGATTTAAAAAATAATCAAAGGGTCTGATGATGAAACTTTTTTTTTTTTTGAAAATGTTGGGGATGAGTCAATTTTATTGATCTTTGAGCATCTTGAATATTGTTGTTGAAGGTAATGAATGGAAATATTTAGAAATAAAATTCAGAACAAGGCCGGCATCATCCTGGAATAAGATGATTGCTGATTTTATTATTTTTTGTATGGATATATTAATTGACAATTGCATAACAATATTGTTAACGATAAAATGGTGATTTTGTTTCTTCATTATAGATTTTGCATGCCTTTGGTCACGTAGACAAAATGTTCTTTGAACCTTTCCTCGATGGTAAAATTTGAATTAAAAAATTTGTATTGAATTTTAGTAAAACAAAATTTTGTTTATTTGAAAATTTGTTTACTAATCATTCTATTGTTATTAATTGTTGGTTGCTTATCAAAAATGATAAATTGATGTTCAGGGGTGAGATGGTTTTGAAAAATTATTATTTTCTACGATTCGCCTTTGGTACATCAGAATTTTGCTATACCTATTCCTCTAGAGGCCATTTCTTATCAGTGAGGATTATCTTTCGTTGGTCTCTCGCGAGTTGAGTGTACGCCACTCGAACTATTTTCCTCGTTCTGATCTATATCTTATCCACGTCCTTTATTTGAGGATATACATCTTTTCCATTTTTCAAACAATATATACCAATACAGGAAGAAATAAAATGAAATTTACCTTCAGTATTTTGTGTTTTGAAAATAATTAAATTTTTATCAATTTTTTAGTTGTTTTAAAATTATTGATTTGTATAATTATTTTAAAATGATAAATGGGTAAATTTTTTTGTTGTGTGTTTTTTTTTTTTGACGATGAAAGCAAATATCCTATACCGAAGTGTAATTCCGTTCGAATGATCATGGCCAACGAATGACAATTACTGTTTGTTAGAGACGGCGTGTCTGGCACGTGAATTCGATCTCTCTTTATTAATTTGTCAAAGTAACAAGCCGTTAATGCTTTCGATTGCTGAACTAAATTGACTTTCTCCAGGTCAATGAAATTTTTTAAATTATTTATCACGCATTGTATCGATGATCTAAATTTTCAAACGAAATTTTTAAAAATTATATAATTTTGTTTTAAATTAAATTTTACATATGATTAAAAAAAAAAAAATGTTGGTTGATAATTAACTGCACTTTGGAAATTGATAAATTTCATATACTAGGACTGAAATTGTAAAGATTTCTCCATGCTCTAAAGGTCAAATTTCGTTGAATTATTGTAAATATCGTAAAAGTTTGTTTTTCTCTCTCCTTTGTTGCAAACAAGGGTAATTCTTATGAGCAATTGCATGCAAGCTGTATATTTAATTACATATGATGCAAAAATGTTGTTTCTTGATAATCGTATCATTATCGAAGGAAATAGTAGAATTAATTAAACGATAATTAACGAAGACTTAAACATTGTTAATATATAATGTTATTGACTTAATTAGCGTTCAATTGTTTATACTTATCTTTAAATAAATTTTGATTAACGACAAAATAGAATTATACATAATATACAAAAATTTATAGACATAAATTATTATTTTCAAACATATATAGAGATTTTTATACATAAATTTGTTTCGATGCTGTTTGCAAAAATGCTTCTTGATTCCTCCTGCGTATTTTTATTTTACTGATTCCGGTACCTTAGCTTCGATAAACATAAATCGGGGGAATAAAATTTTTTAGAACGTGCACGTTGTATTTTATTTTATTTTATAAAAATTCTTTTTGATTTTCATATTGTTGGATTCCTTGACCTCTTATTCTCATTTTGACTCAAGGTTCTTCAATTTAAATACATTATATTGTAATCACTATCACCGTTTGTGCGTTTATATGAAAATCTCTTAACAACAGTATGTGACATATTGAAAATCTTTTATTTCACGTTGACCTGAAACTTTTCTCATATGATATATGTGTGTGTCAAAATTCATTCACGAAAGTCTTTTTAACACAATTGAAAAATATCGATATAAGGATTGAATAATAAAAGTTGAAATTTTTTAAAGTATATATATATTCCACGGAGTTCTAAGCTCTTTTCCTTGCAATGAAAGTTTTCTGAGTGAGAGTTTCAAGTCAGGCAAGAAACTTCATTTTCGTTCGCAAAATTGTAGTTCAAAATTATCCCAGCGCGCAACTACTGCGACTTTTAATTATGAATAATGATGCAGCAATAGCCGTCGGTGAAATATAATCGCGAAACCACATTACTGTAAAGTTTAATGCATCTCGTTAAAGCAGAACCTTTCGCAAAAGCAAAAGCAGGCGGATGAAGCGATTACAATTTTATTTCAGGGCCGAGTGTATATTTATTAAAACTTCATTTTATATTAAAAGACCGTGGCAAATTAAAAATGAGAGCTACTTGCCGTACGTAAATTGAAATTGTTTGTAAATTAAATTATTGTAATTAAATAATTTTTCCCCATATATAGGTAAATTCGTTTTATTTATGTGAAAAAAATTTGATTTTTGTATTGAAAATATTTTTACAAGTAATATATATAGAAATAATTTTTAATAGATTTAGAAGAAAAATAAACGAAATCTTTTTATTATTAACTAGTGTATATTCGACATGCATATATATATATATATATATATATATATATATATATATATATAATAATGATGGAAGTAAAGCATATATCCAGATCGTTGAATACTTAGAATGCTCATGATGAAGATTCTTCCTGTCGTCAACACGACAGGAAAATCCTCGTGGATTTTCCACGTTCGTGAAATTCTTATCATTGTGACTATGAAGGTGAGGAAGGAGAGGAAATCCTGTCTCTCACTCCTTCTCGCCCAGTTGAGGACATAATAAATCTCCTTTACAACTTCCTTCTATACTTATCTCTCTAATCGATTTACCACTTTGTTGGCTCGATCTTCAATTTTATATATATATATATATACGAGAGTTTCACTGATTATATTGACTGGGAGCAACTATATTAATTTTTTTTTTTTTTTAAATAAATTTTTTTCCTTATTATTAATATATAAAAGGGTGAAATTAAAATTTGATTAAACGTAACTAGAATTAAATTAAAAGTTTTTGTTATTTTAACATTAAAAAAAAAAAAAGAAAAAAAAAACGTAAAAGTACAAATTTTGGCTCAAAATTTCACTGCAAAGAGATTTATCTTACAAGATATTATATTATATTATATTATTATATAATTGTACAACTGAATTTTTCTAAAAGTGAAATTAATTTTAATTATATAGTTTTTTGTAATACAATTTTTATTTAAGATTATGTACAGAGATGAGCCAAAAGTTTTGAACGTTCAAATGAACGAAATATTTTTTGGAACTTCTTTAACTACGAATTTTATTACAAAATATTGTTTTAAATATCAAAAACGAATTTTTTTTATTTAATAATTGTTAAATTTACTGTTTTATTTTACATTGACATCATAATTTTTAATAATTTACAGATTGAAAAAAATATTTCGTTCATTTGAACGTTCAAAACTTTTGGCTCATTACAGAGGGGAGAACATCAGTCTTAATATTTTAGAAAATATAATTAAATATATCTAATTTTTTAATTTTCAGTACATTTTCAAAGAACGTGATGGAGAAGGAAGAATATGTACGGAAGAAAAATAATCCCAGTATATCGAAGAAGTGGAATCAAAAAAAGAGGGATCTTCGTGAGAGTGGTCCATTAGAAGAATTTAAACATGCGACGTGGGACTCATCGATCGGTGAGTCTTTTTTTTTATTTAATCGTACTTTTCTGTTTGTTATGTTAATTGCAGTTTGATAAAAAAAAAAGTCGGACAGTCAAAACAAAACTTTTTTTTCATATTTTTGTGTTTTATTCATTTTTTTTTAAACTACAATGAAAAATTTTTCAAACATTTTCTTTATACAAAAATTATATTTAAAAAAAAAAGATAATTATCTTTTATAATTTTGGACTATTTTTTAAACTAATTGATTAAATTTGATTCTGTAAATAGAAATCGTTAGTTAATATTTGTTAAAATGAAAACTTTCTATTAATGGGAGTTTGAATTTTTTTTTATTGACACATGCGAAAACATATAAAAAGTGTGTTCGAATATAGAAAATTTGATTTCGACTATATTCGCTTAATATCGTTTGTCGACTTTACACGTACGTGCGCTTATAAGTGCCTGTGTATATGCTCTTATAAGGGCTGAAAGTCCCTGGGTACAATAAATTTTCTCTCTCTCTCTCTCGCTTTTTTTTTCTTCTCTCTTGGCCATACCGTCACTCCTGGGTACGTGCAAGGATCAGGATGAAATAGATGATGAAAGCTTACGTCGTACTGAGTACTTCTATATTTATTTACTTTTTTTTTCTTCTTCTTCTTTTCCGTTTCTCTTTCTTTACTTCCAATGCGTTCTTCCTGCACTCATCGCTCTGACACGAAAGTAAAAGCTATGGCGACAGAAGAAAACATTGCCCAGGAATAATGGCCCCATAATCCACTTGAGTTCATTTTTACCATAAAAAAAAAAATATAGTACTCATCCATTTTTTTATACGACTTTTACTTATTGCTTTTCTTTCGACTTTTTAAGGGTGTTTTATCGGAATTTTTTTTTTTTTTTTTTTTGAAAAAAAGGTTTTTTTCTCCAGAATTTACTGATAGTTTCAATTTGTTTGTTATAATATGTGAAATTTAAATGATAAAAATAAAAGAAAAAAAAATTATCTCTGATAAATTAAAAATTAATTTGAATATAGGCATAATTAGAGATAGTGAATTGGAAATTTATATGTCAATTTTTTTTTTTTTTTTTTTGAAATTATATTCACAGACGTTAATTTGATGTACGACTGTGTGACATTTAGGTAAACAATCTACTTTCTAATTAAGCCATGTCAGTCAACCATAGTAACACTATTTGGCGCGTCTAGAACAGATGGAATGTACTCACGGGATGGTAGATGCTTGTTTCAACGAAGCATTAATTTGGAAATTCGTCCTCGCAGGGGTAGAATATGTTATCGAAGGAACATATGACGAAAACGTTATGTCAAGTTACGTGCTATTACGTTATAATAGTGTCCCATTTCAATTTCTCAAAATTACAAATTCATTATAATACAATAAGATACACACATTTTATATCAATAAATATACGTGTATTTAACATTTAATTAGACAATAATTAATTTATTTTTTATATACATAAATTTTTTGTTTCTTTAACAAATTATATATAATTTTAATAGAAAAGTTTTCAAAAATTTTACAAATTTTTTTGTTTTTCGATATTTTTAATCAATATTGCGTCAGATTTAAATTAAAAAAAAAAAAAAAAAAACCGGGTTTCTTTTAGTTTCAATGGAAATTTGCGTTTCATTTTTCTTTATATATATACAAATCTACTTATATATATATATGACAAGTGAGCGAAATTTATTCGATTATTAGATATTTTATTTAAAAATTAAATTTTCGCATAACCTGCATAGTTGGCAATTCCGCAACGATTTTTACCTTTTGCTAAACGCATGTATCCATTTTCACCCCAGTCTGAGCCCCACCAGTTCTTCAAAATCCAATACGTTGGTGAATATCCCACTACTAACATTGCGTGGTTCACACCACTTGTACCACAAGCAGGATCGTCATAGATACCTCTACTGTAAAATTGAAATCGATTTTAGAAAAATTTCAAATTCATATCACTTGAAGATGGTTATATAACAGAAAATGCAATATTTATTTTGTTCATATTTATATGCGTGAAATCTATCTTTTTCAAGTATATATAGATTTTTCAAGAATCTCTTTCAAAACAAAGATAATTCGCACGAATTTCTCACGCTTTTCTTCGCTTAGGTTGAAAACTATATATGCTTCGGAAAAAAAAAATATATATATAGAGTTTCATTTTGAAATTTTGTCGAATAGAAAGAAAAATAGTAAAAAATTATAGGTATAAATAATAATAAAAACTACGGGAGTAAATAATAAAAATAATAATTTTTAATTATTATAAATAATAATCAGGTAATAATAATAATAATTTTTATTGTAAATAATAATTAAGTAATAATATTGTTATTTGTAAATTAATAATTAAATAATATTATTATAAATAATAATTAATTATTTAAATACTATAGACATAAGTCAAACACGTGAAAAGTATTTTGGATCTATGAGTCAAAAGTGTTCCGGGAGTAAATGACTTTTTTACTGACAGATGAAGTAAGAATTTATCATGCTGTTTAGTATTTATCGAGTAAATGTTATCTAAAAAAATATGTTCGAAGTTCAGATGATTTTAAAGTTCAGCTTTGACAGAATATTTTTTTTAGCAATTTTTTTTTTTTTTTTTTTTATAAAACAAAAAGGGATTTGATTCTCTGTAAAAGTGTATAAAAACGACTTTATTTGTTATTATACAATTATTATTATTTTATTTACTTTTGTCTGAAAACTGTTATAAAATATTTTGAAAATTTTAAGTTAACAAACTTAAGGTTTTAAATTAATTAGTTAGGTAATTAAATTAATAATATATTACTAATTATTTTTAATATTAATATTATTATTATTATTATTATTATTATTATTATTATTATTGATATTATTACTCGTTAGTTAGTTTAATAGTTAATTAATTAGCAAAAAAAAAATTAATGAAAAAAAAGGTTTTATGTGTAATAATTTGCTAAACAAATAGTCGTTTTACGGACTTTTACATAAATGTTTAACTATAGCGAATGCGTATATAATTGAATTTTTTTTTTCTTTTAATATTTCGGTAATTGATATTTTTTATTGGTGTCATCTCAGGGCAAATGTGATGACGTTTTAAGGTTATCAAGAGAGAAAAAAAAAAAAAGTTTAATATCACTTCTTGTAATTACCCTCTTGTTTTTATTATTTAGCAAATATTGAATTTTTATAGGAATAGTTTTGTGTGTGTTTTGAAATAATTTGAAATTTTACGAAACTTACTGATAAAGTTGAAATGTTTTTGGTGATGCATTCACTGACACTGCAATTGGTCCAATTGTTGTTACAGCTGCTTCCAATGCTCTTTCATCATATGCTGGTAAAATTGCCCATGATGTAATATTAATAACACTCAAATTTTCTTGAAATTTGCATGTTCCTTCCTAAAAGAATTAGATAAAAAAAAAACACGTTATTCCATTATTTTGTTTAGGAATTCTTTTTTTTTAAACGATCATTATTTTTTTTATAATCTAAGTTTCTTCTTCATTGTTAATAATATAATTTAATTAATATATTAATTAAATTATAATAATTTAATATAATACATTGAATAGAATATTCTATTGTATTTTCGATTTAATTTATTTTAGGATATAGAAAATATAATTAATTTCATGGCATATAGAAACACGTGTCTCTTTGGAAATAAAGCTCATATCGTTGTCTGACCAAAATCGATTCTATCTACTGAAATTATAATTGAGGCTAAAAGTGTAGGTTTCTTCTATTTGATATAGTTTTTCAGTATTATCTTTTGTGTAAATTCTATTTTTCACATAATGAGAAAAAAAAGAGTGGATCTAAATAACATGTATTTGGAAAAAATGAAATATTTATTTTGTCAGAAGTCTTCGAAATTATCTCGTTCTAGAATTCATGAATATTCTTATCTCTTTAATTTAATGTGACTTAGTAATTTAGTTAATTACCGAATTGATAAATATTCGTATTACTCACATATTACGTGTATATACATATATATATATATATATATATATATATATATATATATATAGAGAGATTTCTTGTTACATCATAAAATTTCTTCTACAATATTTTAATATAACAAATAAGAATATATTTGCTAAAAAATTTATTGAAATGATTAAACAAATAAACTTTGACCAAAACAAATATTTATATAATAAAGTTTATTGGGAATTTAATTTTTTTTTTCAATTATAATATTTGATTAATAAACATTTATTGATCCTTTATAAAGATGATTGATAACTTCCTGATGGGAAATATAATGTAAAATATTGGAAGAAGAGAATTTAAAAACTGTAACTTTTAACGTGTTTTCAAATAATTAGAGGCACGCACCTCTATTGATATGTTAATTGAAAAGAGCAACGAACAAAATAATGTCGACCTCGACTTTTTGTTGCGTCGTTCAAGACACGATAATCGGATTTACACGGCGTAATTTATATATTCTATCTCTGCTTTCTGCACAGGATGATAAAAAAAAAGTCTTTATTCAAAGTCCAAAAGCTCAGTGATTGTTATTAATTATTGTTAATGTCACACTAGCTGAATCTTTCTATCAAATTTGTAATATATACATTCTATATTGGCGAACGATAAAAATACGAGGCAAAGTCCAAAAGAGAGAGAGAGAGAAACGATCGCGAGTCTTTCATTTTATTAATGTTCATTATTAATAATTAAATATATGATTGGAATTTTAATTTTAAAACTTTAATTTTATTTGATTAAAATAAATAATAATTGACAATTTAAAAAAAAAGAAATCAAGTATTCGATTATTTGTCGAAAATTTGATTTTTTTTTGCCTTAAAATTTAATTTCAAAAAGTGATTCGAAAAATAAAAGGTGATTTTTGAAATTTATTCTTTTGCGTAGTATATTTGTCTTTTTGATCTTTGGCCAATTTTTATGAAAGAATTTTCTATATCTATCAATATAAAATATGTGAAATTCTTTTTTTTTTGTGTGAAATATTCTTTAGTGACAAAATAGTATTCTCATTCTGAGAGGATTATATTCAATCCAATAAGATTCTATTATATTAAAAAGAGATAGGAAAATAGTATTAGTTGTAAAATAGTAGTAGTGGAATTTTAGAAGAGGAAAAATTAATTTTCATTTTTACCCTTCCTATATAGGGATAGTGTGATTCGTCCATAAGTCCTTTGACATTTTCCAAATATCTCAAAGTATTCCTTAAAGATCCACCATTACATCCCAAATTTCCCGTTAATGAACTGCAATCAACTATTTGTTGTTTACTCAATGAAAATACATGACCTGTTAGTTTAAAAAGTTGTCCTATAATTGTTCCAATTATTGAATAGGCATAACAACTACCACAGTCCAATTGTTCCTCAGGTGGTGTTAAAAAACCACACGTTCGCCAATCTAAATATTGTGGCACTTTGTTTGGATTGTGAAGAACTGCAGATACCATTGGATCATTGTCGAGTGGTATTTGAGTATTTGGTATTAATTTTACCTAAATATATATATATGTATATATAAAAGTAATTATAATTCGTTGAAAAATACTTTCTGAATTTTTTTTTTATATTAGAAGAAGGTTACAAACAAAAAAGGAAGGAAAATAAATTTTTTTGATTTTAATCGAGAAAAAGTCTAAGAGTTTATCGTTTCTTTTCGAAGGACTTGACTTAATCGATTGTCGATTTACGATTTAGAACATCGATTACGAACCCATTCTCGAAGGTACTGTCCAGTGCTGAGATCAGCAATGAAGTTGTCTCGCAAGAGGTAGCTATAATGTCCCGCAGTGGCCAATAAGTTATGTTCATAAATCTTGAAAAGATTGCTCTGCCAAGCAATTCGTCTCTTTTTCTCAAAAATTCCTACGTAGGTTTTGTTATGTAAAGACTAGAAACGAAATAATTGATATTATCATTTTTTTTTTTTTCAATTATCGACAAAATATTTACTAAAAGGGTTGATATTTTTTAAATTTGAAAATTAATTTTCTTTTGCAATTAATTAAATTCAACTGTTAGTAATTACCTTATATTTAAACCAATAATCATCGAAACATTGAGATAATTTTCTCGGCAATAAAAACGTAAAAGTTTCTTCTATTATTACACTAAATATTACTAAATTGCACAAAATTATAATACACTTCCACTGATTCATTGTTCATTAACGGTTTCTTACTGCCAGGAGGATTTGACATTGGATATAAATTCATACTAATGTATCTGAATATAACACGGGTTCCCTTTAATCAAATATATGTCACTGTCAGCAAACTCGAATTTCATAATCACAAAATACACATGTCATTATTATGTTTATTCTCAGATGTAATATTACAATTACAAAATTTATACACATTAACAATTGTATTTAAATCTTTTAAAATATTTTTATTTACATAAATATTATTTAAAAAGTTGCGTTTGTCAGTTATTTTATTTTTTTTTTATATTAAATTTTCTTTTTTAATGGCATTAAAGTATGACAAAAAAAAATATATTGACAAAGTATACCTGAACAGTAAACTTTTGAAGTTTTAATATAAAAGTCAAAAGATAATATATATACTTTTGCCAGTAAATGTATATCAAGAGTAACAATTTGTGTCCATAAATTTTTATTTCTCCATTGAAGAATATGAAACATTAAAAATTATATGACGTTATTGTCGATGCTTGAGATTTAATAAACATCGTCAGCAGCTTTTGTTATACGAATTTATGAGATTGCAAACAACCATCCCGAGCTATTCACTGAACTATAATACGTTAGAGAGAAAAGATTTTCTTCAACGAAGGCAGTGCATAGAACAACGAAAAGGAAAACTCGAAAGAACAGGGCGGGTTAACGCTTCTTCAGACGAATAAGGAACTTAAATTCTAAGAGCTTCCACTTCCTTCGCGTCTTCCTCTTTTTGTCCAATACACTCACGTTTTTTTTATGAGCTTATTTGTCCTTAATGTCTATTCATCTTGTGGAAAAAAAGGGAAATAGGCATAATTATATTTGTTGGGGAAAAAATCATTATTCTGACTTTTAAAGAAGCTAGGGAATATAAAAAACATTTTTTTTTATTTGATTCAAATAATACTTGACTATTAACAAATAAATAATTACTTGAACCAAATAATTAATTTAAATTCGATAAATAGTATTTGAAACAATAATTTCTATGTATTTGAAAGAAATACAATTTAATTGGCTCAAATAATTAATTTGAATTTGATAATTTGTTTTTGAAACAATGTATAATTTAATTGAATGCCAAATAATAATTATTTGATACAAATAAATATTTATTTAATACACTGTAAAAAAAAGGAGTTAAATTTTAACTCCCCAGGGGATGCTATAAAAGTCCCATCCTTTTGGAGTTGAAGCGAAGGGAGTTAATGCTTTACGAGTTAATTTTATGCCTAGGGAGCCCACTTAGAAAGATTCCCCGGAAAGTGCCCCCTGGAGGTTCTATCAAAATTCCGCCGAAACTTTCCATAGGAGTTCTAAAGAATTTCCTATGGGATTCCGATTAATTTTTTTCAAAATTTTTAAAGTCCTAATTCCGTCAGAATTCCGTCGGAACTCCGTCGGAATCCCATTGTAAATTCTTTGAAACTCTAATGGAATTCCGACAGAATTACGTTGGAAGTTCCGGCGGAATTCTGATAGAACCTCCAGGGGGCACATTTCGGGGAATCTTTCCAAGTGGGAGTTGGTTTTAAGGAGTTAATTTAATTATTAACTCCCTTTTCGAGTTGAAGCGAAGGGAGTTAATGCTTTAAGAGTTAATTTTATGTCTAGGGAGCCCACTTGGAAAGATTTCCCGGAAAAAGCCTCCTGGAGGTTCTATCAAAATTCCGCCGGAACTTCCAACGTAATTCCGTCGGAATTCCATCGGAGTTCCAAAGAATTTCCTATGGGATTCCGATTAATTTTTTTCAAAATTTTTAGAGTCCTAATTCCGTCAGAATTCCGTCGGAACTCCATCGGAATCCCATTGGAAATTCGATGGAATTCCGATGGAATTACGTTGGAAGTTCCGGCGGAATTCTGATAGAACCTCCAGGGGGCACTTTCCGGGGAATTTTTTTTCCAAGTGGGAGCTGATTTTAAGGAGTTAATTTAATTATTAACTCCCTTTTTGAGTTGATTTTTAAACTCGAAAATTTTAACTCCCAGTAACGTTAACTCTCTAATTTTTTTTACAGTGTATAATGTCAAATAACCAATTATTCACGGAGAAAAATGGAAAACAAAAATATAGTAATTTTTACTACGTCTAAAGTAAATTCCACTTTTCGGAACTTCTGCACATTTCTGACACTTTTTGCTTTGGAAATAGAAAATACTATTTCCAGAGTAAAATTTACTATTTCAGTGTAGTATTTTTTTCTATTTCCAAAGCAAAAATTGCAAGAGATGCACAGAATAAACAGTATAGGTTTTACTTTGTGAGTATAGTAAAAGTTACTTTATATTTTTTTCCGTATTTGAATCAAGTTTTTTTTCAGTGTAATATAAATATAACTTTTTTTTTTAATTAATACAATATTGTGGAAATTAGAGAAACCTTTAAAGACAAATGAATCAGGGGAAATATTATAATTTTAATAAATTAGAAAATTAGTAAAAAAAATTTTAATTATTAATAATTAAAAACTAAATGTAATTTCAGCGCAAGGAAATTTCTTTCATATTCCAAATTTATCTTCCGCTGTATTATGTAATAGATTGTAATCCCCCCCTTTTTTTTTTGCTGACATAATAATCCATTTGGAAATTTTTGCCACAGTTATTTATTTTTTTTTTTTTAATATGACAAATTTAGAAATGCAATATATATATAGTTGTGGGATAAGTGGGAGGATAGAAGAATTTTTCTGATTGTCAAAAGATGTCAGTAGCGTTCACAATTGGCATCGTTCTTGAACCGCGTAGTAACAAGTAGAGTCGCTGCGGTTGTGTTCGCGCGAACAGACAAAGTGAACGGTGAACGTTGTAAGTAATTTTTCTACAGTTGAGTTCACATGGATCATGTGCGGTGTTGTGATATTATTGACAATTGAGGCAATTTTTAACAAAAATCAAGGAAGGGGGGGGGGACGAAATTGTTGAAAAAAAAATTATGCATAAAATGTGCGGGAAAAATTAGAATTAATAAAGTGTCTTTTTTTTTTTTCACTTGGCGCCTGATGATTCTTGTCCACATCTCTCTTTTCTCTTCTTATTGATAGTGTCATCTTTTTTCTCTCTCACTCTCAAAGTCCGTTATGCGCTCTTTACTCTCTCTTTCTCTCGTATAATGACGCGTACACTTTACTGTCACAATCATCTTGTTGCCCTCCTCCGCTATTCCCCGCCGCATAACTCTTCATCACCGCCAAAGTTTCTCGTGACGGCCTCCCGCAAGATTGAGATCGGGAGTTGTTTTTTGATTATGCTCTAAGAAAGGACGTAGGGTTATAAGTTCGCGATTATTTATTATATTAATTGATAAAATTTTCGTTGCCATATGGCTTACTTTCATAGCCGCATCTCCTTAATAGTGTGTATATATAATATATATATATATGTATATACTTTTCGGTCTGACTTACTTTCTTATATATTCACTTAACTGAGTTTCATTCAAATTGTTTATTTTGTAAACATTTTCGCGCCTGACAGATTAATTAGTGCCGGTTATATATATTTTTTTTAATGAATTCTCATTGAAAATTAGAAAATATTTTGACAAACAATTTTAATAAAAATCAAAATCTGGGGATTTAATTTTTGTGAAAAAATTTAATTGCTTCATTTTTTTTTAATTTTGTGTCATTTTGGATATATGTAAATTGATAACTGAAACCTAAGTAATGATTTGTCAATTACCATCTTGTAATTTTTAAATTATTATTGAGATGGAAAAGTTAACAATTTTCGTATAGAGAAATGTAAATGCAAATTTTTAGAAACTTTTGACAATGGAAATATTTTTTTTAAAGATCAAAATATTTTTTTTTTGACTATTCACATGTTAAAAAGTCACGTTGTTTATCAATATATATATATATAGTTTAAGGATGACAATTTTTTTGATTTTGTTAAATAGAGCATAGTAAAATATTTATTTTAACATTTTTTGTAATAAATGATTTAAATCATGACAACTGAAGAGATTTTTAAATAAAAATCATGTCTCCCTTGGATGTGTTTATATTTGATATATATATATATATTATTATGTAACAGCTCAATAACATATATATATGAAACGATCAAAGAATGAGACACATAATTGTCGGATGAAAATCATTTGTAACAAAATTGTATATCAATAGAAGTAGAGATAAAGTTTACTTCGCTATTATTGCGATTATCAATTCCGTTTATTTTTCATATTTTCTCTATATCGAAAATTTTTTATAAACAATATTAATTTTAAATAATAATAATGTTTTATTTTACATTGTAGTTATATAAATATTATAAAATTAATAGCTAATTTTATTATTTTAATCAATAATTTTTTATGATTATTTGAAATTTATAGATTAACTACTCTCTTTATCTGAATTAGTAAAAATGTTTACTAATTTAAATTAGTTATTCATTGTTTGATTTAGAATTAGTTAAATTTTTCTAATTGTTAGTAAAAGTTACTAATTAGATAATTAGAGCAATTCTGTTATTATTTTATTTTATTTTTTTTCACTTGTATAAAGTTTTGATAGAAATTGTCATCTCTGGTTAATAAAAGAGTAGTAATTTACGCCAGCATCTTTTAAAAACGTGAAATCTTGTTACAATATTCTTATCAGTCACATAAATTAAATCTTCAGATATTGAAATGAAAAAACAATTTTCGATACTGTAAAATTTGTACTTTTGAAATATAATTGTGGTTATTCTACGATAAGAGATATCTTTGATGCACGCTTGAAAAAGAATCTCATAACTCTATAGGAATTAGAACACTAATCTAGGAATTAGTTTATGAAAGTAATTAAATCTTATCGGTATTATTATGATGAATTTAGCAAATTTTAAGTAGCTTTTTTTGAAAATTATGTTTTAATGTAAAAATTTCAAATCTTTTAGAAATTCTAGCTAATTTTATAGTATTTTTGCCAAAAATATAAAAAAATGTTTCAAAAGCATATGCCGTATTTACATGATAATTTACAAATTCTGTATAGCATATGCTTTTGAATCAATAATTTTTTATCAGTACAGAAATGCTGCATATGTAATAGTATCTTTTTCTCAGTGTTTTAGTATATTTATCTGCTTGTATTAGAAGCTCAAACATATACTGAAAAAAGTATTTTGATTTTGACAACAAAACATTTGGTTAGTTTTTAAATTTTTGGATGCCTCAACAAAATTTTGATTGTCTCAAACAAACTTTGGTTGATACAACTAAAAGTAGAAGAAAAGGATTTTTGTTGTCTAAACTAAAGTTTGATTAGGAAAACCAAAATTTTGTTGAAACAGAAAAATTTTTGATTTAAATACCAACCAACTGTTGTCAAAACCAAACTCTTTTTCCAGTTTAACAGATGGCTTATCCATAGAACTAATAGAACAAATAGAACTTACACCAACATTACATTTTGAAAGTGTTTCCAAATTAAAAGTTGCCTCTTCCATTTAAACGGATAACAACATTTCTATATGAATAACAGAATAAATATCTCTTATCGTAGAAACATGAATACTAAAGTTTGCCTTAAAATTAGTAGGATAAGTTTTAAAACAAAATACATTACATATACAAGGCGGATTATTTAATGAAAATTTTCTCTTTAAATTCAGATTGAATTAATAGTTTTGAGTGAATAAATTCTCTCATGAGAGAAGCATGTGGTTCCTTCGGAAATTCGAAGTTCAGTAATAACGTTAGAACATATATGCAATGATTTGAGTCCCAAGTGATACGTCTATCGTTATCAGTGGTCTCTGGTTTGTCGTTTCGCGGTAGCAGTGCTGGTTTAGGTGGTGTGTCATCATTGCCGTTATCTTACCTGTGAATCGTGAACGTTCAAGTTTTAACTTTCTCTGACTACCATCGTAATCAACTTCATTGAACTTTATATATATCTAAATTTATATAAACACATCATCCTCTTTTGAAAATGGACGAATCTGGGATAGATATGGGTTTTGATTTGGCTGCACTCACTAATGCTGAGGACTTTGATTTGGAATACAACAATGACTTCGAACAAGCATTGTCTCTACTCTCAACGTCACAGGACTTCATGTATTATGAGCTCAAGAGCCGGGCTCCCGATACTGGCAGGTACGTAAATGCAAGAGCGCGATGGCATCATCCACGATGAGCACTTACGCGCCACTCTATCTCTGTCACCTGTTGAACGCAGGGCCGTACTTTTTTTTTTTTTGCTTTCATCTATAGACGGTTAACAAACATTATTTTTTTTTTAATTTATAAATCCTCGATAAATATTTGTCAATGTCGAATTTTTCGTGTTTTTTTTCTTTATTTGCGATTAGACTTATTCTCGTGTTATTTATTCAGGGAAAAGTTGATTGAGAAAATTAGCGTCATAAATAATACACTGAGAAAAATATGCTATTGAATCAATAGCATTTCTGCCAAAGGTATAAAAAATTATTGATTCAAAAGCATATGCTATAGAATCTACAAAATATTTTACAAAATTTTATAGCATATGCTTTTGAATCAATAATTTTTATACATTTGGCAGAAATGCTGTTGATTCAATAGCATATTTTTTTCAGTGTATAATATCACAGGGTGGTAATAACTGGATGAAAAAAATTTTGAAATACAATTTATTTTATTGGTACTCTAAATATATAATAAATGTACGGAAAAAATTAATTCAGTATATTTTACAAAACTGTGACGAAGTAGCGGATACAGGTCTTTATGAAACTGAGTTTTGTAAAATGTAATGACTATTTTCGGATAAACTACAGAAATTTCGTTGTTTATACTGAATATTTCGTGACATTTTACAACACTCAGTTTCGTAAAGAGCTGTATCCGCCCTCTGTGATAGTTCTGTAAAATCTACTGAATTAATTTTTTCCGTGTGATAATTAATATTTTAATTAGAATTTCTTCAACAACAAAATGGTACAATTTTGTATTTAAAAACTAAATTTATATTTAAAATTATCCAAAAAATAAATAATATTTAAGAATACAAGTTATCTAAAAATATTTATAAATAATGGGTCGAGATGATTTTTGAATAACTATTATACCTGCGCAACCCAAACTGTAATGTTTATATTGAAGTACAAAGGACGAACGTAAAGGTAATAAAATTCCAAAGATAATTTAATCAGTTGCAATTCGTGTATTGACCTGTTTAGCCGTGATCGACGTGAGTGTAAATTTTATTTGAAGTAAATAATTTCGGGAGTGTTCGAATGTTTTAATTCGCGAACGAAAAAATGTTAAATTTTTTTTTTATGTCAGTAAATTTTTTTTGTCCCAGGAGTGTTTAAAAATTTCTTAAAATCGCGATTGTCTAAATCTTTAGAAAAAAGTAGTTTATTTTTTTTCAATTTAAACGTGGTTTGAATTTGTTTTAAATCGCGTGTGTTTCCAAGCAGATCTTATCATCCGAAATGATACATCGGTTGCATCCTAAGGTTAGAGATTTATATTCATTTAAATTAATAATTACATGCAGTTTTTATCTACTAAAAAAGTTTTTTTTAATATTACCATTTTAAAGCTTTTGAAATTATTTTTTAAATGCATTATTTATATTTTATATTTAGTTACCTTTAATAATATAAATTGTGTTTTTAAAGTATTCTACAAGCAATAGATTTTTTTTAGTTTTGTTTAAAGTTTCATTGTCCCAATTAAATTTTTTTTTGTTATAGAAGCAACAAACACATTTAGTTTTGAGTCTCTTTAGTTTTAAGGTCTGTGGACGAATATAGAATAGTCATATGCATATTTAGCATAGAATGTATAATCAGAGTTCTGAGCAGTTTGGTAATAGTTTTGGGAGTTCCTCAATAATTATTTAAATAGTTTTGATGATTAATATTTTAAAAAAAAGGTTTTTTAAAACATTTGATAACTTCAAGTTATTTTTTGTTACAAGAGAGTTCTCACATTATATCCTGATAGAAAATAAAGAGTTGTTTGAGTTCCTTTCTATAGAAATTGGTTTCTTATAAAAAAAATTTGTCATGGAAAGTGTATTGCAAGTTTTTGAATTTAAAAAATTACACATATTCTCTTAGTGTTTTTCTTATATAACACTTTAATAGAAAATTGAAGAAAACATATTAGCATTGTCATTAGAAAAAAATGTAATTACTATTTTTTAAATAAGAAATTTCCTCAGTTGTTATTATATGGTACATAAATTGTAGTAGGTTATAAAATCTTTTAAGGTTAGTAATAATGAGTATATTTTCCATTTAACAAAAGTAATTTCCTATATCATTCTTTGAAATTATCACTTGACAATGACCTCTCATCAATATCATTATTCATTATTTGATAATTCCTTCAAAATCAAATTACAATGTTGTAGAATTCTTATCATCGTTAAACTATATTTTTTATTTTTTTTTTTTCGAATAATTATGATTAGATTTGATTATACGAATTTATGGAGAATAGGTAGTAGATGATTTCTTGATTATTCTATAAATTTATAAGTGAGATCATTTAAGAATATAAAAATTTTCGTATATACAAAGAAACTAAATGATCAACGAAAGTTAGATAAAATTGCAAATAAAATTCGTCATACATTTTTCATTCATGGTCATCAAGTAAAGCAGGTTTAAGTTTCCCTGTTTTTTTTTTGGTACACAAGAATCTTGTTTTTCCGTTTAGCGATCGACTTTCTTTGAAATTTCTTTTAAATGTAGAAAATTCTTATTAAAGGGTATTTTGCTTTTTTAAATTTTAAAGTAATTTTAATTTTTTAATTTAAGAGAAGTTTTAAATGCTTTAACTTTTACGATCAACGCTGACTCAAGTATACAGAATTTAAAATAAAAAAAAAAAACAATTATATAGATTCAGTTTCACCAATTTTATTTTATTGAATTAATTTGATATTTTTTAGATGTATCTTAAAAAATAATATTTTCTTTTTACTGTGAAATTCATTGAACATTCGCATACAGCATGAACAATGTTGATGATTTATTCGAATTGAGTGAAAGGGCCACAGATAGTTTCTTGTACTTTCAAGTTTCAATTGTACACTTTGAAAATAACAGGGAAGGATTGATGAGGCAAAAAATCTTGTGTTAGTAAAAACCAGTTTTTTTTTCATAAGAAATAGGGATATTGTAAATTGTAATTATTATATTGACACAAATTTTTACAAATTTCTTTCTAAAGTTTATTTTCTGACGAGAAAATTAGTATTGCAAAAAAAAAGAATGGTTTTTCCAGGTTCAATTCTTTAAATGTCGATATCTTCATTGATCGTTGATTAAAATGAGAATGAGTATGAACTATCAGCTTTAATTCGTTTAATGGCAGTATGGCACAGTGAAACAGTACTTGCTTTGGATTACCATAATATTAGTGAATTACCGTTCGCATTGAATGGACTTTGGCCAAGCTTTTAAGAGAATAATTTCCCATTAGTCTTCAACCGATTGGGTCATGATATTTGAACTTTGAAACCTTTTATATAAAACCAGTTTACACAAGATGATTACAAATAAATTAGCGCGCTATATTTTCAAGAAACATTTACAATTAATTATTATGAAAGAAATCTGTTTTTTTTATAAACTAATATATAAACATATATATGAAAATTAGATTTCGTGAAATGTTAATAAATTTTTTTTCTACACTAAAAGTTTTCTTTTGCTAACAACAAAATTTTTTTATCCTTTTTTTTTGTTTCAAAATTTTTATATGTTTGAATATTAACAAATTGGTGAAATTTTAATTTTATTAGAAACAAGATATTTTGTAAATTGGTAAATTTATACAAATTTTGTTGTGATAGCAAAAAAAAAGTTTTATTATAAAAACAAAATATTTATCTCAGTGTACGATATATTGGCGTGCTCCGTTATAAAAGCGTTTTGATTGATTTTAATGATTTTGAACTATGATAATTTGAAAGGTATTTAGAAGAATCACTTATATTATTGATGTGGGAATTAATAATGTTTGATTTACGAACTCTTGTGATATAATTTTTTTAAGGGTGTTTGACACATGTTGACGTCATTATAGAAATATTAATAAATTTTCCATTGGTTTTTTTAAATTAACAAAAATTTTTAAATTAATAAAAAAAAAATATATATATATATACATATATATTATACAATTTGTATTCAAAGGGTACTTTAATTTTGAAGTCCCGTAAATAAATAAATAAATAAAAATAAAATTGAAAAGAAAATAAATAGTTTAATAATATAAAAAAAAATTACATCAATGAAATTAATATTTTTTGATTCTTGAAGAATTTTAAACGATTAAATTTTTTTTTTTACAACAATAAGATATTAATCTTTATCGCTTTTATCATGTTTTACTAACATACATTATAATCTGCTAATTATCGTATAAAAAATTCATTTGACAAGCATTATTTTTTCTTTAGTAATTAAAATTATTTCTAATAAATTAATTTTTTTTTCGAATAGATAAATTTTTGAACTAATATTAAAAACAAATTGTTCCAAAAAACCTAATTTCTTTATAAATTTAAACTTTCTATGTTCCAATTTTTAAATATATTCACTATAATTGAGATTTTTTTCTTAATTTTTAGAATTTCATAATTAATTAAAATAAGTGAATTTCTTTTAAATTTAAATACAACTTGTTTCTTTTTAATTCAACGTGACCTAATTTTAAAAGTACTTTAAATATGTTTGATTTAAAGAACTTTACCGTGATTAAAAAAAAAAAAAAAACTCTATATGAGTATGCGCGAATATATATGAGCACTTGCAATTAACTAAATGAATAAGTATGTATATATGTATATCAGTAAATTTAATATTTGCAAATATTTATATATGCACCCTCAACGTTGTCATCACTCTGATAATTTCACAAGCGCGTGAAACAATTTTATTAGCCACGAACAGTAACCCTAATTTATCGAATTTGAAGGTTTAAAGTTCATTACGAACGATTAACCCAGAATATTACTCTGAAAATTGATAGTGGTTTTTGGCAAAAACGAAAACATTATTTTCCATTGATATTATCCATTGGAAATTTTAAGAGGGCAAAGTTTACTTTTTAATAGGATTTTAATGGTTTATGATTTTGAA